GTGGCCTTTTAGTACCTGAATAGCAGAGCAAGGTAAATTGAGTCCAAGAAAATCAGTTCCCTAGGAGATCCTTCTTGATCAGAAATCTGAGGGGCTTTCTTCTCAAATAAAAGAATTACACTTTGCACCCTTGCACCTGCTAGTGTTGAAGTCTTGCTAATCCCTGAGATTCCCTCAAGGCATCTTGTCTCTGTACAAAGCACTTGGTTTCTTTTTAATAGTACTAATCTCTTTAGCAAGCACACCCCCATTAGCCCCAACTTCACAATTGGTTCTTGCTGGTCCAAACTATAAGTTTTTCAAACTTTCATGCTTCACCTTTGGCCTCTAATTTTCATTGTAAGGCTAACTCAGGGCAGCCAGTGTACCCATGCCACAGCCTGGATTTTGGGCTGTCTTGAAATTTCTTCCCCTAGATTTGTTAGTCTACTACCCTTAATCTCAGTCTCCCAGAATACCTTAGGACATGGATAAAATACAGACAAATTTTCTGCCCAAGTGTAACACATGTGGTCTGTTGTTCAATGCCGATGGAGTTCTTGTTCTCAGGTTAAGCCTCCTGAGCCTGGCCTTCACTGTCCTCATTCCTGTCAGCATTCTGGTTTTCAGAGCTCCGGTAAGAATCACCCATTCAGCTCAGTTTATGTCATTCTAGGGTTTCTCAGGCCTGCATCTCCAAATCTTTCTGAACTCCTCTGTCAAACGGTTCCAAAGACTTGCTCTGAAGCCTTATAATGTTTTCATTCATTAGTTGGAATGGTTTTATTCTGGTTTGTTTGATTTTATTATGTGCAATGGTATGAACAGCTATTTTGAAGAAAACAAGACATTGTAATAGCCACTGCTGATTTAATATCATCTTGCCTTGAAGTCCTACCATGCTTTTGTTCATCTGTTTCCATTGGTTCTATCATGTTGTATCTTATTGGATTTTATTATGTGTGGTAGTATAAACAGATTTTTTTATGGAAAATGAGATAATATAGTAGCCATTGTTGGTTTTCTGTTATTTGGTTCTGAATGCCCTGTAATACTTTCATTCTCTCGAATGGTTTTATACTATTTTGTTATGTTTGATACTATTGTATGTGAAGGTATGCTCAACTATTTCAAAGAAAGTGACATTATAGTAGCCACTGTTAATATCAGTTTGTCTTGTGGTGAAGTACTGTGTCGTTAACATTGTTGTGATCTGCTTTGTTCTGTGCTCTTTTGTCTTAATCTCTTTAAAATAAAAAAACACAGTTCCAAAGACTTCTAAACTACATGGTCAGGTATAATAATAGAAATGACCCTGCTTCTTTGGTACCCATTTTTCTGTCTTAGTCAGCTTGCCCATTGCTGGACATTATATTTAATGCCCACAACTTAAAGAAGGAAAGGTTTAATTAGCTTACATTTTCAGCCTATGATTGGCTTGCTCCAAGGCAGAAACATCATGAGGAAAGGACACAGTGGAGTAAAGGTTAGTTCATGGTGGCTACGAGGCAGAGCAAGGGAAGGTGCCAGAAAGAAATGAGTGTGGGGCCAAATACTGTACTCAAGACCAAGCCTCCGTCACCCCCTCAGACTCCCCAGGGGAGTGCTCCTCTAATCTACAGTGTGCTTCTTAATCCAATGAAGTTGACAAATCGGGATTAACAGTGGTCAGACTAAAAGATGTTACACAAAGGATCAAACAAAAACAAATTATTTAGACCGTCTACTTTCAGAAATTTTTTTCTAGGAAAATATTGACAGAAATTCACAAAATAAGATGCACTGAAACACCATTTAGAATTCAAAACAAGTGGAAGCTAAGCCTGGAACCTCATTCCTGAAATTTTACTCACTGGGGAGTCTGAGGCAGGAGGATCACAAGCCTAGCATGGGCCATTTAGCAGAACTCTGTCTCAAAATAAAAAGGGTAGTTGGGGATATAGCTCAGCGGCACAATGCCTGCCTGGCAAGTGCAAGGTTGTGAGTTCAATTTCCAGTACCAAATTAAAATAAAATAAAATTTAAAAAGGCTGGGGATGTAGCTCAGGGATAGAGATTTTGCCTAGTATGCGTAAGGTTCAGTCCCCAGAATTACAAAACAACAGCAACCGAGTAGAAACCAATTATCCCACAATGGAGAATTGGTTTAAAACAATGGAATACACAAAATAGAATACAGTACAGCCATTAAAAGTGATGATGATGTACTAGAATAACTTTTAAAACATAACATGCTTGATAAAGTAAATACAGAAAGAAAGCAAGTTATACCACTGCAGTCTATAGTATGATCTCACTTTGTTATTGCTGTACACTAGCAAAAAGAGCTTCGTTATATTTGTATTGTACCAAAATACCTGTAAGGTGACCCTAACTGTTCTGTATAGTTTTTCTTCTCCCTTTTCCCTCTGGGTGACCCAACTGATATGTTAATCAATTCTCTCCTCTGTGAAGAATTGTAAATCCCTGGGTCCTAACCTAATTGATATGTTAACCATTGCTGCCCTCTACAAATAACAGATGTGGTGCTAAAAGAAGGTAACAAAAGGTTGTTAATTGCTGCTAGACTCCTCTGTTCTCTGCTGAAGAAAACAAAGATCTTCCCCATTAGCCTATTTCCTGATCCACCCCTTACTTTGTAAACAGTGATATGTACATAAAGGCTGCAAGTATGGGGGAGCGACACACAGCTTTTGCAATCTCCAACTGCACTGTGTCGCTGGGCCCAGAATAAAATAAATCAGCGCTGCTTTTTAAAATATGTTTTTACCTCATTTTTTTGAACTTGAGTTTGGGGATTTATTTGTGGATTACAAGCATTATCTCATTTTTTAATAAAACATGAATATGCAAGCAGAGACAAGAGGCAGCATCACACAGCTTATCTTTGGGTTGTAGTATATGAATAGTCTTTAAAATTTTTTATTTATCTGCATTTTTAAAAATTCCCTGTAGTAAGTTACTGTGATCTCTCTTCTATCCTGTTGAAGTCCAGGAAATTTATATCTGTAACCCGTGGAAACGTTACTGGAATCCTGGTGAGTAATTCTAGTCTAGCACTTCTGGGAGCAGGCAGAGGCTGGCAGCTCTGGAGCAGGTGCTGGTGGAGGGACAGAGGGAGAGGCTGCCCCCCTCCCCCAGGCACAGATTCAGGCTCCTGCCAGGCTCATTGGTAGACACACCCCCACCCCACATCCCTGTGGGTAGCCCACTCTCTCCCCTGCTCTTAAGATAGTTCCAGGACTGATGCCAACCCTGCCAGAGTGAAGAGCAGCAGCCCTAGCACAGAAACTCCCTGTGCAGCATCTGCCTCCAGAGATGGTTAACAAGGATTCCAGGCCAGTTCCCAGTGTCTGAATCAGAATATATGGGCTGGGAGCACAGGGATCTGCATTTCAGAACTGCAGTGGGGCACACGGGCACGGCAGGCCCTTTTCCTTAGGTTTCCCTGGCACAGAGTCTGAGAGGACAGATTTGTGTCAGGTGTCTCTGTACACAGATGCCTGCATGTTTCTGTCCTGGATTATTAAGTCAGGATGTGGAGGAAGCATGCTTGGAATCCAGCTAAGGACATAGCTTTGCATGTGTCCTAGGAGTTTTGGGAGCTGGGCAGCATTACACAACCTGGAGGCAAGAAAGAGCGTGGCTCCAGGAGCCACGAGCTGTTGAAGAAGATTTCAGTTTCACTTCTTCTCATGCAGCTCCCCACACCCAGGAGGCAGGAGACAAGAACAAAGAATCAGTGCAGAGGGGAAGCTGCCCACGAAGCTGGAGAGCTTTGCAAGTGTTTAGGATCAGATCAGCCAACGTGAGGGGCCTTTAATGAGAAGCAGGTTTGTGTTCACAGAGAACAAAGGGCACTGTTACAACTTCTCTGAGGGGACCTCGGGAGGGTACCGTCACCTCCATCACAGATGGTGTAGAAAGGGCCGATGTGGCTCGGTGGCAGAGCACTTGCCTAGCATGCCCGAGGGCCTGGGTTCAGTTGGCCACACTGAAAAAAATTCCCAAAACAAACAAACAAAACCCAGTGTAACTGTGTCCGATCCCGTGATAGTCTCTGCAGACCTGCTTGCCCTGTGGTAGAAGGTTTGACAGGTTTGGCCACAAATCTTGCCCTGGCCTGCACCACCAGAGTGGAGGTGCTCTGTCCCTGCCTTGCCCATCTGGGAATAAGGGTGCATGGTACTGATTGCTTTGGCATAGTTCTGGGTAAGGGAAGGCCCACCTGGGCATGCGTGGCACCAAACAAAGGGCTGGTAGCCTGGATGGGATGAGGGGAAAAGTGGGCTGCCACTGCTGCTGCCGCCACGTCACCATCTGTCTGCCGGCCACAGACTGTTTGGTTTTTTTTTTCTGCCATGCCACCTGCCTTGGAGCCAGCTGACCAGGGATTGAAACTTCTACAAACTGTGAGTGAAATAAACCTTTCTTCCTTTAACTTGTGGTGTTGGTTATTTTGTCTCAGCAATGAGAAGAGTAAGACTGATTGTGTGTGGTCCAACTTCAGAACTTTCACAACAGGCAGAGCTGAAACTCTACAGCATTAGGCAGCATCTCCCTGTTCTCACCTCCTCCGGTCCTGGGAAGCACATTCTACGACCCATCCGGTTTCTATGAATCGACTCCTTCAGGTGCTTGTAAAGGGGAACTGTGCGGTCCTGGCCGGTGTTGACAGATTTACCACCCTCAGCATATGTTCCTGAGGCTCATCCCCATCTGTGGCACACAGATGCCACGTTTTGCTTATTGCTTCATTTGGCTACTGTGTGTCAGTTCCTAAGAATGTGACAGACAGACAGACAGAAGTAATGTTCACATTGCTATGTGGAGAACTGGGCAAGGGCACTGGTGGAAGCGGAAGACCAGACAGGATCTGCCCCAACGCGGTCCCCTTCCCGCTTAGCACCCTCTGTTTTTAGAAGTGCCCCCTCTATGTGAGCTTCTCTTGTCTTAGCCCAGCACATTCCCAGCCCAGACAGGCACGCTATTTATGCACATTTCTCGCCGCAGACTATGAGCTCCCGAGGGGCTCCTGGACAGTCTCCGACCCTGTGCTGGCCACTCTTCCTGAGGAAATGGGATGTACACAGGTGGAGCCCCCGGAGGCCCCTGCGGGCACGCACAGCCTGTTCCAGCTAACCGCGGCTGGCTCTGGGGGATGCATGTTTGATTTTTGCTCCTGTTTAGGGTTTGAGGGTTTATGGAGATGAGAGACCTGCGATGAAAGCGTCTCTGTTGGAGCTGCTGCAATCTGTGAGGCCTTTCTCTACACCAGAGTGCGCGGCAGAACTTGGGTTACTCGGCTGGGGAGAAGCAGGCTGGCACCCGTGGGGCGAGCGGAGCCCACCGGTGCTGGGCCCGGACGGACCCTGGGGCGCACAGGCAGAGGGGGTGCGGGGGCTGCAGCCTGCTTGGGGGGGCCCTCCAGGTTTGGCGCGGAGGACAGAGCCCAGGCGGCGCCCGGCAGAGACCACCCGGCAGCCTGGCCAGACGTTCCGCCCCGGCCGGCCGCAGAACGCCAGCCCGGGCCGAGGTGGCCTGGGCGTGCCCGGCGCCTGGCCAGCGCGGGGGGCGGGGCCCCCGGCGCGGGACCTTTAAATCGGGCGCCCCGCCGCCCCCAGCGCCCGAGCCACCATGCCGCGCCCGCCGCTGCCCCGCCGCCTGCTGCTGCTCTGGCCGCTGCTGCTGCTGCCCGGGGCGCTGGCCAGCCCTGCCGTGGCCAGGCCGGGGACCCGCGGACCGGCCGGCAGCCCCGGGGGCCGCGGCACAGGTACGAGGGGGCGGCCTGCAGGAGCGGGACCCAGAGGGGGTAAGCGGGGCGCCCCGGGCTGCACAATCCCGTGCGAGGCCGGGTCCCCACGGAAGGGGCCCGACCACTCCCACGTGCAGGCTGGAACGCGGGGAGCCCAGCGGGGCCGGGCGGGGCAGCCTCCCAGCTCGGCGCAGCGACCTCGGGTTCAGCGGGGCGCGCCCCCGGCTGCCCGGGCTCCCGGAGCTCCGCCCTGCCGTCGGTGCAGCCCTGCCCGGGAGGGGCATGGGGGGCACCAGAGGTCCTGCCCAGCCGGGCTGTCCCGAGCCCAGGGGGGGTTCAGCACTGGGACCCCGAGGAACCCAGGCGCGCTGGCTGGACGGCACCGGGCAGTTCCGTCCCCTCCGTGTTCGGTGGCTGGGCCCGGGCAGGGCGCAGGCACCAGCGCAGCAGAGCCGGCTGGCGACGGCCGGGACCCCCCGGAGGTGACCACGGAGGTGACCCCTGAGGGGACCCCGGAGGTGATCCCGTAGCTGACCCGGGAAACCGAGGCGTTTCTGGGTGCAGGCTCCTGCGGAATAAAAAGCCCTGGAGCCCCAACCCAGGGCTCCTTCCTCTGCCGACCTAACCCGGTGCTTTTGGAAGATTTGCGCTCCTTTCCCTGCAGCCCGGCTTCAGCCCGTCCCCCGGGTCTCCCCGCGGCTGGCCACCTGCGTGGTGTTGGGTGACTTGACTGTCTGTCCCTCCTGCGCCTCGGGACTCTTCTCCTCACACCAGCGCATTCCGGGGCGCACTGGAGAGGGTGGAACGTTGGCACAGGCAGACTGGGCCGTATTCCCGCGGGTCAGTGCGGCTGGCAGCGGGCTGGCGGCTGCAGAGCAGGGAGGGAAGCTTTTTTTCTAGGATTAAATTTGCTCTGGTCCTCATTCGCCTGCCCAAGAAAGAGACTGGAAGAGGTGACATTCTGCGTGGGGTGACCATGTAGTCTAGGCTGCACCAGGAATCAACATTTACCTTCAGCTCCTTTCCTAAACACCAGGGCCTTGCATTTTGTCTGAATTCTCTCCCCTATTGCAAAACTTAAAAAATAGTGATACTGTGCTCATGCAAACCTCTTAGGAGACTGTTTTTGGTAGTGGGGATTGAACTAGGGCTATACCACACCACTCAGCTATAACCATGGCCCCTTTTTTATTACTTTTACTTGGAGACAAGCTCTTGCTAAGTTTCCCAAGATGGCCTTGAGTTTGTGGTTTTCCCGCCTCAGCATTTCAGCTAACTGGGATAATTTCATTGGTCTCGAAAATTAAATTCTTGCTATTTACCTTGGGGGAATGAGGGTAAATTAGAGGAGGCTGGGGAGAGAGCTCCGTGCAAAGGCTGCGGGTTCAACCCCAAGTCCTAAACCATCCAGCCAGGAGTTAGTGCCTTCTGTGGGGGGGGGGGGGGAGCACTACAAATCGGGGTGGGGCAGCCAAGGAACTGCACGCTGTCCGGGTTCGGATCCCTGGCTTAGCTTCCTCTTGCTACTGTGAGCACCCTCCATGAACTCAGAAAAGCTTGAAACCGGCATCACCTCAGTGTTTGTGGGTCAGAGCTGACACAGGTCTCCTTGGGCAGCCTCAAGGTGCGGGAAATTGCGTCCTGCTCCTTTGGGAGGCTGAAGGGGCCAAGTGTGTGCTGCCGCCTTTCCTGCCTTCCTGGAGATGGCAGTGGGCTCCACATGAGGTCTAATTCTTCCCTCCTCAAACCAGCACCAGCAGGTTGAGTCCTCCTGTCTTTTTGCTCAGACCCCCTCTTCTACTTCTAGAGACCTCTGTTACTTGGTGCAGTCATGTGAATGGCCCAGCCCCATCTCACGTGTTTAATCCTTCCTTCAAGTCACAACTGCATATGCAGCAGCAGTGTCTAGGCTCCTGGGAGTGGAGCCCGGCATCTCCAGAGGGAGACCTCATTCTGCCCCCCGCACCCCTTGGTCCCTGGGAGCGGAGGATCCAGTGTGAAGGTGCTTTGGGGAAGGAAAGATGCCAGCATGCACAGCTCCAGGAAGTGATGCCTAAGCAACTGATGATAGGCCTGAGCGCTGTGAGTCAAGGGTCTGTGTCATCTGTGTTTTGTTTTTACTTCAATTGTGCAAAAATACCCAGACCCTGGCCCGGGCTGGATTTTTAGCACGGCTCTTCTTCCTTACTTGTGATCCATGGGAATCTCTAGGATGAAGGACAGTTCTGGAGCCGTTTAAAAAAGAGGGATCTGTAATTCCTCAGACTCAGCTACATATGTGACACATGGCGTGTTCGAGGCAGCAGCTGCGTAAATCTGAGAGCGCTCGCTGGGCACAGGAGATCACGCTAACTCTTCGGGTGGGAACTTCCTTGGGAGGTGGGAAGGCCCCAGATGGGGGTCAGGAGACCCCGGGCCAGCCGCAGTCCTCTGCTGTTCAGTCCTCTTACTCCTGAACCCCAGGGGCTCAGCTGTCAGCAGGGCTTCACCTGGGGCTGTCACAATCATCTGCTATGATTCCCAAAGTATCAGGAAAAGGAAAATCGTTTTTTTCCTTCAGTACTAGGACTTGAACTTAAGGCCTTCACACTGAGCCACAACACTAGTCCTTATTAAAATTATTTTTTTTTAAATTTTGAATCAGAGTCTCACTAAGCTGTAAACTGCCTGAGCAGGGCTTGAGTTTGCCATCCTCCTGCTTCAGCCTCCCAGGGTTTGAGGAGCAGGTACGTGCTACCATGCCTGGCTAAACATTTCTTTCTGAAGTAAATACGGCCAGACAGTGGACTAAAACCAAGAGACAACTTCCGGCTTTGAAAGAAAGCTCTTAGAGGCATGATTCCTGCTCCCGATGAGGATTTCCCTTCCTTCCATCAATGGCTTATCCTGGGAAGTTATTTTGGACTCACCTTCTTACCTACACACGGAGCCGATTGTTTTCACGGTGTAGCATCAGCTTCTGTTCCTTTGTTAGGGAGAAGGAGCCCTGGCTGACACTTCCTAGGGACCGCGTCTCCCCTGGGGTGGCCTCTGTGTGACGTGTGTGCTGCTTCCTTCTCCGCTCATCCTCACCTGTGAACTTGATTCTGGGGGCTCGGAGAGGGTGCACGGATAGGTTCAGGAGGCACAAGAAAACCTAGGAAAGAATAGATGTAAACTAACATTCACTCTATTACGACAGTCTGCCAGGCACTGCCATGTAGGGAAGACGTGTGAGGTCTGATTGAAAAATGCAGCCAAAGTCTAAACTGAGTACTCTCGAAGTACTCATGCTTTCTGGGAACACACCCATCATTCTTAGCGCTTGTTTCTGTTTTGCTGTTGGTGCCAGGGATGGAACTCAAGGCCTTGTGCATGCAAGGCAGGAACCCTACCACCGAGCCGTACCCAGCCCCTCCTGCCACCTTCTGCAGCAGCCCTGGGAATACTCTTTGGTGAGGTCCTCGATGGTGCTGTCGCGGCTGCCTTGATGTCCTGAACTGATTCAAAGCATTTACTTTTAACAGTCATTTTGGCCTTGGGGAAGAGCTGGGACTCACAGTACCGGGTCCAGTGAATAAGGTGGCTGAGCACACACTGCCACGTTTTTGTAAGCGTGCCTGCCATTTTGTAAAGACGCTCACAAAAGAGGACTTCCAGTGATGCTTCAGAAAATGACAGAATAGTGGGGTGGGCGTGTTGAAAGAGAGGAGCAGCAAAGGCGATGTCTTCAGCACAACACTTCTCTACAACTTAAGATTCAGTGCAGACTCGGATCACCCCTTGTAAGGGCCTCGAGGGTGGGGAATCTGGCTTATTTCCCTTCACAGTCCCAGGACTTCATATGTATAAGTCTTCAAAAAAAGGTTTCCTTGGTGAATGAGTATGTGACAGAGAGGTGGCAGAGAGGGGTGAAGACAACAGGACAAGGGCAGGTCACAGCCTCTGCTCCTCATAGCAGTAAGACAGTCACCGAGCTGGGCGTACAGCAGGCTCGGAGCATTGAAGTTGTCACCTCCTTTCTGTTTTCAGCCAGCCCGGGAGTCTGGTGATCGGATGGGGAGGGATGGAGGCTTCTCTAGAGGAGCGACCACCCTTCCCAAGGGGGCAGAAGGAAGCCAAGGTGTCGGGCCTCAAACTGCCACTGCCTGGCCCTGCAGGGGAGGGCACAATGCTGTTGGCCTTGGTGATCTCAGGGACACCTCGGACAGCCACGGTGCCCAGGAAAGGGCAGGGCTCCTCCGCTCATCCCTAGAGCTCCCAGAGGGTGGTGGAAAAAATCTCAAGCGGTGAGACCACAGTGAAATCTCAGGGCTCATCCAGCCTGTAGGTGAGGGATTTGGGGACACTGTGCAGCCTATAGGTGAGGGGTTTGGTGTTTCAGCAGCCAAAGGGAGGGCAGTCATGAGGACAGTCTCAGGCAGTGGTGGCGCTGGGTTTGGGGTGCTGTCCCTGGAAACACAGCCTTTGCTGGGAATAAGAATGGCCGTATTTCTGCTGGTGATCTGATCACTGCTTGATCTTTTTGCTTCCTGTTCCCTTCTTTGCAGGCGTTTGCAAGAGCAGGCCCTTGGACCTGGTATTCATCATCGACAGTTCCCGGAGTGTACGGCCCCTGGAGTTCACCAAGGTGAAAACCTTTGTCTCCCAGATCATTGACACTCTGGACATCGGGGCGGCTGCCACGCGGGTGGCACTGGTGAACTATGCCAGCACGGTGAAGATTGAGTTCCAGCTCCAGACTTACGCAGACAAGCAGGCTCTGAAAAAGGCCGTAGCACGCATCACGCCCTTGTCAACGGGCACCATGTCGGGGCTGGCCATCCAGACGGCGATGGACGAAGCCTTCACAGTGCAGGCGGGGGCTCGGGGGCCCACGGCCAACATCCCAAAGGTGGCCATCATCGTGACCGATGGGAGGCCCCAGGACCAGGTGAGCGAGGTGGCGGCTCGAGCCCGGGCCTCTGGCATTGAGCTCTATGCTGTGGGCGTGGACCGGGCGGACATGGAGTCCCTGAAGACCATGGCCAGCGAGCCTCTGGGCGAGCACGTGTTCTATGTGGAGACCTACGGCGTCATCGAGAAGCTCTCCTCCAGGTTCCAGGAGACCTTTTGCGGTAAGTTGGTAAGTCTTTGCTTCCAGTTAGAAAGGACGCTGCATTTTGGAGGCTGTGTACCCAAAGAAAAAGAGATTTCTTCACTTTTTTAGTGGCAGTTTTATGAAAAACTCAAATACATGCCATGCTTTTTTGGCATGTTTTTTAAAATACCGACTTACATATCCAGTGTTGGCTAACAAATATAGAACTGTATTATATATAACTTAGTTTGCTTGTAAAATCTGCATGTTTGCATTTGAAATATGCAGGTCTAGAAATAACCAGAATAAACAATCTGGTGTTGTCTGATGGGGTTAGAGAAAAGCCTGACACAAAACAAACACCAAAACAGCGCGAGACACCTCCTTCTTGTTCCCTCTCCAAACCGCTGCATTTTTCTCGAGCCCATTTCGGGAGCTTTTCCTTCTCTGGATGGAACAGAGCCCGGCTTGTTCTCCAGCCGCAGACAGGAGGCAGTGTCTGCTGGAGGGTCAGCCATCTAGTCCAGTGTCGCTGTCGGGGGCAGTCAGTGGACACGGGTTTTCAGATTTGTCTTTTTCTGCCTGTTCTTGGTGGAATCATAGGGTTATGCGCCAGAAAGGTTTGACTTCGGTGCATTTGACCGACACAAGAAGAAGCAGAATTTAAAAATTATTTTGCTGCTCCTTCCCTTCCTTTTTTGCATTAGGATCGAGTTTGAACGTGAAAATGTTGATTTCGTTGGAAGTTTTGCATGTGTTAGCCGGGTGTATCAATGACAATCTCTTCAGTGCCTGAGTTTATTTTTAATGATCAGAATTATGATTTGAGGACTTGTGTTGTACCTTTTATCATTTTGGGGATCATCTTTTGAAGTCCTCTGTGGAATTATCCAAACAAGTGGGGACAAATTTCTGGTTTAGGTGACTTGGGAAACATAGGTATCTTTTTGGCATATAATTTATTCCACATTTGTTTATTCGGTACGTATTTTTTTATCCTGGAGACACAAAGACAAAGGAACCCCTTCTCCATCCTCAGACTAACATTCTGGGCGTGGGAGTGAGGCGAGCTCATAAACCAGGCTTCACACTCCTACATTTCCAGGATTTAGAATGAATGTGAAACCCAGCACAGTTTATTGGGAGACGGGAGATGAAGTCTTGGGCTGGGTGGGGAGTGTGGCTTCATCTCAGCCACGCCTGGCTTCAGTCATCTTGTCTGTTGTGTCCTGGAACACGAAACCTTCACAAATCCCTCACTGACTGTGGCGGCATTCACAGGTTTCCGAAAACAAAGTGGCTTTCTTTCTCCCAGGAAAACTCGCTGGGCTTGTGGGTGAGAGCTGTCCCCCCAGGGTGCTCCTCTGTGGCAAAAGTAGGTGTCAGAGCTGCCCCTGGGGTTGGGCTCAAAGCCAGAAAGCTCAAGGGGTGAGCGGTGATCTTTTTCATCTGGAATAAAAGACCTGCTGTTCTGGGGGGAAAATGTCCTCTCTATATGGAAAAGGACTACAGGGCAGCTTGTTGCAGTTGGGGTTGGGAAGGCCGTGAAAAGACCTTTTTTGGGGGAAATATTAGTCTTGTCCTCTTGCCAAGGGCAAAGGAGGCTGGTTCCCTGCCGCAGGAGTGCAGCCTCCTCTAACAGGCTTCTTGGGTTTCTTAGAAATGATTAAACTCATTGATTCATTTTTTTGTGGATTTGTTTGTTGGTTGATTGGCTGCTTTTTGGTTTTGGGTTTTTGAGACAGAGTCTTGCTATATACTTCAGGCTCTGTCTGAACTCACTATATAGCCCAGGCTGGCCTTGAACTCACAGCAAGGCCCCTGCCTCAGCCTTCCAAGTGCTGGGATGACAGGTGTGCACAACCACGCCCAGGTGATTCATCTTGAAAAACCCTAGTGACTTAAATATCTCTAGGAGCAAAGCTGCAGAGGTGTCAGTTAGCTGCTATAATCTTTTATTTAGCTCATCCTTTTCTTTTTACCTGCTTTTATTTAACATATGAGCTCATTTCCCTGGCGGGCATTAGTGTCTAGTGTTCCTGTTTTGATTCAGGGGCCTTAGGAGTGATGCTGAAGATTCAGAAGGCCATTACCTGGATTGCCCCCAGCATTTACACATTCAAACGTGTGTACACAGCCCAGTGCGAGTGAGCGAGCGGTGGGCTGGTAGGTGCACTTGGGGTGCATTTTCTCTGAGCAGGAATTGTAGCGCCCCTGGAGCCAGGCCCCGCTGCTGGCCTCGGCATTCAGGCACTGCCTTGTTCTGCCCCCCCTGGCTGGGAGCGGAAATCCTTTTGGGTATGGGGGATAAATCAGTAGGACACCAAGCTGCCTGTCTGATGGCAGCATTTGGTTTAGCATCAAATTCAAAATTCTTGTTTTTTTGAGGGAATCTAGGAAGATCTGTAGTTTTATGTTAGTGACATTTTTTAGTTCGAGGGGCCCAGTGATCCCTCTGCTGTCCAACTCAGTTCATCCCAGGTTCGCGTTTGAACACCCAAAAGTTCAAGAACTGAGCATTTTTTTTCAATGAGAAATAATGGGAAACCACGTCATTGGTTCTGAGGCTCCCAAATTGTGCTTATAAATTCACTTTTCCGAGAATTTAGCGCATTTTGCAGTGACTGAGTTCTTGAACTCCATCGTGGTTCAGGTTTCCTCTTAGCCTTACTGCTGGTATCACTGTCTTCCTTTAGAGCCGTCATTGAGATATTTTATGTAAATGAAGCTTTAAAAAAAGCACCGCGTTGCATGTTTGAACACAAGGCACAGCCCTGCGCGCTCCTCGGCCAGGGGTGAGGCTGGAGGCCCTGCCCTTTGTGCCTGCAGCGAGGCTGTGACTCACTGGGCCGTGCAGGGTTTTCAGGGCGGGTTTTCGATTCCATTATCAAGCTGGTTAACACCAAGCAGATTGACTGTGAGCTTTGCTGTTGGAGTGGTGGAAAATTCCCGGGGAAAGCCTTCAGCAGCCGAGGTTTCCCTGTGTTTCTTCTGCCTGGAGGCAGAAGACAAAGGGCCAGTTTTTATAGTGAAGCGGAGACAGAATCAGGGAGCGACCCGGAGAGCAGCGTCTTTCCACCGGGGAAGGAGCCCTGGTGACTGTGACTTCCTCGTGCAGCTCTGGACCCGTGCCTGCTGGGCACGCACCAGTGCCAGCACGTGTGTGTCAGCGACGGCGACGGCCGGCACCACTGCGAGTGCAGCCAGGGGTACACGCTGAACAGCGACCAGAGGACGTGCGCAGGTGAGGGGGTCCTGGGCTCCGCATCCACCGCCTCTGCTGCCCCTGATTCAGTCCCAGCCTCCCTGACAAGGCAGGAGGGGAGAAGGGTAAGGTGACACACACGTCACTTGCAGGTGTCACCTCTTTTCTCCGACAAAAGAGGAGGCGGAGAGGCGAGTGAGGAGAGGAGGGATCCCAAACTTCCGTCCTCTCTGAGGCCAAACATGCATGGAGCCCAGAAGTGGAGGGACATTTCGGGCGGTCCTCACTCATGTGGTGCGTGAATATGCACACAGAGTCACCGAGGGATGGGCATTGGCCTGCTCTTCTCTCCCCTCCTCCTCCCTCTCCTCCTCCCTCTCTGTCTCCTTTTCCTTCTCTTTCCCTTCTCCTCCTGTGCCTCCTCTTTTTCTCCTCTTTTCTGTCCTCTTCCCTTCCTCTCCTCCTAAAGAGTTTTCCAGAGGAAGAAAATGTAGGATCATTTAATTTCACACTCATTTTATAGATAATAAAGTCGAGACTAAAAGAAGGGAAGAGTAAAACCTGCCGGTACCTCCACCTCCGTCCGTGCAGGAGCCGAGCTGGAGTGCTGGCGCAGACCCCGGCCTCTCCCACATGCTGCCCTCTTGGCGAGCTCGGAGGCAGGGCGAGCTCAGTGCGTTCAGCTTGTCCCACTGCTTGGTCCACAGCTGTGAACAAGTGTGCTCTGAACACGCACGGATGCGAGCACCTTTGTGTGGACGAGGGAACCGGCTCTTACCACTGCGAGTGCTACGAAGGTCACACCCTGAATGAGGACAAGAAATCGTGCTCAGGTCAGTGGGGCGGGGGTCGGATCTCTGGGATTTTCTCTTCCTGCCTGTCCAGTGTTGGGGTCCTCACAGGCCGAGAACTTGGAATGTTGCCGTCTCTTGTCACCCTGGGGTTTCCCGTTTCTGACTCTTTCTTGAGGAGCTGGAAATGTTCATGGGTATGGATCGCGTGTATAAACGTGTGGCTCACTTTCTCTGTGTACTCAGCTGACAGTCCTTGCAAATGCTGACTTAACCTTGAATGATACCCCAGAGGCTACCGATTGCTCACCAAGGGCTTGGCAGACACCATCCTAGCCAAGCTGTTGGATTCTAGGTCACCACGATTACTGTAGTGACATCCTGCACTCCGGACAGGATAGTATGATTGTGGTATCCTTGCTAAAAATTAAGAATCATGAGGAAACATCGGACAGACTCAAATGGAGAGACATTTTTAGCTCAGAAAAATAACTACCGGTACTTTTTAGAAGTGCCAAATTCGTGAAAGATGAACACAGGCTGAGAGCATGTCTTAGATTGCAGGAGACTAAGATGTGACAACTTAACACATGTGGGACCCTGGGCCAGCACAGGGGCATGAGTATAGCAATGGAAAAAATAATGTGTGCAGAGTCACAAATCATAACATGTAATTTTGATTACTGTACCAGGGTCCTGTAAATTGCTAACATCTGGGGAAGCAGAGTGAAATAAGGGAGTCCTAGCATTGTTTCTGTGATTTTTTTGCAAGTCTGAAATTATCTCTAAATGAAAAAAAAAATTTTTTTTTTTGTCTTCTTTTTTATCGGTACCGGGGATCAAACTCATGACTGCCTGCTTGCAAGGCAGGCAGTTATGCCTCTGAGCTAAATCCCCAGCCCCTAAATGAAAAGTTTTTTTAAAAAGTAGCTTAAAAATGCATCAGTAGAAGAGAAAGGACATGGGGTGAAAATTTGGGTCTTGAATTCTGATGCTGCCTTCAATCAACTGATCTATGGCTGATTTTCCTTACTTGAAAAATGGGAGAGGATCCATCTACAATTTCTTCAAACTCTAATTGTTTTTCCAAATGTAGCTATGTAGACTCATAACTGTTGGTATTTCTCTGAGTTAGGATAAATGTAATAAACACAAAAGAAATGCTTTGGAAAGTATTTATGAAATTGTCAGATTATAAAACCTCAAATTGATGACTGGAAATGCAGAAGGCTGGAGAATAATGTCAGTATGCAGGGTTTTATTTAATTCACCTGACTTCATTTAGACCAAATAGTTCTGATGGCTTTTGAGTAACATCAGGAAGTTTTCCTCTTATTTCTACCTGCACATAGGGTTTATTTTTAAATCTATGGGTAATAAAAGACTTGGTTTTCATTTCTTTCTTCTGGACTTCTGTCTGACAGCTCAAGACAAATGTGCTTCTGGGACCCATGGCTGTCAGCACATTTGTGTGAAGGACGGACCTGGGTCTCATCACTGTGAGTGCTTCGAAGGGTACACGCTGAACGCAGATAAGAAAACGTGCACAGGTAAGCTACTCAACAAGTTCTTTCATTCTTGGCTTCTGTGGCCGTGAAGCCAACTTGCAGAGAGAGGTGTCTTGAAGACCCAGCTTCCCCATCAGCCATGCCTCTGGGCTGCTGCACATGGGCTGCTCGGTGAGTCTGGAGAGCTCAGTGGCTTTTGCAAAGGTAGACTGATTCAGAAGCAAACTACTAGGAAATGGGGGTTGAGTGGGGGATATGAGGAAAGCTAATTAAATGTAAGGTCCTTATCCAGGAAAAATTTATAGCCCCGGACCCTGGGGACTTTTTAAGCAAACAGGAGACCTTAGAGTTGGACAGTAACTATTTGATGTGATAGGCTGGACTGATCTTTTTCCAGTTAAAACTTGTCCTGAAACTTTTCTGTCACATTAGTCTTATAAAGCTGGATCACTTAGCAAAGGAGACATTGTAAGTGCCTGAATTAGACCCACACAGGCCTTCCCGTAAGTCTGCAGCAGGACGTTCCCCGACAGTTCCTAGCTGATCCGGTCTCCAGTGAATCTGAGCCTTATGACATGGCTCGGGAGCCCCTGGCAGGACTGCCCATCCTCATTAATTTGATTTAAACTCGCGGGCAGAACAAGGGGGCATTTATAAATGTAAAAGCACTCCTAAAGGAGAGAAATTCCCAGCTCTCGGGGTAGTGCTTAATTTTGGCATACTGAGTGCCTTTTACACTTTACGTGTCTTTTCTGTCCCTTGAGGAGACAGATGGAGGGAAATGGCAGATCAGCAGCTCCCCAAAATATGAATATAGAGCAAAATAAAGATGATAGGAAGAAAGTAGACCTTTTTCAAATGAGAAAGGGAGCAAGAAATAGAGAAAAGGAGAGGAAGGGAAAAAGAAGAATTGAAGGGGGAAAAATATGGAAGCACACGGAGCCTTTGCAGATGGGGGAGGAACCAGAGCTGGCAGAGCAGGGAAGCCGGGAGGGCTGGAAACACGGGACGGGTGTGTCCGTGGACAGCTCCCCACGGCGCATATGACCACACATATGCACTCATCAAGATACATTTTAGAAAATAAATGAAAAAACCCATGAAACCAGGAAAAGAGCTTTGAGCCCCTGCTCTGCTCCCAGGCGAGGCACTGAGGACTGTGAGGATGAAAGCCCAAGTTCCTGCTTCAGAGCAGTTCACAGCCTTGGGGAGGGGACGTGAGAACAGTTCTCTCCAGAACAGGAACGGGGTAGCCAGGAGAATCTGGGCAGAAAGGGCTGTGCAGGCTGGCGAGGCTGGGGAAGAGCCAGAGCCCGGAGCTGGAGCCTCTAGAGGAGAGGAGGCTGGGCAGGGGCTGGCTGCCACCGGTGTGTGCAGGGGAGGAGGGTGGAGCTGCCAGGTATGGAGGACTCGCCTCCAGCTAGTTACCAGCATCCAGTGGGCACTTGCAGCTGCCAGAAAAGCAGAGGACCTGGGAAAGCAAGACAAAAGTGTATTTTCATTTCAATTAGCACATGCGATGGAATAATATTAAATCTTTTGTTAGAAAAATACAGCATCCAAGAAAATTTTCCCAAGTGACTGCAGCCAGCATCCTTCACGTGTGGGCTGTGCAGCCTGTGGGCAGATTCGGTAGCACTCTGCACTTCACACAAAGTTAGTCTCTAGGCAACAGAGAGTCACGGAGGGTTTTTGAGCATGAAGGGACTGACATTAAAGGAGAGAGTCAAAGGGGACAGAAAGGCTACATTGGCTCCTGCGGGAGCAGAGGAGGAACTTACATTTCCCAGGAAGCCTTTCTGGATTTACCACGGAAGAACTGCTGTTCTGTTCTCTTGGACATGAGACCTTAGCCCATTTTCTGTGCTCTCCAGTGACTTGGGCAAATTGTCCCTGTCTCTAAAACGTTACTGACTTGATAATAAGTGCTTCACTGTTCAGTCACACACATCATCACTATTATTCGTGTTAACATTGTTACTTTCTCCTCTTTTCTGTTTGTGAGTGATGTTTGCTGTCCCACTTTGTAAGCTGTCGAGGGCAGGTCTTGGTCAATAGAGTTCTCCCTGTGCAGCCTCAAGCTTAGCCCCATGTACTTCGAGGTCCTTAATAGATATTTACGGTGACGGCCTGTGAGTGTCTGGCGGTGCTGACACTCATCAGCATGGTTCCAGGTAAGTGTTGGATACCGTCAGGATCCAGTGCGCTCCGGCGCTGTAGGCAGAACAAAGAGAGGCGACTCGAAGAGGGCTGCAGGAGAGAAACAGGACAGAGCTGCCTGTGGTCACAGGGGTGTAGGTTACAGGGAGGGGCACGGTGCTCTCCTGACACCAGGGCTGGTGCTGCTCCAGAAGGATCCATGTGGCACACCGGTTGGGACCAGGTGTGGCCGCTTTCTTCTCCCAGAGGTTTGTGTGTCGTGTTCTGCTTCATTAACGTGTGGCTGTGTTCTCTCCTGCTCCGTGCCCGGCCAGTCCGGAACAAGTGTGCCCTGGGCACTCATGGCTGCCAGCACATTTGTGTGAGCGATGGGGCTGCGTCCTACCACTGTGACTGTTTCCCTGGCTACAGTCTGAATGAAGACAAGAAGACGTGTGCAGGTGAACCCCAGCCCCAAAGCCCCTTCCTCGCCGTAGGAGAAAGCTTTTCTTTCTTCGAGCTAACTGTGCTCCTTTCTCTGGCCGGAGCTGTCCGGCCGTCTCCAGCTGTCTCTGGAATAAAGCAATCTCGCTCCTCTGCCACTGTGCTTTCCTGGATCTCATCTCGTGGCTCTCCTTTCATTTTCGCTAATTAATTTCTCTCTCTAGTCTGGGGTTTTACTGTGGTAAAATACACACGACATAACATTTGTCATCCTGACCATCTTACATGTACAGTTTAGTGACGTTCAGTATGGGGACCTGGCCTAGATCCCCAGTCTCCCAAACGAGTGTACAGTGCAGGCTTAAATAAATGAGACAAGTGGGATGATTTTAGGGTTCTAGGAGGATCAAGACCCTTCTGCCGAGTTCTTTTTTTTTTTTTTTTTTTTTGGCTTTTTCGTTTTTTATCGGTACCAGGAATTGAACTCATGACCACCTGCTTGCAACGTAGGTGCTTATGCTGCTGAGCTAAATCCCCAGCCCCCGAGTTCTTAACTTTGTGGCTGTGACAAGGGCTGAGACGGCCCGTGTTTATTACATCTCCAAACAAAGAGCAGGGACACTGAGAAAAGTGCAGGCCATGAGCAGGACCTTGGGAGTCACTTCAAAGACTTCGCCAAGCAGTAAATGACTCCCGTTTAAGAGAACCGTCTTATCTATGTTTATGGTAGGAATGAGCCAGCAGGCTAAAATGCCTGCAGCTGCAGGCTCTTATGTACTTAATTGGGGTTGGAGCCAAGGTGTCCCCAGCTGTGGCCTCATCTTGACCTTTCAGGTATCTGTGGCCTCACCGGCCACTGCAGGCCTCAGCCAGGACCAGTGATTCATCGAGGTTCACTTAAAATGAATCAGCTCCCGTCGCCAGGCAGGGGGGCCTGGCCTAGGACAGACTCACGGATAAACACAGAGCGCCAGTCAGTTGATTTTAAATCCTGCTCAGAGCCGCCTTGTCGTGGTCCCAGCAGCTCAGTACATCTGCGTTGTCCTTCAGTGTCACCACCATCCAGCTCCAGAGCAGTGTCAGCACCCAGGGAACCTCTGTCCCAGCAAGCAGTAGCTGCCCATTCTCTACCCCCAACCCCTAGTGACTGCTGTTCTGCTCCGGGTTGTCTTTTAAAGCTGCTTTTTGACTACGTTTGCCACCAGCTTCCCTCCTGTCCGCAGTGCACAGTTGATATTCCAGAATATTCTGTGCCTGCGGTTTCCATCCTTTGCTGCCATCCATTTCCCCCACCACCGTTGCAGGTGAGAACAAACGAGCCACTTGGATACCAGCAGTGCTGGCAAGGAGCGGGTGCTCAGATGAGGGCTGGCGGGGCCAACTTCAGGCTGGCAGGGTCTCGAGGAGGCGCCATCTGAGAACTCGGAGAAGCCGCTTGGTTTTCTCCAGGGGGAGCTGCAGAGAGAGGAAGGGGGAGCAATGCAGAGTCCGACTGCAGCCTGGGAGGGGGTGGAAAAGCAGGGCAGCCAGTGTGAGAAGCACGAGCCTGGGAAGGAAGCTTGGCACGGCCTGACGTGGGGAGTCGACAGCGCCCCAATCCGGTGTCCCCGGCCACGGGGAGAGGAGTTCATGTTTTATTCTAACAACAGCGAGAACCCCCTAAAGGCTTAAGGCAGTGCAGAGAGCTGCGTCCATTTATATCTTCAGAAGTGACTCTAACTGCTCTGCGAAGGCTGGAATGGACAGAGAGCAGTACAGGCTTGGGCCAGGCTGGTGACGGAAGGGACAGAAAGAAACCGTCTGGACCCAGTTGTCTGGCACTGGCGTGGCTGGAAGGCTAAGAGAGAGGGTGCAGTGCCAGGGCTGGAGATACTCTGGTCATCTTCTGTAACGTTCACGTAACCGTTCGGACAAGTATTCTCCACTGTAGAGTATTCTCAAGTGACCCTCTGTTTAGTGTCCTCTGAAGTTTGCCTGACATTCTGCGGCTTGACCAAAGCTGTGGTCAGCCTGAGATTTTTGTCCGTTGAGGGGGAGACTGAACTCACTTCGGCCTTGCTGAAAACCGCTTGGCCTTAGTGTGGGAGTCTATTTCCAAAGTCTCAGTCCTATTCCACTGATCTGCTCTGCTTGTCTTCCTTAATTAAGGCAGCTTTGTGGTGAGCTAGGACATGAGGAGATGTGAGCCCTTGATTTGGCTCCTCTTTTAAAGATTGTTTGGTCCCCTTCTTCTCCTGTCTTGTCAGTTTACCAAGTGACACTGGGACTTTGATAGACACTGAGTCAAACCCATCGATCTATTGGGGGAGTGTTTTGATCTATGTTTTGCTCTTTCAACCTATTGGCATTGGAGTCTTCCCATTTGTTTAGGTCTTCTTTAATTTGTACTTTTGTTGCTGTTGTTGTTTTGGGTTGGTTTTTTGGGACAGGGTCTTGAACTCACTGTGTAGCCTAGGCTGGCCTTGTACTTGTGGGGTTCCTCCTTCCTCAGCCTCCCAAATGCTGGCATTAAAGTCTTGTACTTTAAACATTTATTACTAAAGCATTTTATTCTTTTTGATGTTATCGTGAATGGATCCATCTCTCAAATTTCAAGTTTGCTACATCCCAGTTCTCAGTGCCCTGGAAAGTGGTTAGAAACCCCACTGAGCACTGTCCTCATGGAGCTTACGGTCTCCTAGGCAAGAGATGCTGGGCAGATACCTTAAACAGCCGCTGCAGGGTCTGCGTGGGAATAATAAACATGAATGATGGTCCGGAGATCTTCTGCTTTCCTGACTGATTGCTGGGCTGGGTAAGATGGAACTTGGGCTGGCTGTTCCCAGAAGGTTCTATAGGGCTTACTTTTTCTCTAACAGTTTTAAAAATTCTATTCTTTGTTGAATTTTTGAAATCTTGACTATTATATGTCCTGGTGAGTTTTTTTTTTTTTTCTGATCATAACTATTTGGAGTTCTATATGCTTCATGCATCGGTATCTCAAATTCTTCTCTATGCTTGGAAAGTTTTCTGCTATTCCTATGAATAGGTTTTTAATGCCCTTTATACTCTCTTCTGATTATTCATTGATTCCAATCAATCTTTTAAATTTTTTTTTTTTATTTTAAAGAGGATAAAACAAAAGAGAACAGAACATTGCAAGCAACACAGCACTTCACAGCAAGACAACCAGTCATCAACAGTAGCACCATAATGTCTCTGGTTTTCTTTGACATAGTTGAGCATACCTTCACACACAATAATATCAAACATAACAAAATATTATAAAGCCATTCAAGAGAATGAAAGCATTATAGGACTTCAAAACCAAATAACAGGAAAGGAATAATGGCTACTATAATATCTCATTGTCCTCAAAAACTTGTTTATACCTTCTTACATGATAGAATCAAATAAAACCGAACAGGATAGAACCAATCGAAACACAAAAACAGAAGCATGGTAGGACTTCAAAACAAGATGATAGTAAATCAGCAGTGGCTGCCATAATGTCTTGTTTTCTTCAAAATAGCTGTTCATTCATACTATCATACACAATAAAATTGAACAAAACAATAAATTCATCAAACCAATGAATGAAAGCATTATATGACTTCAAAATAATATAATAGGAAACCATGATTGCCATAATATATCTCATTATATTCAAAATAGCTGCCCCTACCATCTGACAGCATAAAATCTGATAAATAAGACAGAACAAAGCCAACCCTTAACAAAATTGTGTAAACGATGCAAGAGTTCAAGATAAGACAGTAATTAACTGACAGTTTCCACCTTTCCCTCCCAGGTGTTTTCTCTCCTTCACTCTTACATTAAGTATTTGCTTTTGGATCCCATTAACTCCTTCTGTTCTTATGCTAGGGTTCACGCATATGAGTTCAAACTGTTTCAGCCCGGAACATGATCTCCAGGTGGGTCCATTTACCTACTGGAGCCTTGAGATTATCCTACTTTATAGCTGGGTAGCTTTCCACTGCATGAATACCATGTCTTCCTTACCCATTCTGCAGTCGATGGGCAAGTTACTCTTGCTTTTTTTTGGTCTCCCTTCACATGGAACAATTGTTTTTTCTCCTTTTATTTTCAGTCTGTGAGTCTCCTTTCCAGTTTGATGTGTTTCTTGTACACAGGATATCGATGGATCTTGTTTCTTGATCCACTTTCCCTGTGTTTCTTTGTATTGCTGACCTGAGGCCGTCTACATCAATGGTTACAACCAGCATACGCTGGATTGTTTCTGCCCTGCTGTCCTCCACTTTTCCCCTTCATTCAGTCGCCTGTCCTGTTTGCTGACCCTCCTCTGCTGCTGTTCCTGGAACCATGGTGATCTTTATCTCTCTCTAGAATATCCTTCAGCACTCTGTAGGGTTGGTTTGTTAGTCATGAATCCCTTTAGTTGTTCTTTATCATGCAAGTATCTTATTTTTCCATCAATTTTGAAAGACATTTTTGCTGGATAGATCAATCTAGGTTGGAAATTGTTTTCTTTCAGAGTTTGAAACACTTTACTCCAAAGTCTCCTTGACTTGATGGTTTGTGTTGACAAGTCTGTTGTGATTCTGATAGGTTTCCTTTATAGTTGATCTGTCTCTTTTCTCTAACAGCTTTTAATATTCTGTTCTTGTGCTGAATTTCTGGGCTTGATTATTATATGTCTGGGTGTAGATTTACTTTGGTTATGGCTAGTTGGAATCCTGTATGCCTCACGTATCTGCATGCCAGATCCATTTCCCATGTTTGGAAAGTTTTCTTCTAGTGCTTCTGTGAATAGCCTTTTAATTTCATTTGGCACGACCCCTGCTTCTTCACCTACACCTATCATTCTTAAGTTATGCTTCTTTGTCTCATCTTGCACTCATTGGGTTGTTATTTCCTGATTCTGTGTTCTTTTTAAGAGATCTTTCCTTTCATGATCACTTCAAGGTTTGGAAGTCTATCTTCAGTCTCTTTCAGGCAGTTTTGCCAGCTTGTGATTGAGTTTTAATTTCCTGCATCTCTCTTTGAATCTGTTTCCTGCATTGTAATCCCTTTCTACATTCACTCGAGGTTTCCACCATTTTCCTACGTTTCTCTTTATTGTCCGTGTCTTCTTTAGACCTGCTGAGCAATTCTTTCAGTATGTTTGTGATTTCTTCTTTTACCTGAGACATTATTTCTGGTTTGACTGCTTTTACAAGCTCCTGAAGTTGTTTCCTTGCTTCAGATGGTCTCCTCTCAGAGATTTCTGGCAGTGACTTCCGTTTTCCTCCAGGACTGTATCTCCCAGACTTACTGTGTGCAGGCTGGAGGTCTGAGTTTGCAGCGTGCTCCTTCATCTTGACATTCTCCTGGGTTCCTCCCAGCAATCTGGTTGTGGGGTCCCAGGCACTTCCCACGTTGGTTTCCCCTAAGCAGTGTAGCGGGATGGGACAGGCACTTGGGTTCCTTTAATTCCAGATTTATAGGGAGATAGCAGGGCATGGCGCAGGCTTCTCCAGACCTATGCAGCTATGCTTGGGCTTCACTGATGATCAGGGGTACATGGAGGTGGGGCTGCTTCTCTCAGCCTGTGTGTCTATACTGGGACTCCCACGATACTGGCAGACACACAGGGGTCTATTTGTCTGATTTTGCTAGTGGATGATGGCTGTCTGAAGGAACCAAGGGCCTCCAATGGTGGCCTACAGATGTCCAGGGCTTATCTGGCAGTGTCCCTGCCCCTGCTGGCTGACTGCAGGCAGGAGCCTCCCGGTGACAGCTCCCTGAAGGTGAAGGCAGATCTGCTGGTCTCTCCGCCCCCACTGGCTGCCTGTGGGACGTGGCCTTTTGGTGGCAGCACACAGTGGGCAGAGGTGGATCTGTCTGTGTTCTTCAGCTGTGCTGGGTGTGCGGAGGAAAGGGCCCTCTGGCGGTGGCCCCCAACGGGCAGAGGCGGGACTTCTCCTGGTTCTCTCTGACCATACTGTGTGCGCGGAAGAAGGCGATTCCAATTAATCTTATACAGCTCTTCTTTGCATTGTCCAGCAACTGTTGAATTAGTTTCTTGTAGTCTGTTGATATTTTTTTAGTATATGTGCTGCCAAAGTGAGCACCATTGCTATTTTTTAAAAATTTTTATTGGTACTATTTAGATATACATAATGATCACATTTATCATAGAATATTCATGCCTGTGCATATCTAGATTCCTCTTTTTCCCATCTCTCCTCTCCTTTAACCTCTCTCCCCCCGCTTATTTACAATGCTGTGCTTCCATTTCTATCTTTCTTTTCTTTTTTCTTTTCTCTTCCTGTCACTCTTCCTCCTCCCTAGTTCCCCTTTTCTTTTGAACAATTGCTTTCTAGTTTGAAATTTCTGTTACGCACTTTGGTTCTTATTTACACTTTCAGTTTCTCACACCAGAGAGACAACACAATATTTACACATGTATGTCTGATTTATTTTACTTAAGAGTATGGTCTCAAAGTCCATCCATTTGGCTACATAATGTCTCAAGACTACCCTTCTTTATGGCTGAGTAGTAGTCCATTGCATACAAAAGACTCCACATCTTTTTTATCCACTCATCAGTTGATGGGCATTTGGGCTGTTTCCAAGCTTCAGCTATTATAGACTGTGCTGTATAAATACAAGTGTGGATATATTTTTGTGGCATGATGGTTTTAATTCTTTTGGGAAGATACCAAGAAGGGGAATGCTGGGTGAAATGGGACCTTGAGTCCTAGGTTCTGAGGAATCTCCACTCTGATTTTCACAGTGGTTGCAGCAGTCCACAGTCCCACCAACAGTGGAAAAGAGACACTGTCTGTGCTTTGTCTGCCTGCACCAGCCATCTTTTAAAAATTTCTTTGTTGAAGATGTTTGACAATCAGAAAAGTATAGAGTAGTATGCTGAACCCTCATGTAACCATTACTTTGCTTTGACAACTCAGATATCTCCCAGGTCATACGCAGTTTCCGTGCCTTTATCTTCCAAAATGTTTTTTGCTCTTCCTGTTTGTTTTTACATCCTTTTACCTCCTGGAAGAGGCACAGAGGTGAACCTTAGAAATAGCAGAATTGAGTTGTAGACTTTCTGGGAAGTGCAGACTGAAATGATACAGAGATTCCATCTCACCCTGGCTGAAATTGCTATTATTAAGAATACAAAAAATAATAAGTGCTGATGAGGATGTGGGGAAGAAAAAACCCTTCTGCATGACCGGTGGGAAAGAAAAGTCGCGTAGCTACCATGGACAAAAATTGTGGAAGTTCCTAAAAAGTTAAAAATAAAGAGCCATCATGTGCCGCAGCTGTACAGCTCCGTCATAAACCTGACATATCAGAGAGACCCACACACAGTGTTTATCACAGCCATGACACACGACAGGCCTGAAATAGGCAGTGAACGTTTAAATTAAAACACTTTATTATAATAAGAGACACTGCCGGGGGCTGGAGATTTAGCTCAGCGGCACAAGCACCTGCCTTGCAAGTGTGTGGTTATGAGTTGGATCCCTGGTACCAATAAAAACAAAAAAGACAAAAAAAAAAAAAAAAAAAAAAAAAGAGACACTGCCATAAATTTCCCTCAAAATACTCAAGTATTTCCCTTTTAGCCAAAGGGAAGGCAGGCATGACGAAACACACTCATCGGCCAGTGCGTTAGCACTGCTTTCAGAGGGCGGGACAGCGGACCAAGGGCCTGAAGCAGGAAGAATATCACCTGGGCACTAGCGGCAGTGTGTCTTTACTGTCATGCATTATTATCTCTTTTTAAAAAAAATTTTTTTTTGTCTTTTTCCTTTTTATCGGTACCGGGGATCAAACTCACGACTGCCTGCTTGCAAGACAGGTGCTTATGCCGCTGAGCTAAATCCCCAGCCCCCTGTCATGCATTATTAAAAATTAAAGTATGAATTATATTTTTTGATTCCATTGCATACAGTAGTCAAGAGATGCTTGCCAACCTTAATGTCCAACACAGGTGAATGGGTAAAGAAGATGTGGTGTGTAAACGCAGTGGGGTATTGCTCAGTCATAAGAAGAACAGAGTTTTGTCATTTGCAGAGAGATGGATGGATGTGGAGATGACCATGTTGAGTGAAATCAGCCAGACTCAGAACTGTGAGTCCTGACTTTCCCCATCCCAGGGAGCACTAACGTTCTGTGTACTGTCCCGGTCTGCAGCTGTTGAAGAGGTCCGGAGACTTGTGTCTACCGAGGACGCTTGTGGGTGTGAAGCTTCCCTGGCCTTCCAGGACAAGGTCAGCTCCTATTTCCAGAGACTCAACACCAAGCATATCCTTTCTGCAAGGGTTTCTGCTCTGCGTGGAGCAGATTTAGGGATGGCAGCTGAGCCAAGAAGTTTAGGGTATTTTCCGGAATGTGCCTTATTTGTCGCTATAAGATGAGCAGAGCTATGCATGGCTTTCTAACACTTTCTTCCAGTTGTTTTAAAACATGAGTTAATAAACTGCTCCCAGCATCTAATATTCACATGTAAAAGCTACACAGTGATTTCTTTCCCAGGTGCTTTTCTGTACCGGGGATCGAACTCACAACCACACGCTTGCAAGGCAGGCACTTATGCCACGAAGCTAAATCCCCAGGCCCTCCTAATTGGTTCTTATATAACAGTTGGAATGATGATGCTGTGATTCCTTAAGGTGGCTCTCAGTTCAGAGTAAGCCAGCTGATGGCAGGGTGTGGCTCCTCAGGTTACACCTGGTACACTGACTGGCTAAGCAGTCAGAAAATAGATTTCAAAATGTAATGTGAACTCCAAAATCAGTTCTTTATGAACTAAAAAGCAGAGCTCAAGTGAACACCTGTACTCCTGTGGACCTTAGGGAGGGCATAGAGACTGTGGTAGGTATAACCCAGGCGTGTGCAGATTTTAATTTCCACGTTTCCTTTCATCATAACTTCATAAATGTTGCTTCCCTCACCTACCCCGCTAAGAGAGGTTTTCTCCTTAAGCTTTAGATGAGCAAAAAATATTTGCTACAGTGGTCTAATTCTATCATGCCCACTCATAAAATTTCTGAATTTTAAGTCACACACTTGGCAAGCAATAGCTTTGTTTTTTTAATTTACAACAGGACAGGATTCTTTTACCGTTATGGAAGGCTCCAGAGGTGCATTTATGTTTCCGATGTGTGTAAATGGTGTTGGCCTTAACAATGAGTCACTAGATGACATTTTGGAGAAGTTGCAAGTGCATGAATCTAGACAAATACATCGCTAAATTGCTTACAGTTTTCACTCAGAAATGTGGAGAACTCAGCGTAACATTCATTCTTTTGCACACTCGTATTGCCAATGTTTCTGCTAATAATTTGCCATTGTAAATGCTTGAATATTACTGGATAATAGTATGAGGATTTTGTGGAGAACCAGTATTAATTTTCTAAGGAAATAAAGGTGCAAATCCTTAAAAGCAAACTTTAGTTTCTTTCAGCTGTAACTGTGAAATGGTTTGTAGGAAGTACAATAGTAAGTTTAATGTTTATTGCTGGGCCTGGTGGCACACGCCTGTAATCCCAGCACTTGGTAGGCTGAGGCAGTGTAAATGTTCTTGTCAGCTTGGATTATGTAGTCAGTTAACCTGAACTACAAAATAAGACTGTCTCAAAATACCAAAGAACAACAAAAATAAGGTTTCTTTCATTACCTTCTATTTGGGCCATTTAATTTTAAATATTCATATTAAGAGAAGAGAATGGCATTCACATTGGAAACTTCAGATCTACTTTCTCAATAGTATCTTAAAATTATGTCAGTTTTATTACTGACAGTGCAAATTGTACAAAGTATTTACATTTAGAAAGTATTTACATTTAGAAAGTTCATATAATTGAGAGGAAAACAGAACTGGAATACTTTTCATTTTTTACTCACCTTTGCTGGTTATTGAAGCTGTGATCAACAGGCTGTGATATACATGTCCAATAATACTTACAAATGCAGAGAGCAGTAGATGCCATTTAAAACTGACTCTGGCCTCAGAAATCCACAGATGCACTAGGTGTGAATTTAGTGTTGAACTTCTACCAAAGACAAAAACCCTACATTTACTTTATCATTTTGATTTAGGATCTAATCAGAAAAGTTATATAGTTTTAAAATTGGTAGAATAAAAAACAAAACTGAGTACTTACTGGTAGTAATAAGCCTAATTTTGCATATATTTTGATGCGTATACTTTTCCCTAGCTCTACAGCTTATAAACTTTTGAAACAGCAATCTTTTAAATTGTGTACTAGTCAGTTCTTTTTGGTACTGTCTTAATATAATAAAAAGTTATGTTTACATGTCAGCGTCATGACTGGTTTTTTGGTGATTCATGTTAATTTTGTGTCTTGATGTGTTTCCTTATTTGGAGCTGAATGATTACTTTGAATGTATAGCATTTTGTTAGTGAAAGGGAACAATATTGATGCCCTTCCAATAATGCAATCTCATGCTTGAGGCTAAAAATGTAATACAGGTTAGACACAGGGCTTTAATCAAGTATGTTTTAGGAGAGAAACTTCTCTAAATTTAAATAAAATGAGCTGAACATCGAGTTAAACTTGTGAAAAGCAAATGTAACCTATAATCATAAGATATCAAGTTTAAAGAAGTGAAAAATAAACCGGGCAGGGCAGCAGATGCAATTAATTTCAGCACCGGGGAGGCTAACGCTGAGTTCAAGACCAGCCTGGATTACACAGCAGCAAGACCATGTCTCAAAAAATTGAAGAAAAAAAGGAAACAGAAAGAAGTGAAAAATACACAAAAACACAGTGTATGAAACATCTGTTTCTCTTCAAAAATTCTGGAAGGATGTGACATATAGCTACAGTAATAGTTTCAAAATTTGAACGCAGAATCAGTAATGTATCAGTATGTCACAGAGAAATACGGGTACGGAGAGACAAATGAGAGTTCCTGGACACGGAATGGTAGAGAGACGACACTTCTGGAGTGTGACCATGAGCTTTACCTAATCGTGTCTCAACCTAACACTGATGTGTTTCACCTGTAGCTTGTGAGCAGGTGCCAGTGCATCGTGGACGTTTACTACTTAATACTGAAAAAGTGACACACAAGTTTCACAAACACAAAAGATATACAAAAAGTTGAAAATGTATGGACTGAATGAAATAGACGTTAACTTTGCAAAGAACCCCAAATTGTGCCACTTTGGGTACAACTGGCCTTGTAGTGGGCGGGAACCTCCCAGGGGCTGTTAGGTCGGCTTGGGCAGCAAAGCCCACGGAAGGCTGGATGGTAGGGCAGAGAGATCTGAGCTTGGATGCAGTTTTGACTTGCCTGTCCTAGAGTGCGCTGGGTAAGTCAACAGCCACTGGTCCGCGGATTTGCTGAAATGCTGAAAGCTCCAGGTGGGGAAACTAACCGGAGCTGCGTAAAGCACACACTACATTACACAAATCAACGACGGGAGGCGTCGATCATGCTAAAAAAAGAAAGCCAGAAGCAAAACGATGGATGACACCAAATAATGACTGATGATTTGCATAATACTCGATTAAGGCAAGACATGCTCTACTTGGTTTTCTGCCTCTAATTTCGATTTTGGGACACGGTAACTCAGGGATTCAGAAAGAATAAAGAAGGAAAAAAACCACAACACAACACAACACAAATCAAAATAAAACAACCCCAAAACAGCCTAAGGCAGTTAGGGAAGGGACGACGGGAAAGTCGGCCCCAAGGGTGACAATGAGCAGCGGCGGCAGAGACGGCCGGGTCACCTGCACCCCTCTCCCAAGGGCGCCGGCGCCCGCTGCTCCACCAGCCCCAGGTTGGAACGCGGGTTCGCCGGCCGCCAAAGCAGTCACATTCCCGGCCGCGGCTCCTGCTTTGTGGAGTGTTGAGGCAGCGGGACCTCCAGGCCTGCAGTCTTCCCGGCGCGCAGTCCTCGGAGCACACAGCGACCCTCGGCCACAGCCGCCCGCACCACTGCGCAGGCGCCCCAGCCCCCGCGTGCCACAGCCGCACCGGAAGTGCTTCTCGGCGCCCCGGAAGCACCTGCGCGGTGGTTGCCAGGGCGACGCGAGCTTCCCTGGGCTGCCTGGACCCGTGGGAGACACAGTCGCCTGTTGCAGACCTTGACCCCCGCGGTGATCCTTTGGGGGTTCTCACGATGTTCTTCTACTTGACCAAAAAAGTGAGTGTTCCGAGGGTGCTGTGCTTCTCCCTCGCGCACCCTCGGGTGATCCCCGCATCCTTCCTGGGAAACCCGGCCGCTGCACTGCGGCCTCACCACCCCACGCTAGCCTGCTAACCAGGTCCAACCTCCGACCCCTTCCTGCAGGTCCCCAGGCCGCAGAGAGCTTGTAGCCTTCCCACACAACCCTCCCCTTCCTGCCCCTTGCCAGGGCCTTGGGTGACCAGCAGGACACATCAGCAGGTGCTGTCGCATCTTTCCTCCTCCGCTTGTTGTCGGTTCACATCCCTTTGGATCGTCACACGCAGCCCGGCAGGAGGACTGGAAAAAGAAAAGGATAGCCTGAGTGTTGTGTGATTGAAGAGAATACGGACGGGTGATGTGCATTCGTTCACAACCCCCCCAAATTCATCATGTGACTCCTCTCCATTCTCTACCTGTTTCTCAAATGGTAGCACCCTAGGCACTTGGGGGACCATGGTCATTTTCGTAACAGCTCATTTTCCTGCAGTTTTTCTTGTTGGAAAATTTCTTCTGTCGTCCTTTCCTGTCGACTGATTTTCCAGCTCTTCGTGAAAGGTTGCTAGCGTGGCTGTGCTTCCTCTTACAGATTGCCATTCCCAATAGCGTGAAGCTGAAATGCATATCCTGGAACAAGGAACAAGGCTTCATAGCCTGCGGTGGCGAAGATGGGTTACTGAAAGTTTTGAAGTTAGAGACACAGACAGGTAAATGAGTGCAAGCCCAAATGTTTGAAGTTGGGTATTTATGAGATTATCTCATGGTATTTGTCACTGCAATTCTGATTCTTTTAAACAGCAAAGAAAAGAAAAGACCCCGAACATACATTTTGTAGTTTTCCTGAATGCACATGCGTGTACGTGTGTGTGTGTGTGTGTGTGTGTGTGTGTGTGTGTGTGTGTGGTTCTGGGGGATCGAACCCAGGGTCTTACATAGAGCTACATAGGCAGACTGTTCTAAAATACTCAGATTCACAGAACGCCCATGTAAAATCATATGGCTTTTGCTGAAGTTATTGATGGAAAATGAAAAAGAACGAAACTAAGTTAGTGTGTTTATATGTCCAATTATTGTGCTATATTATTAGGAGTCCCATAAAAATCATGCAAATCAAGTTTTAAGAAACATCACAAAATCTCCCATTTGGCATATTACTTACAGACCTGTGTCATCTTTTCTCCTTAACAGATGTGTTAGTGACTGTACAATTAGTGCCTCCAAATTGAAGTATATTTTGTGTTTTCTTTTTTTTAAATTTTTTTGTATTTTTACCGGTACCAGGGATCGAACTCACGACCACAGGCTTGTAAGGCAGGCACTTATGCCTCTGAGCTAAATCACCAGCCCCTATATTTTGTGTTTTCAAAGTAGGTTTCTTGTCTTTACAGCCTGCTTTGTTTTTCCTTCTAGTTCTCTTGAATCACAGTAAACAGTTTGTGGAAGTCTAAAAAAAAGATTCAGTGAAATCTGTCCTGAGACTCTGAATGACTTTCACTCAAGTTGCTGAATATCTGGGTTTTAGTTCACTGTATTGTAAAACAAAGGAGTTCAGTTAGATTACATTTTGGGTTCCTTATAGTGTGGCCTCCCAAATTTTATCAGGTGTAATAGTCTGGGCTGGGGCCTGAGAATTTTCATCTCTTGTGATGGTGGTGTTGCTGATTTTCAGATCACACTTTGGTTAGAGCTGCTTATAATTTTGAATCATAAGTATTTAGCGAGTATTTTCTGCGTTCCGGATGGTTAACCTGAGTTGTTTCATGTGATTTTGCAGTGGCTTCTCGGGTACATAGTCCAGCTGAGGGAATCGAGGCTCTCATCAGGTAGTAACTTGCTTGGTGAAGGTCACACAGCCAGTGAGTTGCAGAACGGGGATTTGAAACTGTTTGTCTCACTTTCAAATCCTTATTTTCAACCACTACACAGAAGTTAATGGGCAGCCTAGGAAAAGTGATTGTTTAGATGTGCTGTATTAATTATGTGAAATATTAAAAAACAAACATGAAGATGCATTTTGTATCAAAGTGTGGCTTCTGATGTTTTGCAGTCTATCACTCATGCATTAGTTTTCTTAACCATGTTAGAATTTTTCTGTTATGTTTCCCAAATATGTGTGTGAATATATTTTGCTTAAAGTACACAACAACTTTCAATTCTATTAAGAAATGCATTTTATTGAACATTTAAGTTGTTTAGGAGTGGGGCCGAGGTCTCTCTGTCTCTTAGGCAGGCTGGCCTCAAACGCCAGGGCCCCAGCGAGCTGCATGGGGCAACACCCTGAGCAGCTGGGACTGCAGGTGACACCCCTACACCTGCAAAGCAAGCCCCCCCCCCCCCCCCGGCTCTGTACTTTTGATGAACTTACTTGGACTGTGAAATTAGAGCAGGTTCTTGGAAGTTTCTGAAAGTGAGTTATTTGTTTTGGAATCTTTGGCAAGCATCTTAGTCTTTCTACCTCCAAATTGGTCTTACGGTCTCCAGATCTCTCCTTTCTGTTCTCGCCACCTTAGCAGTTATTGTAACTTCGCTCGCTTCAGAGTCTATGATTATTTCTGAGTAATACTAGCAGAATCTCCTCCAGGTTTATATCCTTCGTTCTCTGTCATCTCACTGTACTTTAATTTTTTGCATGCTTCTTTGGATTTGTGAGGTACTTGGATTGTTAGAACTACTGATTTCATTTTGAAATTTTCTTCATGCATTTAAAATACTTTTGCATCTTCTTTCATCAGGCCTTTAAATCCAAGGGTCACGGGTAGATGCTATTAGAAGTTTTATGTCAGTATTACCAGGTTTTTGTTCCCATGCCAGTTTGGTTTTGGTTGCCTTATTGGCTTTTGGAGTTTAGCAATATAACTAGATAAAATTGTGGGATATTGCTGGAGGTACTCAACCTAGTTTAAAACATCTGACTTTCTTTTTAATATCTGGGAACCTTTAGATAGGTGTTATGAATATTCTCTGCACTGTTAAGTTGTGTAAGAGACATGTTCAGAAGTGGATGACATGTGATCAGTATTTCAAAGTGAATTTCAAAGCCTGTTACTCCCACCCATCAGCATATGTCTTTTTCAAGAGTATCCGATCTTGTTTTAGGAAGTACTCTGTTGTGCAGAGGTGCGACTTTGGAGAGATGGAGCCACGTCATCGCTGCTGCAGACATTGTTGGTCCTGTAGCCCTTCACACAGGACAGTGTCTCCCCTGCTTGCACCCCCAGGTTCCCCACAGCCTGGGGCCTCAGCAGTTGCCATCTGCCAGCCTGGAGCGCCCCCTTTTCCCCTACATGGCCTTGCCATGGCGTCCAGCTTGAGTATCGTTTCTTCAGGAAGCCTTTCCTGGTTCCCTTCTGTCCGAATTAAGCCCCTCCTTGCTGTTTCTTGTTACACCTTTGCTTCTCAGCTTGTAGTGACACGTGCGTGTAACACTGGTCTCCCCCACAGACTTCACACTCTGAGGAGAGGTAATGCCCGAGGGGTTCATCTTCTGTGTAGACCCCTCTGCAGGGCCTAGTGCGGTGTATACATTTGGTAGTTATTGAGTGCACAGATGCGTGGTGAGTATGAAGCCTAGCAAAGCCTGCTTCTGTTCATCACCGTTGCTGTTTGGGCTCTATCAGCTTTAGTGCTTTCAGTCAGACTTTTCCAGCAGAATCTTCTGGGAAGCAATGATGATCGTTCATATATTTAATACACCAAGTGTATTATACCAAACATACCAAGTGTTCTTTTATGCATTTTGCTTTATTTTACTAGAGAAATATCTTTGCATGTGCATTATTGTTCATGTTTGCTCCACAAGAAAGAGATCAGAATGAGATATACTTTTGAAAGTCATTCTGATATATACCAGGTATAGAAAAAAAGATATATATTAAAATCTTAAAATGTATGACTTTTACATATTTATGATAGTGCCTTGTTTTGTTTTAGATGATGCAAAATTGAGGGGTCTTGCAGCACCCAGTAACCTTTCTATGAATCAGATTCTTGAAGGACATAGTGGTGAGTGATGCAATTTTTTTAATCTGTTTGGAGAAGTATTTATATATCTAGAAGCTATTTAGTGCAGAAATATGAGCCCTTGAAATAGCCGTAATGTTTAATGGTTTTAATGAATCACGACTAACACGGCCTGGAGCCGTGGCGGTGAACCTCTGGCACATGTGCCGCAGCAGGCTGTGTGTTACCATTGTAACTCCAAAAGGTTTGCCGTCTCTAGCCTACAGCCACTCAGCAGCTCTTTCAGGATTCACAGTGTCCTTCAATAAATCTAAAAACTGTTGCTGTTCTTTTATATATTAAATATTCTTTTAAAAAAAAAGTGTCCTGTGATTGGAGAGTAAAGGAGCCTAAGGAGACAGAGCAGTTGAGTGCTTTGCTGGGGTCCTCGATGGGACCTGCATGGCAGCACAGCATCTTTAGAGACCAGCACTTGGCCCACTAATAAATATTCGAGAGTGGGCTTCGTTAGAGGATGATATTTTATAAATGTTAAATGTCCTTGGGAGTGTACACTGAAGGTACTTAGGAATGCTGGTTATTAAAAGACAGCTGGGCCTGCTGGTACACACCTGTAATCCCTACACTCTGGGAGGCTGAGACAGGAGGATCACAGTTTCTAGCCTCGGTCAGGCAATTTCCTGACTTAGTGAGACTCTCTCTCAAAGTAAAAAATAAAAAGGGCTGGGTAGGTAACTCAGTATGAAGGTTCTGGGTCATCCCCGGGACAAGGGTGGGGGGTAATTATTTATGTAATCCAGAGGTTTAAGATGTACTTAGAAGTGTCTCACTAATGGGGTGTGTCTTAGTGACTTTTTACTCGTTGCTGAGACAAAATACCTGAAGCCCAAGCTGGGAAAGGAAAGGTTTATTTCTGACAGTTTTTGGAGATTTCAGTCCACTCTCAGTTGGATCCAAGGCAGGCAGGCAGGCATGGGTGGGCTGCAGTTCATGGCGGCTGCAAACAGCAAGCAGGAACCAGCAAAGAGCAAGACACATCTTATTTCTGCCATTACGTTACATCCTGGCTCCACCCCAACGTGGGTGTAGCACTGACACCATCAATCTAAGCACTAGACAATGAACCATTACAAATGCACAATGCAAATGCGTGAGTCCTGGGGGCCACCCACATAAACTATGACTGGGTGGAAAACTGCGGGGTGGTGGGCATACAGTAAGGGACGTAGCAATAAACACAAGTGAACAACCAGCCAGCCACACAACCGAAAGAACAACTCATTCCCAGGGAAATCAGGTCAGTTCAACAGACCACGCATCAGTTCGGTGGGAGCTCTTGCAGCTGCCCAGCGGAGGTACCTTTGTGAGTCTGAAATAGGGCTAGGTGTGAAAGAGTCTGAGGCACTGTGGGCTCAGTGAATATGTGTCCTACTGCTGGTATTCATAGCTTTGGATTTTAATATAAAGGACTGTACAGGCACTGTATCGATGCACTAGGAGTTTACTTATGTAGAGATACAAATTTGAAATTAATTGTTGCCCTGTTTAAATTTGTAAATTGCTTTCTAATATTCCAGGTTCTGTTCAAGTGGTAGCGTGGAATGAACAGTATCAGAAGCTGACCACCAGTGACCAGAACGGGCTGATCATCGTGTGGATGTTATACAAAGGTAGGGAGCTTTAGGGGAGCTGCTAGCTCGCGGGGCGTGGAAGGGGAGGGAACGTCCGAGATTGACCCGGCAGCCCGCGGGAAGAGTGCTTCTGACCGCACCGTTATGGGGGCTCTGGATTTACTGCCGCCTCCGTTTCTGTTCACTTTATTTGGGTTTGAACGGTGACCCTGTATTGGGAAGCAGGGCTGTGAGCTGAGGCTAGCCTGGGCCTGTCTCGCAAAACCACAGTTGGGGAGGAAAGTGAATTTGCGACTGTTGACTGTCAGCAGAGTGAACTCCGATGGCAGAATCAGTCATTTGGACCCAAGATTGCTCCCGTGCCCCGCCGTGTAGCGATTAGTTCCTGTGACTGACTGTGCGATCAGTTTGCTAAGTAGCAGCATTTATGAGGAAGTCAGAGGCAACAGCTCCTTTCCTGTATTGGACAGGGCATCTTCCTTTTCTCTCACTTATGTCATAGTCTGACTACTGGCTCACCGTTTGTGCCTCTTTGCCTTGAGGGAGAAGAAGAAGGGAGAGATGTATCACTCTTACTAGAAAAACCACCTAGCACAGGCGTTCTCTTGAGGTCTGTAACTGTCATCTTCCAACAGGAAGGGGGCCATAGTTCGTGTGTGCTGTTTTACAAAAACCTAGGCTAGTCCATTCCCAAATTGTTGATTAAAAAGTATGTGTGGTACTCGGGTCTGTTTTTGAAGTGTGTGTGTGTGTGTGTGTGTGTGTGTGTGTGTGTGTGTGTGTTTGGGGTGGAATGGAGTAGAGTGCAAAAGTACAAGATTGGAATAAAATTCACGTTTCCCAGGGAGCTCCTCTGGGTCTCACCCTGAGTCCCATGGTGCCCCGCTCTGACTGTTTATTACATGTCATTGATTATTTGCTTGGCTGCAAGCCAGAGTTCTTCACACAAGGATGTGCTAAAGCCTTAAAAAAAACCCCACAGAAATAAAGACAGTATAGCTTTTTATTTTTGCTGCTAACTTGATTATACTATGAAACAAGTCCCATCTCACTTGTAGAGTTAAAATGTTTTGTCATTCAGCAGTAGTGAAAGTATATCACCAGTGTCATATGAGCTGCTTAAGAATGTTTTAGGCAGGCTTAGAACTTTAGGTAATATGCTTACAGAGAGTCGTTGGTAAGTTTATTGTAGATGCAAAGTTGTTATTCTGATGTTTTCACTTACCTAAAGTATGTTCAAGTAGGGAAAGTGAGGCTTTTGGGAAAGTCAGTATTTGTTGTTTTTTTTTTGAGATAGGGTCTCACTGTGTAGTTCAGGCTGGCCTTGAGTTCGCTATGTAGCGCAGGCTGGCCTCAAGCTTATGGTGATCCACCTGCCTCAGCCTCCCAAGTGCTGGGATTACAGGCATGTACCACCACTCCTACCCTGGGAAAGTCAATTTTTATGGCTCTGCGAAAGCAAGTGAAATTTTAGTGTTTAATTGACAACATAAAAGAAAGAAAGAATGAAAAAGAAGGATGTTGTATTTGTTATAATCTTTAAAGCAGTTATTGGTTGAGGCCTAGGTAACTTTTTGTTTTGTTTATGTTGGCTGTGAAGCTTTTAATAGTTTAATGTCTCATGCTGTAGAAAACTTTACGATTATTCATCCTCTGTATACTTGATAGAATATTTTCAACTCTCAGTGCCATTTATAGATATGAAAAATTTGACTAATCTTCTCACTTCCAAAAACAGGCTCTTGGTATGAGGAGATGATCAACAGTCGAAACAAATCGGTGGTTCGGAGTATGAGCTGGAACGCTGACGGCCAGAAGATCTGCATTGTGTACGAGGACGGGGCTGTGATCGTCGGCTCTGTGGATGGTAATGAGATCAGTAGTCAGCTGCTGTGTCTTCAGAGAGTTACATTACCGTGTCTTCGCCTTCCAGCTGAAAAGACAGAAAAGGGGAAGACTGTCGTGGTGGTGGCCGCTGAGCACAGCCTGTGGGTTCTATCTATTTTTAAGTGTATTTGACAAGAAATTACGTTTTGATTTCCTGTAGTAGCACTCAGCATTATTTTAAATATTGTTCATTATATAATTTATCTTTATATTGGTTAGATTGTGTAAGTAAGTAGATTTTAGTTTCCAAAGTATGTGAAATTATAGCAGTCTGGTAGAACAGTGTGTATCCTTGTTAGCTGTATTTTATAGCTTTAAAACCCAGATCTTTAAAATTCTAGTACATAGATAAAATTCGGCGTTTTTTTTTTGCTTTGTTTTAGTGTGAAACTGTATATAGAGAAATGATTTATTTTAAAATTTCGTTTCTGTGTATTTCTCTGTGTGTGTGCGCGCACACATGTGTGACTGTGTAAGTATTGCAGTTAGTATTTTCAAGAGCCTATGATGTGGCAGCTCTGTTTAGGAACTAAGAGCGAGCCCAGGAGAGATGGTAACAAAGCAAAGGTAACCTCTCCGATCAGCGCCAAGACAGGGACACCCGGGAACTGTAGCCGTGTCCAGCTGCAGACAGGAGGCCTCGAGGGAACCTGGAGGAACTGGCCGGCGGCGGCTTGCTGTGCGGAGGGTCTCAGGCCTGGGCAGCAGCCTGTGAAGGGGTTTGGAGCAGTGAAACTTGGCGGCGATGTTGACAAAGTATAATACAGTAAAGAGCAGTATGTAATGAAAAACAGAGTCCCAGTTGTACTGATTATAAATTGTGTTAAAGAGTTTGGACTTCTCAGTGCTTGGGAAGCCGATGAAGGCTTTTAAGAACGGGAATATTGTGATCAGATTTGTGCCGTAGAGACATCTTCGCGACAGTGATGAGAACGGAGAAAGCAAAGACAGCGGGCAGGCACAGCAGTCAGGAAACTGTTCCTGCAGGTCAGGTGAGGGCATGTGGGGGATGCTGCCCCGAATCAGGGCCATGCAGGGGATCGGAAGTGGGTAGGCTGGAGACACTCAGGAGGCAGCATAGACAGGAAGTCATTATTGACCCGATTGGGGTGTCTGTGAGACGAAGTTTAGCTTTTGCAGCTGGATGAATGGCGATGCCTTTCTCTGAAGTAGTATGAGCTTTGGAGAAAGCCTGGTTCTGAGTGGGGTTTCTGTTTTGGACATGTTGATTTTGTCATGCCGTAAGCCATCCAAGTAAATACATCCAGACTGTAGTAAGCTCTGTATGTCTGCAGCTTAGAAACGTCTAGGCTGAGGGCTAATTATGGACTCTTGCATGGTAATTTAAACATTGGCATACATGAAGAGGCAACTTTAAGAGATGGGCAGAAGAGAATTCTATACACGATACTGAAAAGTAGACATGTTGGAGATAAAGGAATACATAATCCAGCGGAAGTCAAGAGAATGTTGAGAAGGAGGGGTGCTCCGCAGAGAAACAGTATCGAAGGCAACGGCAGCAGCGGTCACTTCCACGAGGGTCCTGGGGACTCAGGAGGGTCCTGGGGCTGGAGCTAAATTAGCAGGGGAGGGCTTAGGGAAGTGGCGACTGCAGATGGAATGATCAAGGGTTTGGTTGGAAAGGAAGGACAGAAATAGGATGAGGAATGTAGGGTTGAAGGAAATGTTTTTATTGTTGTTGAAATAAATCTCATCTGTCTGTAAATGAGGTGTTTCATAGTTAGGGCATTTTGTGAATGTGTATTAAATCAGATGAGTTAGACTATATCCGGGGCGTGACAGAGTGCAGGGCAGAAATGGACAGATCAGCAACACCACTTGATTTAAATCTGCATCATCCGCCAGGCCCAATAGCCGAAGCAAGTACTAGCATGTGTCTCAGATAGAGCCATTTGGAAGAAACCCTCTATGGATCAGTACAAATCCATCTCACTACAGCAGCGGTTCATTTTAGCAATAGTATGGCACAGAATACATATGAGAAAAATTCATCACAAGACAGCCAAGGCTGTCACAGTGGTGCAGCTTCATATAAAAACTCAAGCTGCAAATCAAAATTGGTCCAATGAAGAACAAACTGGTCACGCTCCTGATGGTTATGTCAGGATACCTAGTGTCCAAAGTGGCAGCTTTTATAATTTTGCCAAAGAGCTGGTGTGCCAGAAGAAAGACAGGAGCGGAATCTGGGCTGTTGCCGTGATGGGCCGGGCCTGGGGTCCAGTCGGTGTGGTTGCCGTAAGGTCACGGCAGGAAGCGCCTTCTGCTCCGGTCTTGCAGGTGCGCTCTCATGTGTCCCGTGGACGCTATGAAGGAAGGTTAAGTGCAAACAATGCTAAGAGCGAACTGCTGCCGCTCTCGGTGCTCATTCACGAGAGGGGTGTTCATTGGCTAAACAAGCCACGCACTGCATTCAAAAGGGAGAGTGGGTGGAAGCAAACCAGAACCTTCTGTGCAAAGGAAAGGTTGAGGAAAGGGGAGGGGAGTGAAGGACAGATACGTGCACTCTTCCTCCCAGCTGTGCTCCGCAAAAGGAAGACTGCATGAGCCAAGCAGATGCTCAAAGTGCTAAAAAGACATTGATCACATTAGAGTCTGTACAACCAGCACCTTGCTTAATATTAACTTATTTAGTGATCAGTATCCCATTAATTGCTAAGACAGAGCGATGCCCAGCTTGGCATGCTGCCTCCCCAAGATTTGAAGGTATTCTGCACGTCATTATTGGGTTGCAATTATGCTGCAGACAAAGGTTGGTTACACACAGTGGTTAACACACAGAGGACTCACGGGGCAAACAGGAAGCACCAGGTTAGAAAACAGGTACCGACAGCTGGCTGTCGTGTGTGGTCTGGTAGCCCTGTGGCCACAGTCGTGTGATGAAGACAGTTGTTAGGTAGATGCGGGGAGGCTGCTCACACATCAGACCCCGTGGTGTCCGACCACCGAATGCTGTGTGCCAAGAGTCAGACCGGCGGCAAAGAAACCGTCTTGGTCTTTCTAGTGTCTGTTTCTGTTGGCGTAATGCTCAGCAGTACTCCCTGCCTGGCTGCCCAGACGCATCTGGTGTCGCAGTAGTGACAGTGGTGGCCTCCTGGCCCAGCTGTGCTATGTCAGGTCATCCTCCAGGCTCCGCCCGTCCGACAGCTGAAGCCCTTTGCACTGCAGCTGGGATAGCGCTTTGGTTCTCCTTGAGGTGCAGTTGAGGAGGTCTGTGTGTTACTGTATTTCAGTCTTCCTGTGAAAGGGCCGGAGAGAAGACTCTGATGACAAAATCAGAACAGTTAATGGGGGAGAGCCTCTTCCTGGTCACAGATGAGGTGGAGGATTCGCTTGCACCAGGGTTGTGCTCCTGCTGGCAGGCACTGTGCTCCTGCGGCCTTGGGGTACGTGGGCATCAGCGAGATGGTCCTCTGAATGTTTGAAGACGGGGACCTGAAATTTCTCTTTAGGGAGTTATAGGAGATGGGCTCACCTGTTAATTGGGAGAAGGGAGCAAAATGTAAACAGCTGTTACTGTCAGCGTCTGTAGGGCATTCAGCATCTGTAAATACTGGGGTGCAAGTGCCTTCACCCAGTGAGCTGAATGACTGTGTGACCGTGTACCTCACTGGGGAAAGGTGGTTTAAAGCAGTTGTTGGAGGCTCATAACCCTGAACCGTCAGTGACTGTGCTGTGTTTTGTTTCAGGGAACCGTATTTGGGGAAAAGAACTGAAGGGAATACAGCTGTGCCATGTAGCTTGGTCCGCAGATAGTAAAATTTTACTTTTTGGAATGGCAAATGGAGAAACACACATTTATGATAATCAAGGAAATTTTATAGTAAGTGTGTACATTCATTATTTTCCTTTACATCCTATTTTATGTGATCATTATGTATATAATTCATACGTATACGTACTTGGGGTTTATGAAGTCAGCCTTCAGTTTTCTTCTTTTTTTCAGTCACCGCTAGTTATTATTTTTTGATTAAAAGGAAGCCTTGTCTTCTCTAAGACTGTGACTTTGAATTCTGATTTTCTGGTAGGGATGCCCGTACATTGCGGGTAACAGGTGGGGTTATGTTACCGTAAGTTTTTAGTGACCTTTGGTGCCTGCAGCCAAAGTTTACAGGCGGATACCGAGCGCGTTTTTGTAGAAACTAAGAGTTGTTGAAAAAGGAGTGAGGGGTAAACTAAGGAAGAAAATTGAGTTCCTACAAAGCAGGCGGGAGGAGCAGGCTCAGGTGGCAGGTCCGAGAGCGGTTCCGGCTTTGCAGGGTGTAGCTGGGACCGATCTGCGAACTCCGACGGTCGGTTCCGTTTTCAGCGAGGATTAGGGTGAACGTAGGTTAACTTGCTGGTGGAAATAAAGCCACTTTCCAAATCTTTGACGCTTTGCTGTTTTCAAAGTACTTTCATGTACGTCTTGTTGTTTGAGCCTCTTGAAAACTGAGTGTTTTTGTTACTTTACACCTAAGGAAGCTGCAGCCCCAGCGGTTTGTGTAGACCTGGTAAACCAGCAAGTGATCGCTCCTGTTTGTAGCCCGCTGTTTGCACCCTGTTTTCAGTGTTCTTCCTCTGACAACCCCGCTAGCGCTCTATTTCCACTGCGAATATTGACCCTCGTCACTTTATCTAGATGAAGATGAGGCTGAGCTGCTTGGTGAATGTCACCGGAGCCGTGAGCATCGCGGGGATCCACTGGTACCACGGCACCGAGGGCTACGTGGAGCCCGACTGCCCCTGCCTCGCCATTTGTTTTGACAACGGGAGGTGCCAGATAATGAGACATGAGAGTGACCCGAGTAGGTGCTCTGTCGCTTTTAGGGTTGGAGAAAAAATGCTTTAAAAATCGTTCTTAGGGGCAGAAAGTCCTCTAGGCCGTGTGTTCTCATCTCATGTCATCATCATCTTTATTTTGTTCTGATTAGACCCGGTTCTGATAGACACGGGCATGTACGTGGTCAGTATCCAGTGGAACCACGTGGGCAGTGTGTTGGCTGTGGCCGGCTCCCAGAAAGTGGTCACTCAGGACAAGGATGTGAACATTGTGCAGTTTTATACCCCGTTTGGTGAGGTAAATGTATAAAGTTTTATCTTTTCATTCAAAGGTGCACTGGTGAAGTGCGGGGGGAGGTGTAAGTTTGTCCTGTTTACTTTGTGGGACATTTTGAGTAAGTCTTGAGATGCCAAATGTGTATAACGGCTTCACAGCATTTCATCACAGAAGTGTTTTCTAACATGACCGTGTAGGAACCTGTAAGCAGTCACTGTGGAGTGGTCATTTAATATTTTTTTTTCTGTGCTCTGAATGTGTCTCTTTTCATAGCTGGAGTTTACATGGGTTTTAAGTATAATGTATTTGTTGCAAGTTCATTTTTCTGATTTTTAATGTGATACTTGAAATGTGCTTAGATAAACATATGTGTTTACTGTTACCCCAAACTTCTGATATTTTGATTTCTTGTAGGTTAATCAATTATTTTAAAAATACCTGACAATAATCAAGTTTAAATGATATTATATTAAAATTATAAATATTGTTTTCATAAATGCATAGAGTATTATTAATAAATTTAATTTAAAGAGAATTTTCTAAAGAAGTGGAACATTCAAGTAGAATAATTAATATATTCTCATACATATGTGGACTTTAAAAAATGGGCCTTATTAATAACGAAGTCTGAGGGCTGGGATTTAAAGCTCAGCGGCATAAACGCCTATCTTGCTAGTGCTGTTGTGAGTTCCATCCCTGATACCGGAAAAAAAAAGTTTGGTATGTTTTTATATATCTTATTTTTCAGCCCTAAACTCTCTTTTCTTCCTTTTTGATACCTTGTATGTTTTTCTAAATTCAGTGTTTACTACAATAATATGTATTTTTGGTGAGATGAAAATGCCTATACAAGTTAGTTTAATATTTTAATACTGATATTTTAATTTAATGGTAGTAGTTTGATCATTTCTGCCAAGGTAAGAAATGGGTGTCACACGGTGCTTTTGAATCATACCTCAGTTACCTTGCGGAGTGCGCTGCAGAGGGTAGGTGTTCTCTGTGCGTGGTCAGCTGACAGTATTCCTGGTCGATGTAAAAGCTAAGGAAAAATGGGGTTACGGTGCTAAAGATTCCTAATATCACAAATCTGACTTCGTATCGTTTCTTTGTGCAGAGCTGCTTTTTAGCAACCTTTAACAGTTATTTTTTGTACGTCCTGTTTGGTTTATTATCATATTGTTTTTGTTCCTCGTTCAGCCCTCTCCAAGTGTAAACCATGGGTTCTAAGGTTTATGTGCTTGGCCTTGTAACACAGTGTGCGAACCATTAAGCTGAAACCTGTCAGTGGCTTTGTGCACCCCTAGCCAAGAGCACCGCTCCTGGGTCCTCAGGGCCCACTGGCCACTTGGGCTTTTCTGAATGAAAGGGTGGGTGGGGAATCACTTTTGCATCTGTGTGATTGTGAAGACAGGAAGATACTTGGAAGGAAGCTACCTAAATATTTACGAAAACTTCAGGGGAGCGTGAACTTTGGTCCTGGGGCCAGGACATCCTGGACTTGCGCTGTGGCTTTAGTGAGGTAGGGCACAGCTCTAGTCCTCAGGTGCATCTGGCTTGAACTGCGTTTCCGCAGTGCGGTTTGACGTAGAAGAGCTCTAACCTGAGAGCGGCTCTAACCTGAGAGCAGCTCTTTCTGCAGCAGGGCTGATGCCTGGTGGTGTGTGTAGGGATTAATGGAGGTGACAGTGCCCGGGTTTATGCCTCGCCAGGGGACGGTCTTACTCTCCTCTGCGATGGGCCAGGAGCACAAGTGCTGCCTTGGGGGCTCGTCTGTTCTTTTGGGTTCCACTTAGGCAGCAAGAGGGACCTGGTAGGTCAAGGCATTTTGTTTTCCCCCCATTGGTTCTCTTGCTCCCGGGGGTTCCATTTGGTTGTCTTACATGTCAGTGTCACATTGGTATGGGACAGGGCCCCAGACAGGGCACCTTACAGCGAGCAGGCTGAGAGGTCCTTGTCACCCACCCGGTGAGGTTTGGCGGGGCCTGCCTGCTGCTGTGGCGCGTGGCGTGGGTGGAATGGGAAAGAGAAAGGACCAGAAAGAGACGTGAGGGCTGACTTCTCCCTTCGCTCTCACTCACCTCTTAATGCTGCTTGGTGGCTGTGAAACTTCGGTGACGAATGTCAGGCCCCTGCAGTATTAATTTTGACTTTAGAGCCTGTTTGGTTACGAATCAGGGTAAAGACACGTATTTCAGTCTGTGGCATCTCAGATTGGATGTTTTGGATGGAGCCCGTAAATGTTCTCACTATATTCATGTTTTCCATTATAAAAATTCAAGGAAAATTATTTTAAAATAGCAATAATCCTTTGCAAAGTAGTTTTCAAAAAAATTTTTGATCTCGATGGAGTGTTTGGTGATAATTTGCTGACTGTGAGACTTTAGGTTAATTATATATTCTTTTCCAGTATCTGGGTACTTTGAAGGTTCCTGGAAAGCAGATGTCTGCACTCTCCTGGGAAGGAGGCGGACTGAAAATTGCACTTGCTGTTGATTCCTTGATTTATTTTGCAAATATTCGACCTGATTATAAGGTACTGAGAGTCATTATAAAGTATTTTTACTACATAATCTTGTTACAGCTCAAAGTATATTCCTAGCTGCTTTGTTTTCTAAACTAACAGAGAGGAGGCTTTCTCTGTGTGTGAGGACCTTAGAACTAGTAAACAGTACCCGTTTCTAGAATACTCTACACAGTTTGTAAAATAACTACGTGAGTCAGCAACCCTGGAGGAAACACATACACTCCCAGGGTAACTGAAGGGTTTATTACAGAGGTGTGGGCCGGGCTCAGGGACACAGTGAAGCAGATAAAGCAGGCACCAGGCTTACACAGATGACACACCATCACCAGCCCTGCGCTCAGAGGGGTACAGTGGGAAGGTAGTCTCCTGGAGCCCGTGGGTACCACGGCCGTGCAGGAGGGGCTGCCAGCCTGGCCAGGCAGGAGGGGCTACGCCGTAAGCCGCCTCCCTGATGTCCCCCGAGCCCTCCCCATCCCCTGTCCTGCAGTCCCAGCAGCTGTTAGCAACTGCTGAAAATTTTCACCACTGACACTTAAATCTTACGAATTAAAGTAAGTTTTATTGTAACAATAATTCTTTGTTTTGAAAATATTTTTATTATTACTTTTAGATTTGTTATTTTAGTGAAAAAGGATACTAAGTTGTAGCTTCAGCTTGCATTTATTTTATGAGCTGATAAATCACCTAACTGCAATAGTTTTGTACTAAGATAGACTAATACGATTTTTCTTTCCCAAGGTAAGTGTTCTGTTGCCTTTCTCTCTCTTCTTTTCCTCCTCTTTCTTACCTTCCTGGTTTTTTCTTCCTAGTGGGGCTATTGCTTAAACACTGTAGTTTATGCATATACCAAACCTGACCGTCCGGAGTACTGTGTTGTCTTCTGGGATACAAAAAACAATGAGAAATACGTTAAATATGTGAAGAGTCTCATTTCTATCACTACCTGGGGTGATTTCTGCATTTTGGCTACAAAAGCTGATGAAAGCCATCCTCAGGTAGGTGGTCTTTAATTTACTGAAACACATTCGGGTTAGCCCTTGGCGGGACTGGGCTGTGTTATCTGCCTTGTCACACCTGATGCGTACACTGGGAGCATAGCTGAGTGTTGGTCTATTGGCCGCGTCTGCCTGGGCCTCCGAATGAAGACGGGGTGACTGGACTGGCTCCGTACCCTGCACCTCCTTTTACTCTCCATTCAGCCAGTTTTGGCAGTTCATGTGACTAGTTCAGTACCGAGGTGTTTGTTTCTGAAATTATTTATATATAAATACCATTGTCTTTTTCCAAGTTAAAACAAATGAATATCCAGCAAAAAATGGATATCCAGATGACTAATATAAATGCTGAAGAAATTATATAACAATGACCATTTATAATTGGATAGATTTTATCACTCAGAGATCTACTTTTATTTGGAATTATGTTGGAATAAAGGTATAAAATAGCATAAAATAAGTAACAAAGTTATCGTTTAAAATTATATAAATGATTTAAATATTTGCAGAAGTTTCTAGATATTTCAAAATAGGACTATCAGAATCTTTGGCTGGTTATAATTTTTTATCCTACTTAAAAGTATAGCATTTTGGGTTAAAGGTGACATTTTTAACAGCCACCATATGGCTTTGTTGTCGCCTGAAACTCACTAAAGCAACAGTGAAAGTATTTCTTACAAAGTCACAAGACCATAGGGACCCAAAGGGGAGAGGACTTCGAAGGCTAAAGAGTGTGGATTTGTGATGAATATGCTAGCAGACACCAGCAAGCAGAACCTCAGAGCGCTCACGGAGAGAACAGAGGTGATGGGACTCGGTTGCTTAGTGGGGGAAAGAAACAGAGCAAGCCGGAGGTGCCGGAGATGAGTTTGGAAAGAGGACTTACAAAACAAAACGAGGGCACCTAAGTGGCAGAGTTCCCCGATCTCTTCCTGTAGATAAAGTCCTGGCAGCCGCGCTCCGTACCTGGGAAGGCTGGGTGTAGGTTCTAGGGAGGACCCAAAGGAATCTGCTCCGAATGGCGCCAAGCATAGCAGAGCCTGCAGGAACTCTGGCTGGAAGCCGACCAGGAAAACAAAAAGGTTCCTGCTGACCTCATCCCAGTCGGCTTTCCCCACGTGGTCCCCAAAGCAATGGCAATCAAGCAGCAAGCCTTGAGGTAGTAGACTGAAGAGTCATCCCTGGACCATCTGGCTGGCCCGCCAGCAGGACCTGTGAAGACAGAGACTGGGTGTCCCCAGACCAGTAAAGCACCACCGGCCGATGACCTCACAGGGAAGGCCATGAGCAGCGAGCCATGCTCGCGGACGGTTAGGTTGCAGACAGCTCCGTAGTGTTCAGGATTAAACGCAGAGGATGGCGTAGGTCTGAGGGCAGCCTCTAGGTTAACACATAGATGCCAAACTGAACCAAAAGGAGAAAAGAGCTTAGAGGAGGCAGGGAGACTGCGCAGGCAGCAGAACATTTCAAGGGCACCTTCATCCCAAAGGGCCGCCCTTATTATCTCAGAGGGCTACGAGTTTCCGTGCCTGAAGTAAGGGGATGCTTTAGAGTAGGAAACCCTTGGAAACCACAGCACGGTAACCACAGCGAAAAGCTGGGCGGAATGTTCAGAATTCCAACGGAAGACAGGTGGGGAGATGAGAAATGGGAAATAGTACGAAAAAAATGCAAGGACTCGTCCTGGAGAGTCAGCGTGTGAATGACAGTTCTGTAGAGAGAAGAGGCAAGATGGAAGTAAACATGAAAACCAGAAGAAACCCAAGACAATTGCTTTAGGGTTATTCATTGGAAGTCCCTAGCTCCATGAATAAAAATGTTTCCACATCAAGGTATCATTGTGAATTGCGGAATTCTGTGGATTAAAATCCTATCTGCTGTCAGAGAGGAAAAATACTTTTCTTACGATGGGGAATCATAATGGCACCCAGTCTGTCAGCAGCAGTACTTTGGAGAGTTGCCTTCAGAATTCTGAGGAAAAATGCTTTGGTGGTGGTGGTGGACTTAATCCTCCGTTACTGAGTTACAGCTCCAGGTTTTTTAATATAAACTTAAATATGGGGTTAGAATATAGACTATTTTTTTGATGTGCAAGATCACCAAAAAATTACCGTTTAGGCTTCCCTGTCTTAGAGAGTAACTTCAGGACAAGTTCATGAATATAAAAAGAGGCAGAAACGGGAGCCGGGGTCCCTGTAGGAAGAGTGACACCAGCTTTCTGCTGTGCATATGCCCAAAGTCTGGGGAGAGGAGGACAGAAGGCTCCAGAAGAAATTCCAGAGGATGCAGTTGCTAAAATATCTGCTGTGTTTGAACCCTGGAGAAGAGACAGGCATATATGGGGGATCACTGGGAAGTCGAGGTGGTAAAAAGTACATACAGAAACTAAGCAAAGGGAGAAACCAGATAGTTACCAACTATTACAGTTATCAGTTATAGCAGGGAAAGCAAAATACACTTGAAAGAAAAATAAATTATAATATATTTGGTTGGTTAGCTGTGAATAGCGCTTACAAAATCAAAATGATATCACTGAGGCTTTTAAAGTTTCTTTTCATTGAACTATAATAAACATTGAACCCTAAATTCTGATCTGACAAAATGATGTTAAAAGTGCAAAGACAGTGCTGTTCTGTGGCGGGAGGAGGGGAAAGGGTGGACTCCTCCACTGCGGGAAGGCAAAAACAGCACAGCCGTAAAGGGTTGCACCATAAACACGTTGCTCGGACTTGTGGAAGGAAATAGCAAAGATTTGTTAGAGAGAGGAGGACCTGGGAAGTGGGCATTACCAGGTTCAGTGAGGAGTCTTGTGGAATTATTTGAGTTTTGATACTCTAAACATGAATAACTAATAGAAAAGGTAGCTCATACTAATTTGTGGCATTTCTGTGGCAGCAAGTGGCACTTATTTTAAATGGTGGAAGGATAATTTATATCTGCAGTATATATTTGTATTTATCATTTAGTTAATGAAATTAAACATTTTAATTGAGATGTCAGAAAAAAATCTATGTAAATAGCATATAGAAAATTTGCTTTGTTTAAAAGTGTTAATCAGATCATCATAAGCAGGAAGGTATTGTTAGTGCAAGATACAGAAAAAGCGAGTAAGAAAAATGACACGATCACTTTAGAACAATATGGCAGAAAGTGTGCGTTGTGCGCGATCATTTTCCTAATGCAGTATTAGTACTGATAACTTTATGCTGTGTGTACTTTGTTGGATTGTATATTTTCTAATTAACTGAATTTTTCTGCATTTCTGATGTCATCTGTATATTGCTTCAAAGGAGGAGGATGAGATGGAGACCTTTGGTGCAACGGTAACACATTAAGTTAGCTCTTCTGTAGCTGATTATTGATGTTATGTTCGATCCAGAGCTTTAGAAATAGAAATGCTAAAAAGAGGCCAGTGTATTTGTGTTTCTCAAATGGCCTCTTCAAAATCGTAGTGTTCCTCTGTATTGAGAAATCGGCGTTGGTTGAATTTTAAATTGTTTTTAAAAAAAATAGTTCAAGCTGTAGATCGTTTTGCTTTTTGTCTGCCATTCTTTACACCTAAAATTTTTATTGATTACTTATCAGTTACTGATATTTGAAAACACAGCATAATTACATATTAAGCATGTTTCCTTTATTGTTCTTAAGCAGGAATTCTGACATCCTTTTTGCTTTGTCTGTCCACAGTTTGTGCTCATTCTTTGCAATTCAATTGGCACACCCTTGGATCCCAAGTACATCGATGTTGGTAAGGAAATGCTGGTATCTGTTTCCTACCCAATCGAGTTCCATTTGCAACACTAATTAAAAACCTCGCAGCAGGATCAGTTAGAGTGGTGTTCTCTAAGGTGAGGCTGATCAGATGTCCTGGTTGTCAGATCTAGTGTTGGTTTATGTTGTTCTCATGGTAAAATTATTAATGTACCATTTCACTCTGAAAAATGTTCCAGTTATGACAGAATAATAAACTACTTATTTATAATGTTATATTAATTTATAATATGAATTATGAAGCTATAGCTGAAATCCATAATCATTTCATGGGAAGTACAGTTGTTTGGTTATCAGTATGCAGTGTAATGATTAGTGGGTAATACCTGAGGATTACAGAAAGAATTTTGCTATTAAACCCCTTTTATTATTAATAAACTCCTTGTAAATACCTCTCTTCCATAAAACTACTTTAGTTGCTTGTGAAAGGGTTTTACCCTTTCCAAAGGTTTTTTTTTTTTTTTTTTTTTTTTTTAATAAAACCAGTCTATTAATAGTGACGACTTTAAAAAAAACTCCCTTTTCAGAGGACGTGGGCTGGTTTAGTTTTACCTTTCTCCTGATTCGGTAGCTGTGAAAGTCACCCATGACAAACATCCCAAATCTTGTTCTGAGAAGCTTGTTAGAAATCATTAACAAGTATTCTGTCGCCGTTTCACTGTAGCTTCCAAAAGTGATGGTTTTCTTTTGAAGCGTGTGGTACTGTGTTGGATGCTGTACGATTAAAAACTACTTCATCTCAAAAACTGAAATCTCATTGAACTTTGTGATCCTGAGAACCAGTCGTTTTTTCTTTCAGATTGAACATTTAGTCTTTAATTGTTTTTGGTTTTTTGAGACAGGGTCTTGCTGTGCAGTTCAGGCTGACCTTGAGCTCACTGTGCTGGCCTAGAACACCCAGCAATCCTCCTGCCTCAGTCTCCCAAGTGCTGGGATTACAGGCCTGGGCCACCACACTTGGCCTTTCAATAATGTTAGTGTTGCCACCTAAATGTTTGCATTTTGCTAAGCTCTTGGGGTGACTCAAATAAATGTGAGAAATCCTGGCCTCAAAGATTTTATACTCCGTGTTAGGTTCAGTGTCTTGACAGCTTGGTCACTTTGATGTGTGGTTTTATGTTCACTGTTGCACATCCATGTCTGTGTTTTTATACATACACACACATTCATACACACACACACACACACATATGCTGCTGTTCCTCATTAGAAGACTTAGCTTAAAATAGGTGTAGAACCTTGTCATATGAGTATCTTTCCTGAATTAGAAGCTAACAGTCTTTAGACCTTTAGACCTTTAGACCTTTTTCTGTTAATATCACAAGTTTTTAACATAAAATCATATGATAGAGTTTACTTCGAAATAATTTTTATCACAGGTAGACTAGTTTTTAAATAAAGCTAAATGTAAATCCTCCCTCTTGATAACATTGCAAATACTCAAGGGCATGATTATTTGTGTTTTTGAGTCTCAAAACTTTTTTTTTTTGCAGTTTTGCTGGCTGAAAATGTAACAAACAGTTCTTTCATTGACCTGCAGCAAACACAGCCAAGACTCCGCGTTTCTGTTTCATACGTATCCTGTTTCTTTTTAGAGTTTCTATGCCAGATTTTCATGAGGACTGGAGACTAAAACAACAGTAATGAAAAACACGTGTGGCTGGTGCTGTTGTAGAACGTATTATTTTTGTTTTGCCATCTGTTTTTCCTCCTGACAGTCTGCACTAAAACTGAAAAGCGCTTCGCACGTCCCTGTGGAGCGTGCCTGCAGGGGGGCCCTCGAGCTCTGTGCGTGGGGTTTGTGATACTCCTGCTGCTCCTCCATGGAGCCCTCGGATCCTTCTATCCAAAGTGCTTCTTTCTGGGGACTGTAATTATTGGTTTTCTTTTGATCTTCCCCTTTTGACTTTGAACTTTTAAAAGACTATAGTTAGTTACTAATTTCTATATTCCCAAAATGCAGTATTATGATTGGTCCACTTACTGAATTTGTGGAAAATGTTTTCTATGGCATGTAAAGTAGAAAGTAGTAATTTAGGGATGTGAGGGGATGTTGCTCGGTAGTAGAGCCTGGGGGGTGATGGCCAGTCTTTGAGAGAGAAGGGATGTGAGGGGATGTTGCTCGGTAGCGGAGCCTTGGGGGTGATGGCCAGTCCTTGAGACACAAGTGCCCGGACTGCAGCTGCAAACCCGTTCATGTGTTACAGAGCACCAACTGCAGTTAACCTGAATGCGCGGCTGCTGGGCGATCCTGGGGCAACAGGATCGCGTGCCAACAGAGCGGGCTGTGCGTGCTCACTGTGGCACGTGTGCCGTGGGCTCACCACCACCAGCCTGGAATGCACGAGGCCTCAGCGCTTAAAGAAAGGGATTATTTATTTAGCAAGCCACTAGCAAGTTTGTCTGTTTGCGATAGTGTCACTGGAAGCCATAAGAAATTACAGCGCTGCTTACAGAATGTCCAAACAGGTCATCAGTAGGAAAAGGTCGCCCTGCTGAACAATGGCTTAGTGCTCCCCTGCTGCGTGCCAGGATGGTTCGAGGCGCTGGGCACGTGGATGGTGGCTCATAGGGACGTGCAGTTAGAGAAGAGCTTTGTTTCTTCAGGTGGCGTTCAGGAGGGAAGACGCGTTCCCCAGGGTGAGGCAGGAAACATCTGCAGAAGGGCCAGGCGGCGTGGGCCCAATCCCGGGCCCAGCACGAAGGCCGTTTTCTCATGCTGGTCACACACACGCACCCAGTTTCCACATTCAGAGAAAGGTGGTCTGATGAGAACATTGCCATGCAGTTGTAACTTACCAGGTCCTTTTAAAGGGCTGAGAAGTGATTAGGTACTGGAGAGGGGAGTGTTACAGATGTAGGCATGTACTTCAGGCCTCAGCATTAAAATGTTGCAAGCAGCTTTGGCTTATATATGAATTCTTAGGTTGTTTTAAATTATTTTACATCCTCCAGACTTGGCTACTGGCTACTACTTATTAGTGTTCCAAAGTCCAATTAATAGAAGTGCAATTATTTAAAAAATTTTTAACCCATAATCTTTCTAGATATTTCAGATTCTTTTTAAATATTGAATAGTTTGAGGATATAAGGTGCTGTTATCCAGGTGATGTTCTTTGCCTAAAAAGTTTTCTTAAGACTTGGGGTTTTCTTTTTCCTATAAGAGTGGTCTGGTAGAATGAATCTTTTATTAAAGATCTTTCAAAACTTATAATAGATGGATGTATGTACCCATGTGAATTTACCGAAATTACTACTACTATATTGATGTAAAAGAACACGTATTTCAGATTTTGTTTTTGTTTTTGTATCAGCTGGAGAATTTCTATATGGATTATATTACAAAACCTTTGTAGTTTATAATGAAACAAACAATAAGAGCAACCAAGCTCACCACACCCTCCCAAATCCTTCTAAGGGGCTGCGCACCCGTCAGGAGCACTGGCCGGAGCCAGGTGGCCTGGGTTGCGTGTAGTTCTACAACTGGTTAATGGCTCAGTGTTCTTCATCGCCAAGTGGAGAAAATACAGTCATGCCTACCTTAAGGCTGGTGTCAGCTTAAATACTGTACTGTCTAGAAGAATGCATGGCATGTACTTTTAAAAGAAACCAGTAAATATTGTTCTTTTCAGATATTAAGAACTGCCAGGCACTGTGCTGTGCTTTATATTTACTTTCTCTTTTCAACCTTAAGTCACTGTGGGCTTGGCAGTATCCTGATCTTTATCTTCAGTTTACCGTAAGTAACCGGGGGCAGAGGTAGCTAGCTCATTGTTGAGACAAACCAGCCGGCACCCTAAGGTCCAGGAGAAGGGCTCACTGAAGCCCTCCCTCCGTCTGCAGAGGCACAGTCCATGGTTGGCAGCCTCCAGGCCAGGGCGGCATGGCAGGGGCATCACAGAGGAGAAGGACGACGGGGAGCAGGAGGCAGCGAAAGCGGGGCGCGAGCGCCCGCGTAGCAGCAGCCCTCTTGCTGGCCCTTCCGCACTAACCAGGCCATGCGCGCTGTGGCAAGCACGCAGCCTGGATCCCGGCCTCGCACAGGCTAGATCCAGCCACCTCTGAACAGCCCCACCTGTGCCCACCTGAGGCTTGGGGGACGTGTAGACAGAGCCCATCAGAAAGAACAAGTCATTTATCTGGTGTCACAGATAGCAGTGGCCTGTAATTTGAGCCCAGAAGTCTCTTACCTTGAACCACTAACATTTTGACTTTGATTTAAACAGGCAAACAATAGACCCTTGTGACTATTAAGGTTGTACCAAAAAGGAATGAGTGTAATTTATAAATATAGTTAAACCCTGGTTGGAAAGATGTTTTTATATGTGCTTTAATTAGAAGCAACAGATGTTCAAAGACTTACTTCACACCCAGCTAAGAGTGGCGGCACGCGCGGGGGAACTCGCTAACGGTAGGGAAGGTTTCCAGGTCTGCAGGAGCCAAGGTCCGAACGAGGTCTGAGCTGCGCGTGAGCGCCCCTGGAGGTCCGGCCGCCGCCCCGCGTGGCTTTTGCTCCCCCGGAAAGTGTCACGCACCCTCTAGAGGTCGTGGCTAGTGTGCATTGGAGTGGCCTGGACAGCTCTATGAAAAAGGACTCCCTGAGCTATGCTGGGGCCTTCAGGGTGTAAGGTGACTGAATCTGAATCCCGGGTGGTCACCCTGTGCGGTCAGTGTCACACCTCACACTGCACGCTGACCCTCTTCGGTTTCTCTCCTGCCTTCGGTGCCCTTGACTGGGACCTAAGTAGAAAAATAGCGTCATGCTGATTTAGTTAAGTTGAGAAAATGGGGACTGAAATGACCTTTGATGGAATAATTTTACTTTTGACTAGTTTTTGCATGTGTTTAGTTTTATATTGCTGTGTTTTGTGACCATGGGCACAGTTAATCCTTACTTGGATTTGGTAAGACTATTTCATTAACGGGTACAGAATATAGCTCAGTTAACTGTTCTCTAAGAAGTGGACTAGATGAAAACAATGTATGTGCTCAAACGAGGAAGGAACTTGGGAAGTTTTTTTCCTAAGTTAAAATGTTAGATAGTTTAAGACATATAAAATGAGGGAAAGGGACAGGTCCTTTTGTTTTTAAATTTTATTTTAAAGAGTAAAAAATAAAACAATTTCAAAACAAGATAACTGGGGAGTAACAGTGGTTAATACATTATGTATTGTTCTTTCAATTAGTTACTCAGTGTACAAGATACAGGTATTTAATTGTCCAAACAACATTAGCACAAACCTTTCTTTTAAATGAACTAAGAGAAATTAGTAGGATAACTATCAACTATTTTATATATATATATATTTTTTTCTATATATATATATAATTCTTTTCTTTTCTGGGAAGGGATAAATCCTGAATCAAGCAATAATTGGTGGTGGAGAGGCAAATCACTTATCAATTGAGGGCATTTGGGTTGTTTCTGCTTTCTGGCTTTTTGTGAATAATGCTTTAGTGAATATTTGTGAGTTTTTGGGTGGACATCTGTCTTGATTTCTCTTGAGTGTGTAAGAGTAAAGTTTCTAGGGCATATAGTAACTCTGTGACATTTTGAGAAACTAAACTTGTTTCTCAGAGTGTATTTTACATTTACACTATTTCTCCACATCCTTGCCAACACTTGTAATGATCTGACTTTTGACTCAAGCCATCTTTCTGGTTGTCAAGTAATATTTCATTATAGTTTTTAGCTCTGATGTTTAATGATGCAGGTTGGCTTTCCATCTGGTTAATGGCCTTTAAAAAAATCTTAGTTGGAAAATTGTGTCCAGATTCCTTTCCTGCTTGTTAATTGAGCTATTGAAATTTTTGTTAATATGTGTTTGCAATACCTAGGAGTATATTCATTGTGAAGAGAGTTGGTATGGGTCATATCACGCTGCAGTCCTTTTTACCTCCCCGGCCTCCTTCCTTTCTACCCCCTCCTCCACAGCCAGATATGCTTCCCAGCTGCGGAAGACACCAGCCATTCCCACGCAGAGTCACAAAGGTGGACTCCTGAGATGCCTTTTAAGTGTTCCGTATTTTTAGCTCTTGGACTTAGGCCTTTGAATCATTCGAGTTAATATTTTTATGGCCCTACAAGCTTCTGTTTATTTTCTGATCAGAGAGACTACCTGTGGGTATTTTGAGACTGTAGGGATTGTGTATCTCTGTAAAATGAGGGGTTTTACTCAGTGATTGCTGACGTGCTATGGAACGCGTTCTGTGACTCTGCATAACTGTAACTTAATCATCTTGTGTTCTCCTTAACAGTACCACTGTTCGTCACAATGACCAAAACCCACGTGATAGCAGCTTCGAAAGAAGCGTTTTATGTCTGGCAGTATCGTGTGGCAAAGAAGCTGACAGCACTGGAGATCAATCAGATCACGCGGTCTCGAAAAGAGGGGAGAGAAAGGTGCCTTTTCTGAAATACCTCTCTTAATAATTTAATCATAGCAGGTTTAAGTCAGACATAGTTGACTGTAAATTGTGCCTGAGAAGTGTAAATTGCCTTGATCAGCAGATGTATCTTTCCACTAATTTGAATATGTTTTAAATCAATCTTTTTTAAATTTCTTGAAATAGAAGGTAGCATGGTATAATAAAAGAGAGCCCTTAAAGCTGGAAATACATGTTCTTTGTAAAGAAATGCTGTCCTCTCTCTCCTGCTCCAGCATATTAGGGTTACTGTGTTATACTGAAATACGCTTTCTCAATTGAGGTCTAAGTATCTTAAGTGAAGCTTCATTTCTGTGGCCCAGGGGCCTTTCCAGGAGGGCAGGGTGATTCTGGTTCTGGTCACCAGAGGAGAAGCAGGTAGGGAAAAGGTCTTTAGGTGGGTGACCTAGGAACTGGGGGCTGTTCCCTTAGCCTGGGTTCCAGGGAGTCTGGGGTTGGAATGACTTCCGCTGAGTGGGAGTCGGGGTGACTCTGCTACATGGAAAGGTGCGGCCAGGCCGGAAGGACTTCGGGTAGGAAGTCTCGGGGAAAGTGTGTGCACTGTGCTCTGTAAGTCATTTTGTCCGTGTTGGTGATGCCCTGTGTTTGCTGTGATTCGGTTTTACCCAAACCTTCAAGTGAAGCATTTGGCGGGGTGTTTTAAGCTCATGGTTTAGGTGAAGGCGTAGGTCTAATGGCTTGCTTTTCAATCATCTTCCTCCCGACACACACCACTCATCAGGGGACTTAGGGCTTGTTTCTGCTTTTGGCTTCATGCAGCCTTCCCTTTTCTCCCTCTCCTTTTTTCCTTTCTTTGGAGACTCACTCATGTGTGAATTCACATTGAAGCAGAAAACAGCGGTTGAAAGATCATACGCAGGCTTCTCAGTGGTGCAGGGAGACTGATGGGGAGACTCTTAGGCCAGTGTGGAAAGAGCACACGGTGGTCCTGCTGCTGCAGGGCTGGCTGTGTAGCAGTTGCAAGCGGAGACCGAGGTCTTCAGGGGAAGACAGATCTTAGGGCACAGATGGGGAAAACGGGGCTACCGCTCTGCAGACCAGTGTCTCCCCCTAAGCGAGGCTGGCTTTTGTTTCAATCATGAAGATAGCAGGTCTGTGTCCTCCTGCCTGGGACTGTGAGGGCCTTGGGGCAGTGCTCCTTGGGTCTTGGCACCCATCGGGACTCCTGTGATTACCATTTTACAAAGAGGGAGCTGTGACACGTGTGCCTTCATTGTTTGACAGAGGTGTGAAGCTGCTCGGTGGAGGTGGCGTGGAAAGCCACGTCTGTCTGACTCTGGCGTGGCCTTCCTTGTTTTGTGAGAAGGACCACCTGCTCTCTGATCTCGATGCCCTTGCCCCAGCCTCGTGCCCTCACTGAAGGTGACTGGCTCTGGGCCCTCTGTATCTGCCTTGCTGTTAGGAGGCAGGATCTGGCTCCGGTGGTGGGGTGAGCTGGGAGGGTTTATCTCCTTCCCAGCCCCTCTCCGGCTCTCTACTCCTGACCGCCATGAAGTGAGCGGCTGTTCCTCCACTGAGCCCCTCGCCAGTGCCATTTTGTCCTGGAGCTGGCGGAGATAAACATCTCTTCCGTTAGGTTTCAGCTGGGGCATCTGTCCCAGCCGCGTGCGGAGTGGCCTCCCACATGGTTTCCTGGGACCTGCTGTTCTCACCTTTGACCTTGCCTTTGTGTAATGAGGTAGCCCCGGGTGTTTCATAGAATGTGGACCAGTTTAGGTATGTCACGTTTCTGCATTTCTACTGGACTTATTTAATATTTACTCTATTACATTGATGAGTGTAATTACAATTTCAAATTAACAATTATAAAATTCATGGTAATTAAAAGTGGAAAATGGCAGAACTGTTCTGTGATGGTTTTACAGCTACAGTGTCTTACACCTGTGTGCGTGGCAGACCGCTTGTGTGCTTCAGAGCTCCGTTTTATTTGCTTTGCAGAAACCGCAAGGAAAGGGAAAGACTGGGGTTCAGAGGAGTTAATTTGCCCAAGGCTTTAGAGTTACTGTGTAATCTAGAGTAGTCTTTTGGTAGTTCTTTAAACAATGTCCATTCAGGGCCGGGGATTTGGCTCAGTGGTATAAGCGCCTGCCTGGCAAGTGCAAGGTCATGAGTTCAGTTCCTGGTACAAAAAAAAAAAAATGTCCATTCGTTTTCCCAATTGGGGGGCCGGCGGTGGCCCCTCGGCTGCGGTCCTTAGCTTACATGGCGGTGTAAGGGAAGTCGTGGTGAAGCAACAGGAACGACCATGTGCAGGAAGGGGCGCCCGGCCGACAGGCGAGCATGTGACGCCGTGGCTGCCGGCCGCCGCAGTGTCCTGGGAATTCAGGATCCAGGGTTCAGATCGATTTGGGGCACAGCTGTCTCAAACAGGTCAGCTGCACTGTGAGTGACCCGCTTCTGCTTTTGTGAGATTCAGCTATATCAGAAACTCTTTAAAATAATTAATTTTTAAATTAAAAACAGCGTTAAGTAACAGTTATTCAACCAGATTTAAAGATTATGAAATAGTATGATTCATAAAAGGTTTGCAAAATTCTGTTTTCTTTAATTATATTTATTTATTTTTAAACAGAATTTACCATGTTGATGATATTCCTTCTGGATCAATGGATGGGATTCCTGATTATAGCAAAGCCATTCAAGTAGGTAATTTTTTGCCTGCACAGATTATTATCTGTACATTTGAAAATACAGTTTTAGTTTGAAACCTCAAAAAGAATTTCTTTCTTGTGAGTAGGGTACTGTTTTAGCAATTCATTAAATTTTTTTGTTATTCTGAAAAAACCCATTTTTAAATCATAGAAAGCCTCAAACTAAATAAAGGGTGATAAATAATCAGTTGGAAACTACTTTTTTTTTCTTTATTTTATTTAAAAGGAAAAAGAGAAAAAAACAAAACAAAACGAAGCGGTGTAAGGGTACAAGTAATACAGAACTACAAAAAAAAAAAAAGTAAGAAATCACCAGTTAATAGATTACACATTATCATATTAGGCATAGTTGCTCAAGTCACAGTATCAAAGCATACAAAGTGGACATTCAAACAGTGAGACTGCAAACAGTTGTGTTCAATGATCCAACCAAAAACATTAATATGGTCAGCTATTTAACACCCCTAAACACACTTGCTGTTGTATCCTTTAGAGCACTTTTTTTCCCTCTCTTTTTTACAACAAAATTTACACATTTTGGGTTTTATTACTCCTTAGTTCTTATTACTTTTTTTTTTTTTGGGGGAGAATAAAGTCAAATATGGCAAAACAAAGCTGTCAGTCAAAACCAAGGATAGACATAGTACATGATGTAAGAACAGAGTACAAGGTTATCAACAATGGTTACCATAATGTCTCTTGTTTCCTTAAAAAGAATTATCTATCTCATTAGGTATTATAAAGTTGAACAAAACAGTAGAGAACAAGACCAATAAAACTTAAGCATTGTAAACATTACAGGACTTCCAAAGGAGACAATAGTCAAACCAGAATGGGCATGTTAGTGAATCTTATTGCCTTCAAAGTAGTTGCCTATACCCTCAAACTTGATACTATCATACAGAATGGAACAGAGTCTAATCAGTCAAAACAAGATAGTGGGAGTATTACAGGACTTCAAAACAAGTTAATAGGAAATAAAAAATGTTACCATTATATATCCTGCTAATTTTAAAAATTTTTCCCCTTAATTAAAAAAAACATAAAAATAAATAATTTTTTAATGAATAAGGGAGAGATTGAGATAAAAGAGAACATAACAATATAACAATACAGGTCAAAGCATGACTGTTTCAGCAACCTAGTGCTTCACCACCAAATAACCCGACTTAATAGTAGTTACCATAGTGTCTGTCTTTTTCCTTGAAATATTTGCATAAAACTTCATATACTATAGCTTCAAATATTTCCATATCAAGAAGCCCAGAATAAAGCCTTTCCAATTAATAAGTGAAAACTTTATAAGGCTTCAAGGCCACATAATGGGGAATCATGATTACCACATATTTTTATATATTTGAATCATTACTTACATTAGGGAAACTATTCGGTATTCAAACATGCAAGATTGATTTATTTCACTTATGAGTATGGTCTCAAGCTGCGCCCATTTATTGATAAATATCTCAATGTGATCCTTCTTTATAGCTGAGTAAACTCCATTGTATAGAAATACCACAACTTTTTTATCCATTCCTCAGTTGATGGACACTTGGGTTGTTTCCAAGATCTGGCGATTACAAATTGTGCTGCTATAAACATAGGTGCACATATATGACTGTGGTATGATGCTTTCAGTTCTTCTGGGAATATGCCTAGAAGTGGAATAGCTGGAATAAATGGGACTTCCAATCCCAGCTTTTTGAGAAATCTCCAGACTGACCTCCACAAAGGCTGCACCAGTCTACACTCCCACCAACAGTGTAGGAGAGTTCCTTTTTCCCCACAGCCTCTCCAGCATTTGTTGTTGTTGGTTTTCTTGATCCTGGCCATTCTTTCAGGAGTGAGATGGTATTCAGTGTGGTTTTAATTTGCATTTCTCTAATGACCAATGATGATGAACATTTTTTCATGTATTTATTTGCCATTTGTATTTCTTCACCTGAGAAGTGCGTATTCATCTCAGATGCCCATTTTTTGATTGGATCTTTGAATTTTGGGGGTCTGAGTTTTTTTAATTCTTCATATGTTTTAGACAAGAGTCCCTTGTCTGAGAGAGAGTTCACTAAAATCTTTTCCCAGTTTGTGGGTTTTCTTTTCACTATGCTGGAGATTTCTTTTGACATGCAGAAACTTTTTAATAAGAAGTGGTCCCAGTTATTGATTCTGGGAAGTATTTCCCGTGCGGTTTGAGTCTTGTTCATGAATTCTCTTAACTACTCCTATGTCTTCAAGGTTTCTACCCAATTTGTCTTCCAGTAGATTTAGTGTTTCTATTTTAATATTCAGATCTTTAACCCATTTAGATTTTAATTTAGTACATGGTGATAGGCATGGGTCTAGTTTCAGTTTTCGGCAAATAGAGAGTCAGTTTTTCCAACACCATTTATTAAAGAGACTGTCATTCTTCCAGTGAACCTGTTTGGCTCCTTTATCAAAGATAAGTGGTTGAGTGTGTTTGTATCTTCTAATCTATTCCATTGATCTTTGGCTTTGTTTTGATTCCAGTACCATGTTGATTTTACTACGGTTGCTTTGTAGTATAACTTCAAGTCCGGGATTGTGATGCCTCCTGCCTTGTCTTTGTTGCTTAGAATGGTCTTTGCTATTCTAGGTCTCTTCTTGCTCCAGATGAACTTTAAGAGTAATTTATCTAGATCTGTGGGGTATGTTGATGGTATTGTTATTTGGATTGCATTGAATCTGTATAAGAGTTTTGAGAGAATGGCCATTTTCACAATGTTTGTTCTTCCTATCCATGAGCAAGGGATGTCTTTCCATTTTGTGAGATCATCTTCAATTTCCTTTTTCTTTGTATTATAATTTTCCCTGTATAGGTCTTTCACTTCTTTCTTAAGAGTAATTCCTAAATATTTCATTTTTTTTGCTTGCTAATGTGAAGAGTGTGGTTTCTCTTATTTTCCTCTCTGTGATTTTGTTGTTCGTGTGTAGGAATGCTATTGATTTCTGAGTATTGATTTTGTATCCAGCTACATTACTCAATTTATTTATTGTATCTAAGAGTCTTTTAATGGAGTTTAGGGGATCTTCTATGTAGAGTATCATGTCATCTGCAAACAATGATAATTTAACTTCTTCTTTTCCTATCTTTACCCCTTTTATTTCTCTCTCTTGCCTAATTGCTCTGGCTAGTACTTCCAGTACTATATTAAATAGGAGTGGTGATAAAGGACGTCCTTGTCTTGTGCCTGATTTTAAAGTAAAGGCTTTGAATTTTGGCCATTTAGTATGATGCTGGCTGTTGGTTTGTCATAAATGGCCTTTATTATATTGAGGTAAAGACCATCTATTCCAATTTTCTGTAAAGTTCTTATCATGAATGAATGTTGGACCTCATCGAAGGCTTTTTCTGCATCTATGGAAATGATCATGTGATTCTTATTTTTGGCTTTATTGATATGGTGGATTACATTTATTGATTTACGTATGCTGAACCATCCTTGCATTCCTGGGTTGAATCCCACTTTGTCATGGTGTATAATCTTCTTGATGATTTGCTGCATCCTATTTGCCAATATTTTACTGAGGATTTTTGCATCTGTGTTCATTAGGGAGCTCGGTCTATAGTTCTCTTTTTCAGTTGGGTCTTTCTCAGGTTTTGGTACTAGAGTAATATTTGCTTCCAGGAATGACTTAGGAAGGATTGCTTCCCTTTCAATTTCATTGAATAGTTTGAGGAGTGTCAGCATTAGGTCTGCTTTGTATTTCTTGTGGAATTCTGCAGTGAATCCATCTGGGCCTGGGCTCTTCTTTGTAGGTAAGGACTTAATTACATTTTCAATTTCATTAACAGACATTGGGTTATTCAACAGTTTTACATCCTCTTGATCTAGCTTTTGTACTTCATATGTTTCTAAGAATCTGTTTATTTCTTCTGTGTTATCAAACCTTTGAGAGTAGAGGTTTTCGAAATAGGTGTTGATGATCTTCTGTATTTCTATTGGGTCTGTAGTGATTTCACCTTTTTCATTTCTTATTGCATGAGTTTGAGCTTTTTCTTCCTTTTTTAAATAAGGTTGGCTAGGGGCTTATCGATTTTATTTATTCTTTCAAAGAATCAACTCTTTGATTCATTGATTCTTTGGATTGCTTTCTTAGTCTCTATTGCATTGATTTCTGCTCTGATTTTTATAATTTCCTCTCTTTTGGCTTTGGGCTTGACTTGCTCTTCTTTTTCTAGCTGTTTGAGGTGTAGCATCAAGTTATTTATTTGTATTCGTTCTGTGTTTCTGATGTGGGAACTCAGTGCAATAAATTTTCCTCTGAGGACGGCTTTCATTGCATCCCACAAATTCTGGTAAGTTGTATCTGCATTTTCATTTTCTTTTAGGTATTGTTTAATTTCTTCTTTAATTTCTTCTGTGACCCACTGATTACTCAAGAGTGTATTATTCAGTTTCTATGTGTTTGCGGGATTTTTGCAGTATCTTTTATCATTAATTTCTAACTTCAGAGCTCTATGATCCGGTAACATGCAAGGGATGATTTCAACTCTTTTGCATTTGTTTAAATATGTTCTGTGAGGTAATGTATGGTCTATTTTAGAGAATGATCCATGTACTGCTGAGAAGAATGTGTATTCTGATGTTGTTGGGTGGAACATTCTGTATATGTCTATCAAATCCATTTGTTCACAGGTGTGATTCAGTTCTGTTATTTCTTTGCTCATTTTCTGTCTGGTTGATCTGTCCCTTGGTGTCAATGGCGTATTAAGGTTTCCTGTTACAATTGTGTTACTGATAATTTGAGTTTTCATTTCTGTTAATAGTTGTTGTATATAGCTGGGTGCTGTGGAGTTTGGTGCATATATATTTAAGATAGTTATCTCTTCCTCTTGGAGTTTTCCCCTAAGGAGTATGTAGTGACCTTCTTTGTCCTTTATGGTCATTGTTGGTTTAAAGTTCACGTTGTCTGCAAACAGAATGGCTACTCCTGCTTTTTTTTTTTTGGATTCCTGCTGCATGAAGTATTGTTTTCCATCGTTTGACTTTCAGTCTGTGAGTATCCTTCTGGGTTAGATGGGTTTCCTGTAAACAGTATATGGTTGGATTTTATTTCTTGATCCATTCTGCTAGTGTGTTTCTTTTGATTGGTGCATTGAGACCATTTACATTAATGGTTATTACTGTTAAATGCTGGTTTATTGTTGACATGTTATCTCTCTGCTGTTGCATCTTTATCTTTCTGTTCTGTTTAATTATCTGCTTTGCTTAGTGGTTTTTTCCTTTGTGTATCTAAACTGTCTTTCAATATTTTTTGCAGGGTTGGTTTGGTGTTCATGAAGTTCTTCAGCTGTTCTTTGTCATGGAAGTATCGTATTTCACCATCAATTTTGAATGATAGTTTTGCAGGATATATCAGTCTAGGTTGGAAATCATTTTGCTTTATGATCTGGAATACTTCACTCCATGCTCTTCTTGAATTTATTGTTTGTGCTGAGAAGTCTGCTGTGATTCTGATAGGTTTTCCTTTATAAGTGATCTGTCTTTTCTCTCTGACAGCTTTTAATAATCTATTCTTGTGTTGGATTTCTGGGATGGTGATTATTATATGTCTGGGTATAGTTTTATTTTGGTTATGACTATTTGGAGTTCTATATGCTTCACTGATCCTGATGTCGGTTTCTGATCTCATGCTTGGGAAGTTTTCAGCTATTACTTCTCTAAATATCCTCTTGATATCCTTTATGTTGTCTCCTTCTTTTTCATTAATCCCTATCATTCTTATGTTATTTTTCTTTGCATCGTCTTGCAGTTGTTGAATTGTTGTTTCCTGATTCCTTGTTATTTTTAAAAGATCTTTCCTTTCATGTTTACTAGCTGCAATCCTGTCTTTAAGATCTGAAATTCTATCTTCATTTTCACTGAGGCGGTTTTTACAACTTTCAGTGGAGTTTTTTATTTCCTGTATATCTCTGTGCATCTGCATTATGTATTCTGTTTGTTTCTTATATTGCTCATCTAGGGATTCTATCTTTTTGTTTAGTTTCTCCAATTTTTTAACTGTGCTTTCTTTAGATATATTCAGAATCTCTTTCATTTCTTCTTTTACCTGGGAGATTATTTCGAGTTTGAATTCCTTTAAAGCTTCCTGGAGTTGCTTGTTAATTTCAGTAGCTATTGTGTCTGATATTTGAGGTGAATGGCATATATTTTCTTCTATATACATTGCTCCTAGGGTTTCTTTGAGGTTGTAGTTTGGTCTTTCGTTTTGTCATTTTCCTATATTTCTGTGTTTCAAGTGTTATTTGAAAGCTTCCTCAGGGTCTGTTGGAAATCCCCTCCTATGCTCGCAGCTCCTGAGACTCTGGCACCCCGTTGCCCCAAGCCACTGGGTCTATAGAACCAGTGGCCCTCTTCTGCCTGTTTAGAACTCCGTAGTTCCAGATAAGCTGGGCTTCAGGGACACTGTGCGCCCACCTGCTTGTTGGAAGCTCCACAGTTTTCCAAGCGCAGCCGGGATGAGGAGGCAGATGTAGATGCCTCAAACCCACTTATCCACTTCACTGCACCCGGAAGCCTGGAGGGTCCTGAACAGTCTGGGCTTTGGGCAGAGTGCACTGAGCACTTACTGCAGGCCGCGGGGCCTCTGGAACCTGCGATGCTCCCCTGCTTGCTGAGATATCCGCAGTCCTCCAGACACACAGGGAGGCTGATGCAGGTGCCCCAGATCCGCCCAGCCCTTCCTCTGCACACCGATGGTGAGGTGCGGGAGTCCCAAACAGGCTGGGCTCTGGGGATAGCGTGCACCCACCTACTTGTTGGAAGCTCCACAGTTTTCCAAGCGCAGCCGGGATGAGGAGGCGGATGTAGATCAGTTGGAAACTACTTAAAAAGATTGGTATCTAAAAATATCGGAGAGCCCATTGCTCCTCCCTTTCCTGTTCATTTGTCTGTCTATCTCTGTTGATCATCCAGCAGATCTCCTGGCCACAGATTGGCGTGTTAATGAACATTCTTATTTTTATGGATAGCGTACAGCTTCAGTGCCTTGAACCCTGTCAAACTCTGTGCTTATGTGCTTTAAAACTTGATTTATTTACCTTGTTTAGTCACTGTACCTTTATGGAAATACACTTTCGTGTAAAAGCAAATGTAGTTACTAGCATTTTAGTGAGCAGTTCTTTGGTATGACTTTTCTCAGAGATTTAGAATAGCACCTGCTTTGGTAACGCTCTCTCCTGTTCAGCTGCTTTTCTGGTGCTCACAGTCCTCTGAGTCAGCCTGCTGTCTCCTTCCCACTGCACAGGTTAGAAAACAGAGGTAGGGTCACTAATGGCCTTCGGACCCTAAAGCAGCTGTTTAAGCTGCAGGGTGGGGATTCAAGCCCCATCCTCTGATAGCAGAGCTAGTGACCCACCTGGCAGGACATGCAGGAGTCCTCTGGTCATCTCCTGTCTGTCCTGTTGTTCAGCAGGTGTTCACGCATATCTTTGATGTGTCAGCGGAGTAAGACGCATTTCTCCCATTAGGAAACCTTTAGGGATTTTAAACCTGATTCATCATCCGTTCCCTCCGAGCCTCACGTAAAATCCCTCCACCTTAGACGTGACCGCTGAGGTGCCCGCTGCTGGCTGCATGCGTTCTTCCGCTCACTGGCTTTGTCCTTCCCCAGCTAAGCCTCCTGCAGGAGCGGGCTGCACTCACTGTCCTCGCCACTCACTTCCTGTTTGCTCCAGTGCGTTGCGGTGTCCAGTCCCCGCTTGCCATGTCTGGAGGGAACTTTTCTTTATATTGTTTGTTCTACACATGGCGTTTTGTTTTGTTTTGCTTTTTGGAACTGGGAATCAAACGCAGGACCTTGCGCTTGCCAGGCAGGCGCCTGGCTGCTGAGTTACATCCCTGGCCCTCAGCGTTAATGTTGTTAACCGTACTCTTCTGCCTGCGCTGTGCCTACTTGGCCTGTCCGTGTTAGTCTTCTTTGCCAAGGGTGCATGTCCACATCCCTGGTTGTGATGGCCCTTGCCCAGTCCTCGGCTGTTTGCTTAGCCCTCTTACTGAAATCTCCTTTCACTGTACACTCGTGGCTCTGATGTCTGTGTTCCCAGTGCTGAGTTTTCCTAATTTCCGAGTGATGCATTTCTTGTTGTCTGGAGAGCAAGGGACTCAAAGGCTCAAAGGTACGCACATCTAACCTGAACTCACTGTGCTCCCATATATATTATGACTGCATCCATCCATGAGTAGTGAATCACAAGGCCTGTTGGTCTCATCCTCTAAATGTCCCACAGATTGGTCTGCCATCGCATCTCCACCGTAGGCCGGTACCATCCGTTGCTGTCGGGATCTCTACGGTGAACTTTCTGTGACAGTGGAAATACTTCATGTCTCTGTGTTTGGCACAATAGCTGCTCCCTACGTGTGGCCATTGAGCAGTAAAATGTGGCTAGTTTGGCTGGGAAACAGAATTTTCAAATTTTTTTTTTTGTACGTAGAATCAAACTCAGGGCCTCAGGCTTGCCAGGCAGGCGCCATGCCCCTGAGTTTTTTATTTTATTTGACTTTAATTGCTTGACGTTCGCCTTGGAACAGTGCTGTGTGGGGAGAAGCTGGGATCTGAAACTGCAGGGTGCAGCTTTCCCTCGCAGCCCCCGTTCTCAGGTTCCCACGGTGCCGACCCTGTCCTCACACCACAGCCGTGTTACAGATGGACTGGTCCCCTCCCCATCATCAGCCGGCAGGAAGTTCCCGCAGTGTTTGGGGGGACAGACACCACGGCCTCACTTCTCCCTCCCCCTATCGTAGATTCCTGAGTGCTCTGTGCTTTTTCTTTTGATTTGAGAAACATTTTATTTTGAAATAATCGTTATTTTATTTTGAAATAATTATAAATTCGTAGGAAGTTATAAAAACAGTTTCTTTACTCAGCTTCGCTCCGTGGTGACAGCTTAGTAAATTTGCACTGCTGTCCTGCTAGCCCGCAGCCTTCTCACTTGCTTGTGTGTGGAGTTCTCTGTGATGCTGTGCCGAAGAGGAGCCTTCTGCAGGCCACTTCACTTTCTTCCTGCTGGCCGGCACCGCCCCATCCCCTGATGGGCACAAATCTGTCCCCGCTGCTTAGATTTATCATTTGGAGGCAGTTTAGGAAGGGAGTCATCGGGTTGGAAACCAAGCACGACGCCCTGGGAGCCATCAGCTGGGTGCAGGGCCTGGATTTCACTTCTCCGCCCTGCTGCCGTGGGCTCCTCTTTCAGAGCTGAGCTCAGAGTTTTGTCCGTCATGGCATGGGTTCTGTGCCTCCTCCCCTGCTCTCAGACCCCTGTTCCTGCCTCTTTCTTTTTTAAAATCATATTCTCCCCATTAGGTGTCTTCCCCAGTACACTTTGGAGTAATCCCTAGGTGTGGGTATTTCTTCTGAGTATCTCTAATATTTAGTTCTGTGCCTGTCATGTAGTCAGTGCTCATTAATTACGTTTCTGTTAATAAATGTATCCTTGACTTCTCTTTCTCCTTATTTATTTTAGGGCACGAGAGATCCAATTTGTGCAATAACTGCATCTGATAAGACACTGATTGTGGTAAGTGTAAAAAATTTATTTTTGGAATAATTGTTTAAAGGGTAAAGCAGTGAGTTTTGGGTTGAATATCATCTTGCAACTACCCCAAGTTCTACTAAATCTTGCAACTACCCCAAGTTCTACTAAATCTTGCAACTACCTCAAGTTCTACTAAATCTTGCAACTACCCCAAGTTCTATAAAAATTGAGATAGTTTTAAGGCTTGCCTTGCAAATAAATTCTTAATCATTTTGCAAAAGTAGCTGTTGAGAAGAGTAGTGTAATGTGCTGGGAAGGGTGGCTTGAAGAGGAAGGAGCCGTGGAAAGGGCCGCAGGGGTGAGGCAGGTTGCAGGGGGCAGTAGGCCTAGAGTGCTCCTTCCCTGACGGTTTATATTGAAACAGTGCTTTGGCTCAGCTACTTTCATAAGACTTAGAACAAAGAGACCGTAAAATAGAGAAGACCTGGGCAAATTTCTGATGAAGTTTTTGAATAGAATCAAAGGTATAGTGTGTTTCCCTGAGCTCTGGCATTTGGAAGTGTTAACTTTAGAAATCTGTGTTTACTTTAAGACACTCATGCTGGTGGCATTGCATTTGAATGGCATAAACGGAGCTTAATAGTGTGTGTTTCCAGCTCTGGGTATGTGTTGAGCTGTTAGCTGGCCTTCCGGGAGACCGACCTCTTCAGAGCAGTGCACTCTGTAGTGTGCGCCCCTTTCCCAGTGGCCCCCTTGAGAACCGTGCCTCCGCCTGGCGCCTGGTGAGGACAGGCGAGCATCCCTTGGCAGGCACGGGGTGGGTGGCTTCACTCCGCAGCTCTCCTGTCTGTGGGGCTTGCTGCTTTCTGGTCCCCATTGGTGCCTGCCTAGAGCTGCGTTTCAGCTACTAGTCCAGGTGTCACTGCTTTCAGACCTTTTTGCCTCCCAGAAACCAGTGTCACACAGAGGACCAATCACAGAATAAACATCCAGACTTTCTGTAACAGCTATTTCATTTTTTGAAATTAATTTTAATGATGCAATTTCGATATGCATAAAGATCACGTTCATCATAGGGGAAGTACCCCTCGTTCATACCATGGTCTTCTCTTGATTTTTTATGTGAAATTTAATTCAACAAGTGCTTTGTATTTTAGCTTTTAATGTACTCTGAATATTAAACTAGATAACTATAAACAACCTTAGATATATATATATATTTTTTTTTTTCCTTGTAAGAGGAAGAATTACCAAAGAGCTAGAATTCTTTCTTACTATTACATGAAAAATATGTTACTTCAAACACTTTTAAAAGGTTTAAATTAAATTAGGAGATAAAAGGATAGTTAGTAACAATTTACATTCAGAGTTGGGAACTTGCTAGACCTTCGTCACTTTGGTTTATTTTATTTTATTTTTTCACTTTGGCTTTAAAACAATGTATGGCTATGCCCCGAGGCCTGTGACTGTAATTTGAGGGTGTCATGGTAAGTGCCGAGTAATCAGCTGTGACTGTCACAGGGCCGGGAGTCTGGCACCATGCAGAGGTACAGCCTGCCCAACGTGGGGCTGATCCAGATATATTCGCTGCACTGCCGGGCCCTGCAGCTCTCCTTGAACTGCAACTCGAGGTAAGGCTGGAGCTGCCCTGGGGGTCAGACTTGGTGGCTGAGATCCTTGGTTTCTGTAACCATTGTGAAGACCCAGCTGTGTTTTGGGAACCTGTCTTACAGTGCAGTGCGGTTTTACTATACTGTGTGTGGTCTTTCTGTACCGGGCACTTGAAAGTCCTGCAAGATTTTATTAAAGCTTAAGAGTATTAAGACTATTTTATATTTTCATACCGGTTGATTTAATCTGTTTGGATTCTCTCTTTACAAGGAAGTAAAGTGGAGAGTGGTTTGTATCTTCTGTTACATTTATTTTAAACATTTAGAAGTTGTTCTGCCGTATTCCAAGTTTCTGATGACCCAGTATTGAAGAATGTGTAGGTAGCTATCCTCACGACACCGACGATGATTTTACATTCTCCCTCCCTCCCTGCCCGCCTCATTGCTAGCCGTCTCGCTATCATAGACATCTCAGGAGTTCTGACTTTCTTTGACTTGGATGCTCGGGTAACGGACAGCGCCGGACAGCAGGTAGTTGGCGAGCTGTTAAAGCTGGAGCGGAAAGATGTCTGGGACATGCAGTGGGCCAGAGACAACCCTGACCTCTTCGCGATGATGGAGAAAACAAGGATGTACGTTTTCAGAAACTTGGACCCTGAGGTAAAAACAGGAGAGGAGCGCTAAGCAGGCTCAAGTCACGAGCCATCAGCGAAACCTGGCTGTATCCCTGGTCACTTTAAGAGTTTTATTGGCGTTGGCTGCGTACATTTGTGAAAGTGCGTGGAAGCCTTCCTGTGGAGATTTAAAGCAGTCTCATGTTTTAGGTGCTCTTTACTTCCCTTAAAGTACTTTCTAGACTTTTATCTGTTTGTTTTGAAAGATGAAGTCATGATTGTTAGGTGGTCTTTTATTCTTCCTTATCAGAGTTCCAAGAGGACAAGAGAAAACCAGTAATCTTATTCACCAAAATTTCTTAAAGGAATCTAACAAAAAGACGTAGTTTTGAGGTTGTCTCTTCCTTCCATTTGCTCCCCCCGTGCCTCGTTTGTTTGGTACTTGGCTTGTGTTCCACCTGCATTTACCATAAGACCTGCTAATCCATGGTTTTCATCCAGGTATTCTTGCAAACCTGCTAATATGTGTTGTGATTCGTCTTCTCTCTTGGGTAATAGGAAGCCCTTTCTCATAAAATTACATTTTATTTTAATTTTTATATTTGTCTTTTTTGGAGACAGGGTCTCACTATGCAGTTCAGGCTGGACTTGAACTTACTTTGTAGCCCAGGCCGATCTCAAACCTGCAGCGACCCTCCTGCCTCAGCCTCCCAAGTGCTGGGATTACAGGTGTGCACCATCACACCTGGCTCATTTTTATTTTTTCTTGTGGTTTGCATTAGCTAGTTGTTATGCTTTGGATCTTTCTGTTACTCCATCTATTTCTTCTAGACCAACTGTTAGCTTTTGTGTTTAGAAAATGCAAATAATTTGAGTAGTGATCTAATCAAGAAGATAAATGTCTTAAACTATGTTCTAATTAATAATAGAGATTTTTTTGTTTGGTTTGGTACTGGGGATCGAACTCATGACCTTGCACTTGCTAGGCTGGTGCATACCCTGCTGAGCTAAACCCCTTGCCCAGTAATAGGGGTTTTCTATTTGGAACTTTCTGTTACACTTCACCAGTGTGCGTAGTAGCTTTAGGCCTTAGTTTTTACTTGTTTGCACCTGGGGCTTCCTTGGAAGCAATGGCATGCTTAAATTCTTGAGTTACCACAAAATGTTTTGTAGTAATTTGTTTAATGGTACACTGCTTGGCACTTTAATATCTAAATTATTTTTATATTGTTTCACTTGAGCTCTGCTAAGGAAGTTTGGGTTGGCAAAGAGCCTGATGTAAACTGCGCTCGAAAGCTGTTAAAGCTTGAAAGAATCATAGGATCTCTGTAATTTTTGGACCCCACAAAATAGTTCAAAGAAAGATATTCAGGTTGCTGCGGCAAAGATATTCAGGTTGACCTGCAAACATGGGCTTCCTCCAAGGACCCCAGGGAAATCGGACCCTCGCCACAGAACCAGTGAGGAAATAGGGCAGGTGACTGCAGGGTCAGTGTGGCTGGGAGCAGAATCCGGGTTGAGCGTCCATGTCGTCTTTCCATGCTCGGCTGCTCGACCCGAGCTGGGAGCTGGGAGCTGAGCCCTCGAGGTGAGCGTGCACGGTCAGCGTGGTGCCCACTGCAGCCACTGCCTGGTGCGCACTGTGTCTCCGTAGTTCTAACATCACGGTGCGTAGTTTAGTTTGTTTGTTTGTTTTTTTGTCTTTTTCCTTTTTATCGGTACAGGGGATCGAACTCAGGACTGCCTGCTTTACAAGGCAGGCGCTTATGCCCCTGAACTAAATCCCCAGCCCCTGCAGTGCGTAGTTTTAAAAATTACTGTTTTCTTCTTCTTCTTTTTTTTTTCTTTTTTTTTTTTTGGTATCGGGGATTGAACTGACGACCTTGCGTTTGCCAAGGAGGCACTTATGTCACTGAGCTAAACCCCCGGCTGCCATATTTTCTTTACTGGAGTTTTCTTTTCTTTTTCTGATTTGACATAGAGTTCAGATTTACGGCTTGATAGAATCTTGTTCTCTTACAACCTTTCCCCGGTCTAGATTTCTTGGGTTCTTTTCACCCGTGGAGACTGGGCCCCTGCCGTCCCTTCCTCTAGCTGCTACTGACCCTGTGAGAACACAGGCTCCCGGTGTGTAAGGGAACAGTGTGCCCCCTTAGACACAGCCATCTGCATTCACGGCTGAGCTGCTGCTTGAGGGTCAAGAGCAGTGCGTTGTGTCCCCAGGAGGACGGCCGAGGTGCCCGTTTTCACACCGCAGCCTGGCTGACTCTGTCCTGCTGCTCCGGGCTGCCTGAGGTCACACGATCAGTACTGCCCTGGGTTCACGATCTTTTCAAAGTGGTTTTTAAGCTACTTAGTAAAGATTCCGGTGATCATAAAGCTTCAGATACTTTTTTGATAAAAATAAATATCTTGCGTAGTATGCCTGTGAGTGTAGCCTGCGTTAGAGACCACTGATCTCATACTTTATAGTCAATGAAATATTTTTGAATTTGGGGAAACAAAGGCAATTGGTTAAGGAAATTCAAGCTGAAATTGAATTTTTGAAATACAAATTATACAAATATTTGTGCATATTTACTTATATGCCAATAATCATAGATTTTTTGGGAAACTCTTAGTTTTTGCCTATAATTTTCTCCCTTTCTTTGTTTTTTTATACACAGATTACCTTTTGACTACCTTGCTTTATTGTGATATTTAGCCAAAAATAAAGTATTTTTCTATTGATAAGCATGTTTATTATACAGATATTATTTTATTTGCATGTAGACTCCTGTGGTGTAGAAGAAACACTTCATTATATATGCCTGTTTTTTACTAAAGTGTGTTCTGGCTCTTTATGTGTACTTTTTTTCATAAAAGCTTATTGGCGGGGCTGGGGATTTAGCTCAGTGGCATAAGCGCCTGCCTTGCAAGCAGGCAGTTGTGAGTTTGATCCCCGGTACCGATAAAAAGGAAAAAGACAAAAAAAAAAAAAGCTTATTGGCTTATACAGTGCACCCTGTGTAAGCCAAGTTGTCTCATAATTTGAGTATTTTAACCAACGACCTATGATTTTTAATAGAAAACAAATATTTGAAAATCCATTAGACAGATGTATTAGCATATAGGAGTCTCATAATACTAAAATAACAGACATACAGCAGACTCATATTTACACATAGGCAGATGAAATCTAATGCAGGGAATCTATGCATGAAACTCTGGCTCATGTTACTGAGAACAGACTTTTTAGTATGGTGTGAGGTTTCTGTGAGAAATGTACTTAGACACAAATATGATAGTTATCAGCTTTCCTAAGAAACAAGTTATAATACGGTCACGTAAGAGAATGTCCTTATCTTTTAGATAAATGCCTTGAAGATTTTAGTGGTTGAAATGTCATGATATCTATAATTTATAATCCAGTAGCCACAAAATTAAGTGAAGCTGTGTTTAGCAAAATGTTGACAATTGGGCTGGGGATTTAGCTCAGCGGCATAAGTACCTGCCTTGCAAGCAGGTGGTCGTGAGTTTGATCCCCGGTACCGATAAAAAGGAAAAAGACAAAAAAAAAAAAAAAAAAAGTTGACAATTTTTTTAGGTAACGTATATATGGTACTAATGTCATTGTGTGTAGTTTTTAGTTTGTTTGAAATTTGATAAAAAAATTTAAAGCCCAGATTTCTTAAAGGAGGGGTCAGTTTGCAAGATGAATTGTAACCCTTGTTTTTTGTCTTTAAGGAACCCATTCAGACCTCTGGATATATTTGTAACTTTGAGGATTTAGAAATTAAATCCGTTCTTTTGGATGAGATATTAAAGGTAATTGTCTTAGTTACTTCCTCACTGCTGAGACAAAATACTCGACACCCACAAGTTAAAGAAGGGAAGGTTTATTTAGCTCACGGTTTGTAGAGGTTCAGTCCACAGTCGGCTGGCTCCGAGGCGGGGTGGTGGGGCAGAGGAGCATTGCAGAAGAGAAATAGTCCATGGCAGGGCAGAAGGGCATTGTACAGCAGGCCAGAGGAGCAAGTGGACCAGCAGTAGCAAGTGGGGACAAACCAATCTGAAGTAACTTAGCTGTTGCACACCCTGAATCCGTATTCGCACACCCCAGATCAGCTAGCTGCAGATACAAGTCGTATGGGTAATTCTCAAACGCCAGTTCTGTTTCTGTTGTTGGCTTGCCTGGACGTGCTCTGGTGACCAGGAGGTGTGTGCCCCGGTTAGGTTTATGCACCCAGGGTTGGATAACTCTTGGGTCCAGCCCTGCTCTGTGCCTTGTGCTGTGGTTCCCGTAGGTGGGGCTTCTGTGGTTTGGAGCCCTGCTGGCCCCAAGGAAGGAGCACTGGGCCTTCTTGTTAGCCAGTCCTGTGGGAGTTGGAAGGGGATGGAGAGCAGCGCAGCACACGCTCTCAGCAGTCCGCCTCCAGGGTGGATCCTGAGTGTGCATCGGGCAGTGATGGCAGACCCCCGGGAGTGCCCCGACTATGAGTGCTCAGCCGCTGCGGCAGTGTGGGGTGACCTGGTGTGTGTGCCGAGAGGGGCTCCCTGCCCGCTGCAGGACGTGGGCTACAGGTTCACCACCGCTGCCCTGGGAGATGTGTGCTCCTGCAGGACGCTTGACTCTTCTCTGTGTGGAGGGCACTTCTTTAAAGAGTGGAGAGAAAAATTATTGTTTAAGTCATTTAAACTACAAAATAGCAGAGCTTGCCTCTTTTTCTTTTTGATTTTTTAGAAACAGGGTTTCGCTCAGGTTGAACTCACTGGTATAGCCCAGGCTGGCCTCAAATTTGTGACCCTCCTGCCTCGGCCTGCTGAGGGCTGGGATCACAGGCGTGTGCCCCAACCTGGCACGGAGCTATTCTTGTGGCCTGCGGACTCAGGTCCAGTAATGTCACATGTCCAGGAAAGCAAGCCGTTTGTCATGTCCTCCTTCTCAGAGGACTTTGGGGGTGTGAACCCCTAAGTATTCTTTGTAAAAGCAAAGTCGTGAGAGGGTAGAGTCCAATACGGTGGTCGCAGCGTCGTGGCTGGCTCTGGATGTTAACGCTTCGTCACAGTGAGCTGAGTGGGCCTCCACTGTCCAGGGAAGGCCTGCTGTGAGTCTCATAAAATGCTTTTACATTGATTTTTACTTCTGAAAAGTCATTATTACTTCTACAAAGGTAGTAAATAGTTACATGGGATTCAGGCAGTACAGAAAAGTGCTGGAACGAAATGAAAATAAAGCTACCAAAATCTCACTGTGCAGGTGTTTTGGTCATTAGCTTTAGGTAAACTTGAGCGCATCATTTCATACAGCAGCCTGTCTGTAAAAGACAGATTTGGTGGGTCAGATAGATGAACAAAAGCAACCTTATGAAATTGGCGTCTTTGTGCAATCGATTGTTAATGTTAAGTTCAAATTTTTTTAATTTTTACCGGTACCAGGGATTGAACTCACAACCACACGCTTGCAAGGCAGGCGCTTATGCCTCTGAGCTAAATCCCCAGCCCCCTGTTAAGTTCAATTTTAATTAAATAGTCCAAACATCAGTTTATGGTGGAAAACTTCTCTGGAGAGTGACTTTTGGTAATTTTTTCACCACAATGCCATTTTCCTACCTTAAGAAGAAAAGTTATAAAAATTGAAGTTTATCCCCTCAAAGTACATTTTAATTTTTAATAGCGTTGACTTTTTTAGTCTACCAGATATCATTCTTATATTTCTCCATTATTTTTGTCAAGATGTGGGTCATTTTATTTTTCTTTTTTAGTTTTTGTCTTTTTGAGACAGGGTCTCACTATGCAGTCCAGGCTGGCCTCGAACTCCTGCCACAGTCTCCTGCCTCAGTCTCCCAAGTGCTGGCTTTACAGGCATGCAGCACCATGCCCAGCCTTATTTTAATTTTGTTTTCTAACTCTAGGTTTCAGTTTTTAGTGTTTTTAAGTAAGTGTTCGGGATTGAGCCCTGGACCACACGTGTGCTAGGCAAGTGCTGTGCCGCGCAGCTCTGCCTTGCCTTTTGTTGTTTAGTCTTACTGAAGTGGATTCAAAGCTGTTGTCCTCTTTTACTACATTTTCTCTGTGCTTGAGTCTTTAATTCTTTTAGTTGCCTAGATTTCATCATCAGTAGTAGTTGTAAAGAAAGGCATTGCTACCCTAACTGATGGTTGTACTGACTTGAAAAGTGTCTTGGAGAGTGCGTATTTACATTGGGTAGCTGCAGTCTGGGATTCTTGATGCACCTAAAGTGCTGGTGCTCAGTTTATCGAGAAGGGGTCGGAGAGAGTGGAGTGATCAGCTGTGACAGAAGCTGAATCCTCCGTGACTTTGTCATCTGCCTGACTTAGCCTGCGCGCTCTTCTCTGGGACCTCTGTGACTCGGAGACGTTTAGCTGGGCCGTGGGCTCCTTCAGGTGTGCGGCTTTAGGAAGTGGCTCGGGGCTGGTAACCTCACATAGCTATGATTCCAGCGTCAGCGTGGAGGCAGGAGGGGTGCACGTTCAGGTTCACCTGGCAACTCAGCGAGGCCTGGCTTCAGCGTGCTGAAAAATCGTAAAAGACATGGGTGTCACTCAGTAGAACTCCCCTGGGCCTGAGCCCTGCTAGAGAGACAGAGAGAGAGGGAGAGCTAGAGAGAGCGTACGAAGAAGTTTCGTGGAGGACTGGAGAGGAATACAGAGGGCAAGGCAGGGAGCTACAGCTGCCCACGCCCTTCCTGTGCGGCATCCTGTGCCGCTTGGCGGGACGCCATCCTGGCAGGTATTGCAAATGTTTTCCTTTAGGTGAGTAAAGCAGTTTACTCAGAGTTCATCTGTCCATTGGTTGAGCCCACTTTAACTGTGAGTCAGGAAAGTCCAGTTGCTGGGCTTGCCTAGAGGAACTGGGGGAGAGACGAGTAATTCAGCAGCCAGGGTTGGGGTTTGGGGCCCTGATCCGGGAGCAGGGTCCCCCCTGGAGTGCTCTGAGGCTGGAGGAGTGTGCTGGGAGCCGGCACTGCGCTCCTCGAGCTCCTGTGAGGCAGGTTCTCTCTCTGTCCTCACAGCCCCAGGAGGCAGCTGGGCGATTTCCTGCCTCTCCCTGCCCTGTCGCTGTCACCTAGCGAGCAGTAAGGAGGCCTCATCAGGCTCAGGCTGTGGCTCCAAAGCTGCTGGGCGCGGTTGGTAGCACAGGCAGAAACTAGGCTGGGACGGGGCCGGCGTGTGCGCAAGGGGACTTTGTGTATCCTCCAGGTGCCAGGGGAGCAGGAAGGTGGGGAGCGAGGGTGGAGAAGGGGCTCCAGCTTGGGGGAGTGAGGTCAGGGTTTACCCTGCCAGTGAGCCGCGAGTCAGGGCGAGAGCAGGCCTCCTTGAACCCGGAGCTCACCCCCTTCTGCACACGGGCGTCCTCCAGGTTGCCCGCTGTGGGCTCCCGCTCCGTTGCTGCTGCGTGAGGAGGATGCTCGTGGCTCCGTTTAGCTTTGCAGGGGCCTCTGCTCCCCAGGACCCGGCCTCTGCTGTTGTCCCCGCAGGCTGTCACTGTGGTGTGGAGTGTGGCTGAGTTGATTGTGACTGCTTGTTTCCTTTCTTCGCCCACTTACATGGTTTTCCCTCAAAGACGGTGTTTTGTCAGGTTTCTGAATTGTGACCTCCCAGCAGTGAGGACAGGGTCCCTTGTCCTTTCGCTGCCTAACAGAGGGACACACCTGCCCCTGGCTGGGAAGGTGGGGGGATGTAGAGGCTGTGGCCCCTGGGCTTTCTGACGATGAGGAGGAGGGGGCCCGGAGAGGGATGACAGAGAAGTGGGGGTGCAGAGTTGGGGGGCCCTTCCACCCTGTCCGCTTCCGCCGCACAGCTCAGGAGAGCTGCAGTGTGAGACCCAAGCACGGGCATTTCTTGCATTTCTTGAGTCTTGTTCTTTTGCTCACAACACAGTGCACTTCTTTTTGTTTTGCTCTGTTGTTAATTGTAAAGAAAAAAGAAAAAACACAAATCCTGTTCTGCAGGTGGTAACTTGAATTCCTTTGTTTTTCACCCTTCCTTTAGGATCCAGAACATCCAAACAAGGATTACATACTTAACTTCGAGATCCGCTCCCTGAGAGACAGCCGGGCCTTGATTGAGAAGGTTGGGATTGAAGACGCATCGCAGTTCATCGAGGACAATCCGCACCCCAGACTTTGGTACAAAACCCTCCAGACTCCCCAACGCCGGGTGCGGCTCTGTCATCCTGGCTCCCACACTGACCTGAGGGGGAAGAAGCCAGCGATTCATGTTAGACTTGAAAGTTCTCATTGTAAGCACAGTGTCATGTGAAAACACATTGGCGTGTGCAAAAATAGTCACTCAAAACCGTGATTTACTGGAAACAGGATGAGTTCTGGTTCAAAGCTAGTTTATCAGTGGTTTGCAAAGTCTCACTGTTTCTTTCCTCTAAAAGGCGCCTGCTTGCCGAGGCAGCACTTCAGAAACTGGACCTGAGCACCGCGGAGCAGGCGTACGTGCGCTGCAAAGATTACCAAGACATCAAGTTCGTGAAGCGCCTGGGCAAGCTGCAGAGCGAGGCCATGCGGCGCGCGGAGGTCGTGGCCTACTTCGGCAGGTTTGAAGAGGCGGAGAGGATGTATCTCGACATGGACAGAAGGTGAGTTAGGGCAGGGCAGGCGTCTGTCCTGCCGTTCGTGCTGACCGGGAAGGCAGGCGAAGAAGAGGCCCAGAGCCTGGGTCAGCAGCTCAGCCGTGGTGGGTCCGCACGAGCTGCCCGTCTCGGCAGTCCAGGTTTGTAGTAAGATGCCCGGTAGTGGCCACTCGCCAGTCCTGGCCTGGGCTGTCGGAGACCAGGAGGTGCGCCTGCTCTGCAGTCCAGCTGACCTGGAGGGCGTCCCTGGAGATCAGCCCACCCCACAGCCTGAGGAAGAGAAGCGACTATTTAAATCACGATTTTGCTAAATAAGTTGAAACATAAAAACAAAAGACGGGACGTCGTTTGCCTCTTCTGGTGTCTCTGAGCTGCTACGGTACAGTACCCGAGCCTGTGAGATTTCTGAAGAGTGGTTTATTTCCCAGTTTTGGAGGCTGGGAACCCCAAAACTGAGGGCCTGAAAACCAGGTGCAGCATCTGCTGAGAGGCCTGCTCATGTTTCCAAGGTGGCGGTGTGAATTCTGCGTGCTGAGGTGGCAGTAAGTGGAGGGCGGGAAGGGCTGCACATTCTCTGCTGGCTCTTACGCGCAGGCGTGAATCAGTCCATGAGGAAAGATGGTCACCTCCCCAAAGACCTTGGCACTGCCCCAAGAAGGATTAAGTATCAACATGAATTTGCTTATTTTTTGCCTTGTTTCTTTGCATCAGGGTCTTTTTTGGAAGGGTTTCTTTTTTAGAGGGGGGCAGGCTGACCTTGAACTCACGGTGACCCTCCTGCCTCAGCCTCCTGAGTGCTGGAATTGCAGGTGTGTGCCACCATGCCCAGTGAGACGGGGTCTTGCCACGTGTTTTGGGCTGGCCTTGAAGTCTTTCTGCCTCAGCCTCCTGAGAGCTAGGACAGAGGCATGCACCACCATACCCAGTGCAGCTGAGTTTTGGAAGGGACACATCATAGCCTCCCCCTCACCCATTGTCTGGTACCCGGCCGGGGCCGAGTTTCCGGAGAGTTTGGAGTTCTGTGTCTGTCTGTATTCTGTGTTCCTAGCACGTCACAGGTATGTTTTGAATGGATGAACAAATGATTGGGTGCCATTGCTTGCAGGGACCTTGCCATCGGCCTCCGGCTGAAGTTGGTGGATTGGTTTCGAGTGCTTCACCTGCTGAAAACTGGGTCTGGTGATGCGGATGACAGTCTGCTTGAACAAGCCCACAATGCCATTGGGGACTACTTCGCTGACCGGCAGAAGTGGTATGGCACGCCTCCTCCATTTCCTAGGGCTGCCTGAGCATTTCCCTGGATGTGTGCTGGGAGAAGGGAGCCGTGTTCCTCCTCCGTCCTAAAATTCACTCCGCTCGGCGTTCCCACAGATAGGAGTGTTAGGGCCGACGCCGCAGGGAAAGAGACCCCAAGGACTCAACTCTTGGTGAGGGAAAAAAGTTTATTTCCATGCGCATGGGGTCCCCCAGGCAAACAAGTGCGGAGGGCCCCAAGGGGGAATTGTGTAGGGTTTTTAAGGGGGCAAACGGGAGGCAAGCGAGTTTACAGAAGCAGATTGCATTGGTTAATTTTGAGCAGGATAGGACTTGGCAGAAGTTGATTGGAGGGGTTTGGGGTTGAGTAACCATGGAGACTGGGGGTCCTAGCCCAGTCACTATGTGCCCAGAACAGAACAGTTACTTGTCTTACTTATCTCGTTGAGACAGAACAACCTTGCAGGTGCATTCTTTCTTTTTTTTTCTCTGCTCTGATAGCTCTGGGGAGTTAGGCATTTCTTTCTGCTCTGCTCTGATAGCTCTGGGGAGTTAGGGAGTTAACCCTTTCATTCCTCGCTCTGGGGAGTTAGGGAGTGAAACATTCTTTGCTGCTTTTTATAACTCGGGGAGGGGGTTATAGCAGGGGGGTCAACTCTCACATTCCCCCCCTTTTTTTTTTTGATGACTTTTAATCTTAAAGGTCCTGTATGGGTAAGGGATCATACTGTTGACGTAGCATCATAACCTTTACTTGAGAGATCTGAGCCCTCACAAACTGGGTTACTCGGTTAATGAGGTAAGGGGCTATAGCCATGACTATAATGAATCCAACCAGGGGTCCCAGTAAAGGGAGAATATAGGGCAGGATTGATTCTCGGAAAGAGAACATTTTGGCTTTACTTGAAGGGGGCTCTTGAGATCTGATTTTTTTTTTTAACTTTTTTATTGTATCTTTTACAATCTCAGTATGATCAGTGTAAAAACAACATTTTTTTCTAAGTGCGGCGCAGAGACCCCCTTTTTTTAAAAACAAAAGATCTTTAACAATTGGTTTTTTTTTTTTTTTTTGCTTACAGGGGGACCAAAGCCGCCGTGTAAGGTCAGCATCAATATTATTAAAATCAAAACAAGCAAGCTAAAACAGTTTATAACCAGCATAATCTAACTATGTTTTAGTCAATTTTTAACTTTAAGGGTTACCAGTCTGTTGTGTAGTCCACTGAGTATGTCCCTCGTTGTCCGCTGTTTCCAGTGGCTTTACATGAGTGTAGTGAATCCGCGCAGTTTTTCCTGTTACCTTGATGGCAGTGGGGGTACTGAGCATCACGGTGAAAGGTCCTTTCCAGCAGGATTTGAGGGAGTCATGGTGGTGACATCGAACCAAGACTGGAGTCCCTGAGGCCTTGGTCTCTGAAGGCGGGTCCAAGTGTTTTTGTCTAAACAGCTGGTGGATTCAGGCCAACACAGGTTGGAGTGTCTGTAGGGACTTAAGATCTCGATTAGTAATTTTAGCTAATTTGTCTTCTGACAATCTTGGAACCAATGGCGGGGGCCTCCCAAACATGGCTTTAAAGGGGGAAATTCTAGAAACATATGGGGTATATCTAGCTCTTAACAGTGCAAAGGGAAGAAGGCTCATCCAATTATCGTCAGTTTTTGAAAACAGCTTAGCTAAAATGTCTTTGAGACTTTGGTTTATATGTTTTACTTGTCCTGAGCTTTGTGGCTGATAGGCACAGTGGAGTTTTAATTAATCTTTAATGTCTGGGCTAACTTTTGGGTGACTCGGGCTATGAAAGCCAGGCCATTATCGGACCCCATTGATAGTGGGAGGCCAAATTAAGGTATGATCTCATGTGATAGCCTTTTAACTACCACTAAGGCTGACTCAGACTTAGTAGGGAAAGCCTCTACCCAGCCAGTAAAAATGTTTATTAATACCAAGAGATAGCAGTGTCCCTGTAAATTAAGTTTTACCATGTCCATGAAGTCTATTTTTTTAAATGTTTTCCTGGAACAATTTCTTGATGTCGGGTGGTCTCCAACGCAGAGCTCTTGGCTGAGTTGACTAACAAGCACTGTGGGCATCTGGAGCTCGAAGAGGTGGTCAGTTTGTAGAGTTTTGGAATAAAATACTGAGTTCTGGACAAATCTATAAGTTTAGTTTTTTCTAAACGAGTAGTCTGGCAAGCCCGGTATAACAGCTCCTGTCCTAGTGTCTCCAGTAACCGTACTTGTATATCAGGTAACTGGTATTAGCCCCTTGGGGTGGGAGACTTTATTTTAAGTTGAGATGTCAACTGTAGGTCTTTTTTTTATGTAGACTGGTTCTGACAAGGTCAGAGGACTAGTATCAGAGCAGTTATTTTCTTGGTTGACCCCTCTGATGTGGTTGTTATTTTTTAAGTGGCTTGATCTGCCAAACTGTTTCCTAAGGTGATAGTGTCATTTTTTGTCTGGTGAGCCTTGTAATGAATAGCAATCCATTGAGGCAGTCAGACAGCTGTCAGCAAGTCTAGAATCTGTGGAGCATTTTTAATCTTAGTCCCAACTGAGGTTAAGAAACCTCACTCTTGATAGACGGCTCCACGTATATGTACAGTAGCAAAGGCATATCTACAGTAAGAAAAATGTTTTACCCTCTTTTTCGTGGCTAGTTTTAGCCTCTTAGTCAAAGCAACAAGCTTCGCCTTTTGGGCAGAAGTGCCAGGCTCTACCCGCTTAACCCAGAGTACCTCCTTTTTGGTGGTCACTGCTGCCCCGGCCACTCGTTTGTCGTTTTGGATGAAGCTGTTTTCATCGAACAGTTGTCGGCATTTTCCAAAAGCTGGTCAGTAAGATCAGCCTGTAGGTTCTGCTGCAGTTCGAGGATGTCAGCGCACTCATGGAGAGAGGTGTCCTTTGTTCCTCCGGGTCATCATCAGGCATAAGGGTGGCTGGGTTTAAAGCTGAAGAAGTCTTGAATATCATTGACTCTGGGTCTAGAAGCAGGGCTTGACAGTAGAATTCTGGCATTTGAGAGCCTTTTTTTTTTTTGGTGAGGGATTTTGATAAGAGTCTCTAAACTGTGAGAGGTTACCACAGAAATCACTTGTCTAAAGCGAGTTTTTTTGTCTCCTTAAGTAGCATTGTCACAGTAGCTAGTATTTTTAGGCAGGGGGCCATACTCCTGTTACTGGATTAAGTCTTTTGGAGAGGTAGGCTATAGGCCTCTTTTAAGGGCCAATGTCCTGAGTGAGGACTCTTTTGGCAATGTCCCTGAGTTTATCTATGAACAAGATGAAAGGCTTGGTAACGTTAGGGAGTCCCAGGGCTGGGGCCTCTGTCAAGGCCCGCTTGAGCTGCTGGAAGGCCTGTTTACATTTATCAGTCCAGTTCAGTGAATTTTGAGTTTTTCCCTTATGGGAGTTATATAGAGGCAAGCTTTTCAGTAAAATTTAGCCTACAGTATCCAACTGCCTCCAGAAAGTCTCGTCTGTTTTTTAAAAGTTTTTTCTCATACAGCAATTTTAACATCTTGGCTATCTTTTTGTAAATTTTTTAGTTTTTAAAGACCTTTTTGTGCTATCTCTATTAACTGGCTGAGGGGCATTTTCTTAAACCTCTCAAACCTTTGTAATTTTTGTCTAACATGTGGGGCCGACTGAGTTACAAAGAGAACAACTGGCAATATTGGGAAACCTTCTTACCTCTGGATGTTCAGTCAGGGTGGCACAAAAGGAGAACATGGTTTTGGCATTCCGGATCAGAGAGCCGGCTTCATCTGGATGGCACACTGCTTTTTTGTCCAAGGGTGTCACGTGACAGGCCATCATTTTACTAAAATTATATTCTTAACAAAAAGGGCTTTTTTACAGGTAACAAAATTGTGCTGCATAATCTCCCAGATGTTTACAGCACATGTAAGAACTTGTATCTTATTTGTAGTATCACCTATAATCTCATTTTAATGAAAACATTTTGCAGCAAAGTACAATCTTATGTATACTTTTACCAAAACTGATCTAATACTGTCAAATTCTGAACACATTTACTTTTTGTCAAACCTGTTATTTGTAGTACTATAAACCAAGACAAATAAAATTTACATCCTCTTGAGCCTTCTACAACTTACAATAATACCTCTCAAACTAAGCTTTAATCTTTTTTTACATTTTGGCATAGCCAGACACCTTTACTTGAAGACCACTCTCTTTGTCCCTCTTTTTACTATTACCAGTCAATTAACTTTTTTTTTACTTCTCAGACAACATCAAAACTCTCAACAAAACCCTTGAAGTCACCTTTTAGTAGTCCAAAACATACTTATTTTATGTCTTTTTACCACATAAAAATGCTGTATTTTAAAAACAAAACTGTAACCTTTTAACTGGCTCAAATATACTACCATCTGGTTTTTACTTGGTAAAGTTGATATGATTTTTAATAACCAGAGATATACATATATATGTGCACATGTTTACATTTTTACCAGAGAGGAAAAAATACTCCTTTTAAAAGGTATGCTGAGGTTGCAAGCAATCAATTGAAGTTTTACATATTAAACAAGGTGCCACAACATTAAAGACACAAACAAAGGGAGCTTCTTGCATAGTTTGGTCAGCTAAAGGAAATAATTTTTCTTATCATGAACCTTGAATCTAATAAGCCATATGGATCCTGCAACAGAAATGGGCAACAAGCCCCTAAGTTAGTAACAAGTTTAGACAGGCAACCAAGGAGAGGGCGGAGGAAGGAAGGGTTTTACCCACGGTGGGGGCTCTTTCCTGAGGTCCTGCCATACCAAGATGTAGGCATGCTGGTCGGGGTGGCCCTCTTCGTCCGGGGCGGAAGATGATGTTTTTAACTGCTAAGATGAGGGGAAGGTGGAAAGTCCCCTCTGGTGGCCAACCCACAGAGAATGTGGGCCACTCAGACGAGCAGAAAGTCTGTCATTTACTTTTTTAACCTGTAAGGAGAGATTGTGAGCCCTCTCTCGAACCTCTGACCAATGGTCGAGGGTGAGGGACAATGGGGACGATGTCCTTTGTCCCATGGTGTTCTGAAGACAAAGAGTGGTTAGCGTACGCGCGACACAACAAATAATCGTTCACAACAGTCACAACACACAGGACAAACAGGCCGGCCACCTCACTCTTACGCATTAGTTTCACACCAAACGAGTCACCTTAGGGGGTGCCTCCAGATTGGCCCGGACGGACCACAGATTGGGAATGAAATTCCCCAGATTGGCCCAGACGGACCACAGATTGGGAATGAAATTCCCCAGATTGGCCCAGACGGACCACAGATTGGGAATGAAATTCCCCAGATTGGCCTAGACGGACCACAGATTGGGAATGAAATTCCCCAGATTGGCCCAGAAGGACCACAGATTGGGAATGAAATTCCCCAGATTGGCCCAGACGGACCACAGATTGGGAATGAAATTCCCCAGATTGGCCCAGACGGACCACAGATTGGGAATGAAATTCCCCAGATTGGCCCAGACGGACCACAGATTGGGAATGAAATTCCCCAGATTGGCCCAGACGGACCACAGATTGGGAATGAAATTCCCCAGATTGGCCCAGACGGACCACAGATTGGGAATGAAATTCCCCAGATTGGCCCAGACGGACCACAGATTGGGAATGAAATTCCCCAGATTGGCCCAGAAGGACCACAGATTGGGAATGAAATTCCCCAGATTGGCCCAGAAGGACCACAGATTGGGAATGAAATTCCCCAGATTGGCCCAGAAGGACCACAGATTGGGAATGAAATTCCCCAGATTGGCCCAGAAGGACCACAGATTGGGAATGAAATTCCCCAGATTGGCCCAGAAGGACCACAGATTGGGAATGAAATTCCCCAGACCGATAGGAAAATCCTATCGCAGACGGTGAGTCACGGAAAACCGTGTGGGGCGTCCCCCGGTCACCAGAGAACAGAGAACAGATAACAAAAACAGGTAACAAAAATTGCCCGGTTGGCTCGGGGCGTAAAATACCGGTAGATTGATCCTCAGAGTAAAAATAAGAAGCGACCGGTCGTACTCACCCACCGCAGAGCCGTTGAGGTCACCTCCCGTGAGACGTGCTATCTCGCTGGGGCCTCCAAGATGTTAGGGCCGACGCCGCAGGGAAAGAGACCCCAAGGACTCAACTCTTGGTGAGGGAAAAAAGTTTATTTCCATGCGCATGGGGTCCCCCAGGCAAACAAGTGCGGAGGGCCCCAAGGGGGAATTGTGTAGGGTTTTTAAGGGGGCAAACGGGAGGCAAGCGAGTTTACAGAAGCAGATTGCATTGGTTAATTTTGAGCAGGATAGGACTTGGCAGAAGTTGATTGGAGGGGTTTGGGGTTGAGTAACCATGGAGACTGGGGGTCCTAGCCCAGTCACTATGTGCCCAGAACAGAACAGTTACTTGTCTTACTTATCTCGTTGAGACAGAACAACCTTGCAGGTGCATTCTTTCTTTTTTTTTTCTCTGCTCTGATAGCTCTGGGGAGTTAGGCATTTCTTTCTGCTCTGCTCTGATAGCTCTGGGGAGTTAGGGAGTTAACCCTTTCATTCCCCGCTCTGGGGAGTTAGGGAGTGAAACATTCTTTGCTGCTTTTTATAACTCGGGGAGGGGGTTATAGCAGGGGGGTCAACTCTCACAGGAGGAGCCGTGAGGTTGTGGGATGAGCTCTGTGGAACTAGTTTCAAACATAAAACTTACAGCTTTTGACCGTTTGAGATAACAGTGTTCTAAGGTGTTGTTTGATTTGTTTCTGAACAAAGTAAAAGAGTACATTGTATTTGCGTACTTTGTTATTGGAGGCTATTTTCAGAATTCATTGCTTTTATTTTTAAATTTTTAGTTATACTACATGTGTAGTAATTAGTAAATTTTCAGTATACTACATGTGTTAGTGGGAGTGCTATTGTGAATGTGTCTGACTAAAACAGTGTTTCATAACAATACTTGGATGGGAGACCGCCTGGGAATACCGGGTGCTGTAGGCTTTAAAAAAAAAAAGAATATTCAAAGCCTGTCACATTTAGATTATGCTGTGTAGTTTAAAAATTTTTCCAATTTAATGGTCTTGTATAACCGAGGATGATGAAATAAGTAATAGAAATAGTGGTTTTATAGTCGTCATTATGAGTTGTGATGATGGTTATGATCATCACTGTGCTGGGGACTGGGCCCGGGCTTTACGCGTCCTGGGTAACTGATCTGCCGCTGAGCTGTACGCCCAGCTGGTACTAATGATTCCAGATGGAGGGAACTGGGGTGCTATACTGAGCAGAGATTCACCTCAGCTTTCAAAGCCTTGTTTTTTCCTTCCTGTAGGCTGAACGCTGTACAGTATTATGTACAAGGCCGGAACCAGGAACGCTTAGCTGAATGCTATTACATGTTAGAAGACTTTGAGGGACTGGAGAATCTTGCCAATTCATTGCCAGAAAACCACAAATTGCTTCCAGTAGGTATTGTACATTTTGGTTTTTGAAGTTGTTAGATTACGTTATAAATTTTTTTATGTTAAATCAGGAAATAACCGCTACAATATAGGAAATGACAAATTAATTAATAGTTTTTTTTCTTGGTCCCGAGGATCAAACTCACAACCTTCACACTTAGCAGGCAAGCACAGGAGCCCCTGGCGAAGTCTCGGCCCCTTAATTTATGGTTTTGTAGACAAGGAAAGATCTTGTGTTTTGGTTGTAAAATGAGAAATCAGTAATATGGATGTGGTCCTATTTTTACTACTTGAATGTGTGGTCCTGTATAGTTCCTTCAGTTTTATAACGTTGCATTTATAAGTTAGCTTAATATGTGAGATCTTTACAGATGAAGTACCGTCTTGTCAGGAATTTGCTTCAGAATCTGAAATTGATTGAAATTTACTACAACTAACTGAAGTTTATTTTTTTTTAATTTTTATTTTCTTGGTACTGAGGATCGAACTCCCGACTACATGCTTGTGAGGCAGGCGCTCGCGCACGGAGCTAAATCCTCGGCCCCTGCAACTGAGCTTTAACAAGAGCTCTGCTTTTATTAGGTTAGATCAACAGTAAAGTAGCAATGTTAGGCAGGAGGCTGAAAGCAAGTTCTAGTCTGTAGAGGCTTTAGCTCTGGGAAGGGCCGTGCTAACCCTGACGCTAAGCACACCGCCAGCACCTCGGGGTCCTTTGTGTACCCCCTCGTGTGGGCTTGGTTCTGGGGCTTCACACTGCTGCCCCAAGAGAAGGAGGCAGCTGAGCTTTCAGGGCCGTCTGTCCGTCCATCCATCTGTTGGAAGGTGGTGCTTAGCGTCTGTTCTGACTGTGGCCTCTGCTTCTGTAACCGCCAGTCAGGTTAATACGCCTGTGTCCCTGGGCACTGAGTTAAAAGATAAGTGATTTCCTTGGCCCGTGAAATCCGATGGGTCTGTTTTGTGCTCACAGGAAATAGCGCAGATGTTCGTGAGAGTTGGAATGTGTGAACCGGCGGTGGCCGCATACCTGAAATGCAACCAGCCGAAGGCAGCGGTGGATACCTGTGTGCATCTCCACCAAGTGAGGGTTGGCAGTTACCGCTGTGCAGTCTGCGCCTTAAATCCTTTAAGTCAAAGCAAAGCTAGGGTCGCCATCGAGTCCTGTCTCTCCACCCAAAGGGTCGGCGGGCTTGAGGTGGACTTGGTGATGGAGCCAGCCAGCAGCGCACTTGCAGCCCAGCCTGAGCCAGGCTTGGTGTCTGCATGCAGCCCCTGACCGCAGCGGGCTGTGGGTGGGGTGGGCGTGTGTGACCACCAGCACCGCTCCCGAGGAGCAGGAGCCAGCCTGTGCCTTTGGTCTGACAGGTTTCGTCTGGAAGTCATTTCGTAATTTTTTGTACTTTATTAGGGTTGGGTTTTGTTTCCAAAGAAGGACCAATTAAGCTTGGTCATTGCCTGCGGGAAGAACTGAGTTCCTTTATCAATATTTATTTTGGCAAATCTTTTTTCCTTCTCTATAGAAAACACATACTTAATATTTTTAGGCACTGAAGTTAAAATGGGACTTACTTTAGAAACTGCTATCAATGTATTTTTAAAGTGTTTTCCTTAAAGTACTTTATAACATTTAGCTTATAAAAATAATTTTTAAATGTTAAACTGGGTAGTATTTTCTTAACCAAAATTGCAAATTTTTTATGATAAAAAATGAAAAAGCAAATCTTTTTTTGGCTCAATGTATGGACAAAAATAGAATGAAGATGAATGTGATTGTACACTTTGAAACGTTCTTTTTCAGATGCATTTGTTAAATCCATCTTAGATCACTGAGTCCTCTGCCACATGCTTAGCTGGTAGAATTTATGATTGTTCTGATTACAAGTGATGTTAAAAACAGACCGGTTTTCTATTTGGAAACACCATACTGTTACCTGTTACTATAAACTTAAAGTCTTACTGTGCTAATGTGAAGGCCTCAGTGAGTGAATGACACGGGATTTTCTTTCTAGTGGAACAAAGCTGTCGAATTGGCTAAAAGCCACAGCATGAAAGAGATTGGATCACTGTTAGCTAGGTACGCGTCTCATTTGCTGGAGAAGAATAAGACTCTCGATGCTGTCGAACTCTACCGGAAAGCCAGTTACTTTTTTGATGCTGCTAAACTGATGTTTAAGGTAACGTAGCGATCTTGGTGAGTGTCTGGTTTTGTAGTTATAATTTTTTTACATATACATGTAGTTCTAAGCAGAGTTTTCATTTTCTTTGGAAACAAAAGTTTACTCCAGCAAAACCCGTCTAGCTTTCTTACTGCTATTAACACGTGTTATTTTGATAGTATGTTTTTAAAATGACTTTTATTGGGGGGGATCAAACTCACAACCTTGTACTTTCTAGGCAGGCACTTACGCCACTGAGCTAAATCCCTGCCCCCAATATTATTATCTTTTATCACAAGGGCTGTTTATTAGCAATGTATTGATCACTAAACCATTGTAAATTTGGCATTGAAATTGTTAAAGAATTAAAAGAATTTGCTGGGATCACCAAGTACAAATTTCCTTAACTGGGAATTAAATCCTTTTGATAATACACTGCTGAGTCCTTGTAACTGTGTGTTTTTGAGTGTTAGAACAAGTACCATATTAATCTATGCACAGTTTGTATTTTGTTACAGCATGTAGAGAATCATATTTCAGTTAACTGTGGACATGATTAGGGTTGTAGAAACAGATTCAGAAATATCTTCCCCAATGTTTTAACTGAAGATTGCCGACGAGGAGGCAAAGAAGAGGACGAAGCCGCTGCGCGTGAAGAAGCTGTACGTGCTGGCGGCCCTGCTGGTGGAGCGGCACCACCAGCAGGTGAAGAGCGCCCAGCGCGGGAAGGCGCCGGGCAAGAGCTCGGAGGTGAGGGCTGGCCGCTGGCCTCCTCCTGCAGACCAGCGCTTCGGTGTGGGCGTCTGCGCTAGCTGCGTTAAATATAGAGAGGAACTACTGATTTAGGGTTGGTGTTCAAATCTAGAAATTCTACTTAGAAATAATCAAAGTTATCTTATTTGGTATTGGGAATCGAACTCAGGACCTTGTGCCTGCCAGGCAAGTGCTGATGCCGCTGAGCTACATCCCCAGCCCCTAAAATTATTTTTAATTAAAGACTAATACTTTGCTTTAAACATTTCCCTCTACTAAGCTTTGTGCTTACCTGGGAATCTCTCTTGGTCGTCAGAAGTTGAAGCCGCTGTGAGAAGTGTGTGCCTGCCCGCGGGAGGGAGCGGTGGGCCCCTAAGGCTGTGTGCGTTATCTGCAGTGTGAACAGACCCCAGCTGCCTCGGGGTACTCAGGCCGAAGCTGGGGAGCCACAGTGCCCAGGACGGGAGCACAGTGTCAGGCACGGGTCTCACAGGGACAGAGCCTGCGCACGCCGGTGCAGGAGCGCTGCGGGGTCACCTCCCGGGCGACCCTGCTGGGGTGCGGGCTCACCGGAGGCTGCGCCGGCTTTTCTCCTAGGCCACCTCTGCCTTGGCCGGCTTGCTGGAAGAGGAGGCCCTGTCCACGGCCAGCCGCTTCACAGACAACGCCTGGCGGGGCGCCGAGGCCTACCACTTCTTCCTGCTTGCGCAGAGGCAGCTGTACGAGGGCTACGTGGACACCGCGCTGAAGACAGGTGGGCCTGCCCCCGTGTGCGGGTGTGCAAGCCTTCGGGTTCCGTGGAGAGCCGCACCTTCTGTTCGGTTCTGCATTAAGTTCAGTGACCTGTCCCCTGTGAATTTATTTTTATATGTTTGAGAGTATGCTGTGTATGATTTTTGTACATTAGCCTTTTGAAATGTTTAAAAACTTTTAAAATATGTAACATTACCTCTAGTTTACAGCAAGGTTTTTTTGTACAGTTTGGGCTGGCTGTGAACTCACTGTGTAGCCCAGGCTGGCTTTGCACTCACAGTGATCCTCCTGTCTCAGCCTCCCAAGTGCCAGAATTACAGGCATGTATCCCACCCATGGGCTTCATTACATTTTTAAAGAAAGATGGCATCACAAATATAGAAAAACTGCCCAGGCATAACAGCTATCAAAGTAAATGATATGAGCTGGCTGTTTAGGAGCTTACTTTCATTTCTTTTTTCTTAAAGATTTATTGTTTCATTAAGACCAATAAGCATTATCCTAGTCAAATAAACACAAAGAGTAGCTGGGCGTGGTGGCTCATGCCTGTGATCCCAGCACTCAGGAGGCTGAGGCTGCAGGATCGTTGCAAGTTTGAGACCAGCCTGAGCTACAAAGTGAGTTCAAGGCCAGCCTGAACTGCATAGTGAGACCCTGTCTCTAAAAGACAAAAAAAAAAAAAAAAAAAAGAAGAAATACAAAGAGTAAATGTATGATTTCATGTTGCTTTGCTTTTTTGCAAAAAGAATATGATATTGGGAATCATGCCTAACAATATAATAATGTTTCTGGAATGCCACTGAAATTTCTCACTTGGAAGAAAAGACATGTCTCACGCCACAAGCTTTTGTCTGTGTGTATCTTTTTAAGTGAGCTCAACCATGGATCACTTGGTGGTAGACTGTGCTTTTTTTGGTTATTTTTAAATTTTGTGGCACTCGGCTTGAGCTCAGGACCTTGTGCATGTAAGCCATCACTGCCCCGCTGGGCTACTCCTGTGCATCCTTCTGAGTGTACTGTGAGTCTGAGTCTCCCCCGCTTGCCCAGCTGCCCTTGAACTTGTAGCCCTCCTGCCACAGCCCCCTGAGGGGTGGGGCCCAGGTACACCCCTGGTTCTGGCTTGCTGGTGCTGATTTCGTGGACTGAGCTGTTGGCTGACTTCTTAGCACCTGGAGATCACACGTCCTCCTCCTGGTGCACCTGTCTCTCATCGTTGTCCTTGTTTTGCTGTTTAAGTTCACGGGGGTTAAAGTAGAGCCTTTCCGGGCAGTGCGTCTGACCCTTTTCCAAAGCCTCCACTGTCCTCTCCGCAGCGCTTCACCTGCGAGACTATGAAGACGTCATTCCCGCCGTGGAGATCTACTCCCTGCTGGCGCTCTGCGCGTGCGCCAGCAGGGCCTTTGGCACCTGCTCCAAAGCCTTTATTAAGCTGGAATCCTTGGAGAGCTTGAGCGCAGAGCAGAGACAGCAGTACGAAGACCTCGCTCTAGAAATCTTCACCAACCACACTCCGAAAGACACCAGGAAGTCTGACCTGGACAGCCTTCTTGAAGGGTAGGCCAGTTATGCTCAGTCGGGGTCATCTGTCCTGTTTGGGAGCTTGGCTTTCTGTATGTTAACGTGTAATTCAGTCGTTAAACATTACATTTTGAGTTACTTTACTGTAACAGTGCACTCTGTTGTTATCTTAGAAATCTGTTCGTGTTTTATGTTTTCATTGTAAGTAGTTTTTATTTGAACAACACTTTTTGAAATGAGTATTTTAGTTGAAGTTTATCTAGAAATATTTTTCACTCTTCAGGTTTTAATTATATTAAATAAACTAGGTGAGGTTGCTTAGAGATTTTAACCTGTAACTGGGTATTTTCCTGCTCCTCTTTGCAGTGGCGAGGGGAAGCTGCCCACGTGTGTGGCCACGGGAAGCCACATCACTGAGTACCAGTTCTGGATGTGCAGCGTGTGCAAGCACTGTGCGCACACCCAGGAGATGAGCAGCTACGCCTTCTGCCCGCTGTGCCACAGCGCGGTGGGGTAGGCCGGTGCACCGTGTGGACTGTGAAGCAGGCGCGCTGTGCGGACCTGCCGTAACGGTGTAACGTGGTCTCCGTTAGTCTCCCATGAAAATCACTTCATTATTTTATAGTTATATTTTTGCACTATATATATACATATATACATGAAGACAGTAGAATACTTTTTGTATAGACATACATCCATGAATTTAAAAAGTTAATACAAAACTTAGGAAGCTAATCTCTTTTTCTATCTAGCTATCATTTGTATATTTTATGGCTGATTATATAATGCTGGAAATATTCCAAATAAATACTTTTCTACCATGTCAAGGTTGCTGATTCATTATAAAACCTTGGGGAGGTAGCAGGGATGGGCAAGCCCGTAAGTGAGCGAAGCTGAGATGGGAGAATTCCGGTGTTACAAGGAAATGAACTGTTTTAGCTGTATTTCCTTAAAACCAGCGGACAAATGTAGAACACCCAGGTGATACGTTTCTGTGGAAACGTGTGCCCCAGCGTTGTGGGAGAGGCTGGGCCTCTCAGCGGCTGACTGGCCCCCAGGAAGCAGTCTGCGTTCCCCCCGGTGTGACAGATGGCAAGGTGCACACCCACGTGTGAAAGTGCAGGTGGGTGAATTTTACCCACATCCTTTGCATGCTACATTTTTGTATTTTTAATTCGTTTTATTTTATGTTTTCTTTTGCCTTTTCCTATAGAGTTAGCCCAATTCTCTAGAATACTGCATGAAAATCCACTTTTACAACTTGGGGAGGAGACTGGAGGTGAGGCATTGGGTGACTCAGCCACCGATCATGACTTGGTCCATGTAAGCCACAGAACATGACAGACAGAGAAGTGCAGGCTGAGGACCTGGATTCAGGTGAAGAAGACAGCAGTGATGTAAATAAACATCTGGTCAGAATCTACCGAATGGCCATGTAAACCTGATCGATGCAGTGTGGGACTAGGTGAGAAAACGTTACTAGGTTCTTGTCAGGGTGCGTGAAATGCTAACTCTGGGACTCAGCGTAGGAAATGGTTTCTCATGCACGATGTACTGCTGCAAGGTGTTTTGAAATCCACTAACAATGAAATATAAGAAAATATTGTGCATACGTCAGTAATAATACTCAAAAACGTATTTATCAGGACTCCTCGCTGTCTAACTGAAAGCCTTCCTAGCAGGACTTTGTCATTCAGAGCATCAGGGTCTAAAGGATTTATGGTGCCCTGACAGATGCAGCACTTGGGGAGCTGAGGCAGGAGGATCCCAGGAGTTCAGGTTGAGCTGGTTGTACAGTGAGTTCAAGGCTAGCGAGATCCTGTCTCAGAAAACCGAACGACAGACGAAGCCAGAAGTGGTCACATTTTACAGCAGAACAAGGGCGGAGTGGATATTGCTGACAAGTTATGCTGCGACCATGCTGTCACTTCAAACACAAGGCATTGGGCTGTGGCTGTCTTTTACTGAATCCTAATCATGTCAGGCACGAGTACTTTTATAGCTTATGAAGAAATAAGCAGAAAATTTCACAGAGGTCTTGTTAGAAGGCTGGGACAGGAATTGATAACTGGACAGTTACAGCAGAGGAAGGACACACTGTGTCTACCCAGAACTCTGCAGAAGGGCTCGGGATAGACCTGGGAACAGAGAGGACAGCATCACAAGCAGCTCCTCAGAAACAGGACAGCAGCATGACGCCGAGGGTGTGCTGCCGGGGAGCGGGGGGCAGAGCAGCGTGCTGCCAGAGGGGCGAGCCGTGCGTGGGGCCCGGGGCTGCCGTGTGCGGGCCGCCTCGGGTGTGATCACACAGTTTATTTCTGCTGATTGTTTGAGCTTTTTTAAGGTAAACGGTGGATGTTGATGTTCTACCCCTCATTACATGATTAAAAATTACTATTTTATTGATAGTTTATTTTTATGTTAAGTACATAGAAATACTCCTAAACAAATGGGTGCTGTATACCCCTATATTGGGCCTTTTCTAAAATTTATGCTGATGGCTCTTAAACTAAACAGGTATTAAATATGTTCTATATTTTATTTTTAGAAATAAGGAAATAGCATTTTAAAACACTTTTTATAACAAGCTGGTTTTTAAATCTGTTAGTCTCTCCAAGAGAAGTATTTAGCATTCACTTTTAAAAAGTTTTATATTCCTTATTGGTTCCCGTGTGTTACACATTTTGATCACATCCACCATAGGGAGTTGGTACCTGCACGGGGTCTGTCTTAATGCTTTTTCCCACATTCTCCTCCCCTTCTTCGTCTCTTCTCCTCCCCGTTTACAGAAGGTTGTTTCTGTTTTCCCTCCTGTTCTTTTTCCTTCCCTTTCTCCCTCTCCCCGCCCTCCCTCCTTCCTCTCCTGTCTGAACGTGTTCTTCCCGCTTGCCGGTGTCCGCCCTCTGTAACGCCCTCCCTTGTTACCTGGGGGCCTCTCACACGGGTCACCTGGCACTTACACTTGTGTGTCTTCTTTCTTCCACTTGGATTGTGCACCCACTCCCCTGCGCATGACGCCGTTTGTAAATACCACGTTGTCTTTATCCGTTGATCTGTTTGTGGCATGTGGCTGTCTCCAGGATTCACGTATAAGCTATGCTGCTGTAAACATGGTTATGTGTGTGTCACTGTGGTGGTGCGTCAGCTCTTTCTGGAAGATACAGCTGCGTCTGATAGAAGCTCTAGTTTTCCTTTTTGAGGACTCTCCACACTGCGTTCGATAGAAGTTGTACCAGTCTAAACTTCCACAGCGATGGAGAAGGGCTCTTTTTTCTCCACAGCCCTGCTAGCATTTGTTATTGGTTGATTTTTTCTTTTTCTTTTTTTTTTGATTTTGAAGGGAATAAAACAAAACAATAAGATGGAACAAAACACAACAGCGAGGACAGTGTTGGATTTGAAAACCAGGGTGAAGGAGACCCCCGTAGCTGCTGTACTGCACATTGTCATCCCTGGACAGATGCTCAGTCTCCGGCCCAGGCCTGCAGAGCCAGTCGGTACAAGCATTAGGTGGTTTTGTGCCTCAGTTGCCATCATGTCCACCTGTGCTCCTCCGACTCGGCCGCTGCCTGGAGCGGGAGGGCGGCCCTCTTGTTGTCCCCCAGCCCACACACTGGCTGGCCCCCGGGAAGGACGGGCGGCCGGACTTCCTGGTTCTCCTCCCGCCTCATGGCTGCCCGCTGGCTCACAGGAGGGCGCACTGACTTCTTGGTCCCCTTTCCGGCCCGCCACTGCTGCTCTTGGTGTTCACCCTTATGCTGTTATAAAAAAGAACTGATACAGACGGTCACATTTGGTAAGGACTTTGATGGATGCTGTTCATTTACTTAATTTAAGTTTAGTTTTTTTAAAGTACATGTTTGCAGTAGGGAATAATTGCGTTGCTTGCCGGGAGCTGGTCGTGGACATAGCACATCTTAATTCTGTTTTTATCTTCTTCCCCTTCCCTCCATCTTTTGGTTCCCTTCCCATGTGGGAAAGTTCTGTCTCCCTGCTTCCTTGTTATCTGTGTTTTATTTTGCTCTTTATTTATATGTTGTGTTTCTCATGTAAGACAACCATTGATATTTAAGCCCGTGTGTCTGATTTATTTCACTTAACGTTATGCACCAATTTTCCCGCAAATGTCTCAGGTTTATCCTTCATCACAGACTAGCACTTGATTGTGCTGTAAGTACTATAATTTCTTTATCCATTCATCTGTCACTCAACATACAGGATGTTTCCAAAAATTAGCTGTTATGAATTGTGTTCTTATAATAAACGTGGGTGTATGCCACTGTAATAAGATGTCTTTAACTCTTTTGGAAAGGTACCTAGATGGGGAATAGCTAGGTTGAATGGAATTCCTACTTTTAGCTTTTTAAAAAGCTCCCTGCCGTTCTCCATAATGATTGTATTAGTTAATATTTCCCTTGACAGTGTAGCGGGTTTCTTTTTCCCACAGCCTTGCCAGAATTTATTTTTTTATTTCTTCGCACTCTTTCTGGGGTAAGATGGAATCTCAGTGTTCTAATTTGCATTTTTCTTATGGCCAGTGACGTTGAACATTTCTTCGTGTATTTATTGGCCATTTTTATTTCCAAGAATTACTGATTTGTCTCACTTGCCCAGTTTTTAATTGTTTGTTTTATTTTGGGATGTCTGATTTTTAATTTTTTTTTCTGTTTTCTAGATATTAGTCCTCTGTGTAGAAGTACCTGGCAAAGGTTTTTTCCCATTTTGTAGATTGTCTTTTCACTCTGTTGGTTGTTTCTTTTGCTGTTTTCTCTAGCTGTTTTCTTAAAAACATGCTCTCACTTTTGGTTTCTTACCATTTTCTATGCAGCTGGGATTCTGTTAAGAACATCCTTGCCTATACCTATGACTTCCTGAGTTTTATCTGTCACACCTTCTAGAAGATTAAGTATTTCTGTTTCAGCCCAGATGTTAGATTCCTTTTGACTTTAGTTTAGTGCACGGTGAGAGGTATGGGTCTGGACTCAGGCCTCTGCATGTGGAGTCCGTTTCCCCAGCACCGTTTATTGAAGGCTTATCTTTCCTGTGGTTGCATTCTTGGCTCCTTTGTCCAAGATCACGTGGTGGAATGTGCATAGGACTGATTTTGTATCCTGTATCCTATTTCCCTGATCTATAGGTCTGTTTTTGTGTCAGTACCATGCTTTTTTTTTTTTTTTTTAAATCACTATACTTTGTCACCAACTTCAAATCTAGGATTGTGGTGCCTCCTGCTTTATTATTGCTACCCAGAATTGTTTTTAATATCCTGGAGTTTTCTGCTTGCAACTGGAACTTTAGGATTATTTTCTTTTAGTTCTGTGAAGAATTACATTGCTGTTTTGATAGGGATTGAGTTAATGCTAGATACCAGTTTGGAAGTATAGCCATTTTCGCTATACTGGTCCTTGCTATCCAAGAACAGGAAAGATTTGCTGATGTCCTCTTGGATCTTTCTGAGAGTACTGTAATTTTTTGGGGGGGTCTTTCACCTTCAGTTGCGTTAATTGCTAAGTATTTAACTTTTCTCAGTGCTATATGAATGGTAATTTTTTCCTAATTTATTTTTCAAAGTCACTAGGGAAATGTTAATTGATTTTTGTGTGCTGATTTTGTATCCTGCACTGCAGAATTTGGTTATCAGTTGTAGGAGATTTTTGGTTGCATTTCTTGGGTCTTCTGTGTAGAGGATCATGTTATCTGTAAATATAATTTTACTTCTTTCTTTCCTGTAAGTATCCCTTTTATTTCTTTGTTTTGTCTAATTCCTCTGGCTAATATTTCAGGTACTGTTTTATTTATTTATTTGTATTTATTTTTGTCTTTCTGA